TGATCGTGTCGGTGTGTGGGTGCCTTTCACTTCTTCAATTCAATTCTTTCAATTACCGAAATCGGAATATAAAGGAGCTCGTCTGGGGGTCAATGAGTGAGGAGGTCGGATTACCAGGTAAGTTTTAAAAACCTTTGTCTATCACTTGATCCAGTCGGTTACATTGGCAGGGATGACCCTTGAAATCACCGTGGAGGCCTGAATGAAACGAGGAAATACTACTCATTCACGCGTCGAGATTCGCATGAATTAAGCAAGAACATGATTTTACTCGTGCTTGGCGTGAGCGCCCCATTAGGGCTTTACCACAGTAAAGGTCTCTGATATAGCAGACATAATTAACTAAAGAGTCAAAATGCATGCTAAACTAGAAAAGCACTCGGAGAGCGCAGACCTCCGCCAAGCAGCTTACAGTATCCAGAATTTTGTCAGGATCAGGATCAACCTTTGATACAAAAATTGCAAAAATTCCAAAATTTGCTCTATCTCACAGCGATAAAGAATCCTTCAAAAAAGTCTTGGATCCAGAAGGCGATCCAGATCACCACCAAAATGTAATGGGGTCCTCCTGGGGCTGAGACGCACCTCTGGTGAAAATTTCAGGTCAATCTGTCTGTAACTTTCTCCGTAAAGTTGCTAACAGAAAAACAAACAAACAAACCAACGCTACCAAAAACATAACCTCCTTGGCGGATGTAAAAAACTAGGCAGGTACACCTAACCACATTATTTGATGTGCAAGTCGTCATTATTCAAAGAATCTAACTTTTGACTTGTTAGCTTCATGCTAAAAACAGTGGCTATGATGTCGTGATTGACAGGTATGTTAACCAGTGCATGCTCCTACAGCGGACTTTACCAGATTAAAAGAGTGGGGAAAGAGAGAAAACATGAACACGAACATAAGAATCCCTGAACTCTTCGTGACTGTCTGACGACATGAGCTGATCTGTGATCAACCTGAAGGATCCTTAATATTTTATTGGCGAGTGAATGTGTCCTTTGCTTGGAGGTATGTTATCAGCCCACCAGCAAGGTCACTCCTGCACATGCCCTGACTCCATCACCTGCATGATCTCTTCTGGTTGAAGACAGGTGCCTTGACCTGCTGGATGTATCTTTGAAGCTCAGAGCAGCCTTGTGCAGAAAACATCGATTTATTTGCACGTTTTTCTGACTGTTCTGCTTCTACCACCGGTGAGCATGAAATGTGATAATACAGTTTTGATCTTCTCTGTTCAGCTTGATGCATAGTGGGTGTGGGCGCAGTTGAAAATAGAGCCAGCGCATATCTTTAGTGGAGGGTGACGCTTCTGGGACAGGGTTGAGATGCGCTGCAGCAGATCGGCTCTGGAGTGGGAGTCCCCGATGGAACAAGGTGCACACAGGAGTTTTAGAGGAAAGGTGTCAGCATCTGTTGAGGTGATATTTTTCCTTTCTTTGGAAGTAGGTGACGGCACAGCATCTGTGTTGATCTACCTGCAACATGAGTGTGGAAGCTTTGGCAACAATGATAAGCTGTCAGAGTTCAAGTTAAAATGGACTGTAGATTACGTTAAAGGCTCATTTATGCTCAATGTTACACATAGAACTGGATTCGGACAGAGCTCTCCGTTCGTGCTTTGCATTCTTTTCGTCCGTATTTCTGCATGTATCATTGAAGTTCACGGATACAAGCCAGATGGAGCAGTACCATTGGAAAAGTTTGGGGCAGTGTTACTGCTGTCACTACCTGACACGCATCTCTAGAGAGAAACAAAGAAGACAATGGCGGGGCTTTTTGAGGATTGTTGTCAATTCTCTCACTGGTGACATTCACCGCAAGATATTTAGTGGCCTGACCGACCGCCATCTGTTTCGCCCTTCCCACGACACACCCCCTCTGGCAGAGCAAGAAGCTGCCTGGCAGAAGATCCTACGCTAGCTTCAAGATTCACCATGTCAGATTGTTAGTGACTAGCGGAAGTAAACGCCAGCTCTGGTAGCGTGCTCTGTCTACAGCTGCCTGGACAGCTATCGTGTTGACATTGCAGAGACAAATAAGGGTTATTTATGAAACGTGCAATAAAAATTACCCTTTCAACAAAAACTCTGCTGTCTCGGCGTCTGTTTTCAGGCCCGAATCCTGGCTGAGCTTTCTCCACCGCTTTAAGGATGACCTGATGTTTATTTGAGTTCGATTCCTTGGTTGGTCACATTTCCTCTTCGACTCCGCCCTTTCTTCTGTTGACTTGTGTTTTCTTCCCACATTTGGTGGTGGGGCAAGCAGAATTGTTTTTTTTTTTTGCGTCCTTCTCTATCACAGCTCCTGTACCTAAGCTGCTACGCTACTTTTAGCTGCTCAGAGCTCTGAGGAGGGCCGAGAGGGTGAGAAGGGACAAGTTGGAACTGCGGGAGAGGGGTGTGTCAAATACAGAAAGGTGATTGGATGGAGAGGCGGAGCAGGAGATTTACCAATAGGAGCTGTCCGGGACGGATGGCTCCCATTGGTCACTGTTTTTGCAGCCCTGCACCTGCTAGGGTGAACAGATTTTTTCCATTCTTTTTTCTCTTCACTTTGTGGAGATCGGAATATAGGACCATGATCGCCATAGAAACAGGGTTCATAATAATGACCAATTTCTCCAATCGTCAACCATGCCTTTAACTCTCCAGTATGTCCACATTACACTGTCACATTCATACACTGAGAATGCTGTAGAAAGTGCTCGTCAACTTTAAAGAATTCAATACACGCTGACTTTGCCATCGGGGACAGTTTTGAGTTCAGTGTGTCACCCAAGTACACTTTGACACGTGGACTGTGAACCAACAACCCTTCAGTTGAAAGACAACAAACTCTACCACTGACAACAAACAATACCGTACGTGGTTGGATTTAGTAAAAAGGATAGTGGTTTTGGTCCAAATAAGTATGCTTGGTATCTCAGTGAAGTTCGGTTTTGAGGTGTACTACGAAAGTGACACAACTGAGAAGACTCTTGGTTTTAATGCGGCACTCAAACACCTTGGAGAAAGTCCTTTTTTGTCCCTGATAGACTTTGAGCTAAAGAGTTGTGCCAAAACCAAAACATGAGCTAAAAGAAATGAAAAATTAAACATGTGGAAAGAACTATAACTTTTGCATCAGGCCTCTTGGGGTCTCTCTCTCACATGATACCTTGTTATTTTGTCCACAGCTCATACGGACAGATTAAAACACGACCTCATGTGCAAATTATCATTATTTGAATCCATCAGACCAGAAACTTGAGGTTCCCTTTGCTGTTTTTGATCATTCATGACTGTCAGCCCTCCTCCTTTTACTACCGCAGTGTATCAAACGTAAATATGATGAAATGTCGTCCACACTTCTGCTCAGCTTTATGGAGCTTTATACAGGTTTTATAGTGAGCCTTCAACCTCACCATTGTGGTTCACTGTCCTTGCTCTTATAATCTTCCTGGCAGCAGGCAGCTGTTTTCAGCCAGGAGCTGTTAAACCCTGCAGCACACTTCAGACGCAGATACAGTTAGCGACTTGTTGTAAGACAAACTGCACGTTTTCTTTCATGATTTGTTACTATGGCGACTAGAAATAGGGCAATAAAGGGGTTAATGCTGGACCAGGACACGACTCCGAGTGCAAAGTAATGATTGCGTACATTGGATTGATTTGTATCCTTGGTATCTGAGGCTATTTGTGTTCAGGAGGGAAATTATTTCCTGAAGGTTAAAATTGCGTGTACTTAACTGCGAGAGGAAATTTGTAGTAAAACTTGGGAGTGAATCAGCACCCCAAGTACAGCAAGGCAGGATCAAGCAATGATGAAAAACATATCCGAAATTAATGCATTTTTTTTCTGCATGGCTCTATTAGTAATTCAGCAGGAATCCACCATTTCCTAATGGTTTAATATTCTCCAAACTTCAGAGGAAAGACGTCTGTTTGAACGCAGGGACAAAGGTGTTCGTAATCTTTGGTGACTGTAGCCTCAAAGAGCGCACTGATGTCTCCTTGTTATAGGTCATCCGCTCAGACACATTGGTCGACACATTTCCTGCACCTTTCTCCGGCAGTAATGAGCCCTTTACGGTGACATTCCCTTTGATTTTTTTTCCTCCTCTCTTCTTGTGCAGTGTTGGTTTACATCTGGTCTCATGTGGACATCTACATGTTTCATCAATCGGCAATCAATCCCATATCGTCAAGAAATAAACAAGCACTCTATCTTTCACGCCTATAACAGCGCACACATAAATATATCTGACTGCCGCACACAAGAGTTGATGAATGATGTATTTCAAACAGTAAATACCGGTCACCGAGTCTCGCTTCTGTTCTGCTCGTGTGAGTTTTTAAGCTTTGAAACTCAAAACACAGCGCTCTAAAAGAATGGCCTAAAATGCGACGGCAGTCCATGAAAGTAATGAGCCGTGACACTCTCGGCTCTAAATATCATGTTTTATTCAAAACTTCAGAGAAGAAAGTTCAACCTGTGCTTACAGAGGAACTTTAAATGATCAGCCACAATGCAACTGGAAATAGAAGAATCCAGAAGGAACACTGGACAAAGATTGTCTCCTATTAGGCTCGTCCTTCACAAGTCACCATGGCTGCGAGGCAGGGTCAGCAGAAAAGCCACCCAATCCCGAGACACGATGATGAAACCGTGACAAATCAACTCATTCTTTCACTCCAGAATCTGCAAGTCGCTCTGCCACGGGATTTCAGTTTCTCTTTGAGTTTGGGAACCAGTGAATCTCGCGACTCAATGGTGTTCATTTCTCTAATCCAATCCCTGTATAAAGAGCTCCCTTTGAACGTCGACTGAAAAGCTGAAAAGCAGCACATATCCCTCCCTGCGTTCGCCTGCTCTCTGCGCTCTCTGATCCACGCTCGGTGTCCTAACACACAAGCTCCTCAGATGGAGGAGGGAGGGATAGAGCAGATCTAATTAAGTTTGCTGATGGTGAAAGTGATGATTATTCTGCAGGAAGAAAGGAGAGGGAGGAAGAGGGCAGAGGAGATAACGAGAATAACTGCAGGGGGGCTGAATGCACCCTCTCCTCCTCCTCATGATCGTCATTATCATCTCCACCACAACCATCATTAAAGTCATTATTCAGAGAATTCAGACTTTTTCAAAATCCATTTGCACAAAAATCAAAACCGCTGAAAAACATTAATGATTTGTACTTTGACTCTTCATCTCGAGAAACCTCTGTTTACTAAAAAAATCCACTTTTACAACCATGTATGTGGTCTTTAATGAATTTCAGAGTGTCCGGGCCACCTTAGAGTTAAATAATAATAATAATAATAACAGTGTTGAGATTTTCAGATAAAAGTTATTGATATCAGAATAAAGTCAAAATGTTACGCAAATAAAATAAAGAAAACTAACAAATTAAATATTTACACAATGAGGATGATATTAAAGCGATATATAAATATATGTACACACACACACACACATATATATATATATTAAATGAGTGTTCTGTTACAAGAATAAAGACTTGGTAAAGAGAAAAAAAGTTGTTAAGTCACAAGAGTAGACATGCTACCAGAGTGAAGCTGTTTAAAAAGGAGAATAAAACTGTTATTTAACGAGTTTAAAGTTGTTTATTATGAGAATAAAGTTGTTATGTAGCAAAAAGAGTTATTTTCTAGAGAATAAGGTTGTCGTGTAAAGAGAAAAAAAAATCGAAATGTTAAAGGAAAAAAAAGTTTTACATTCCGAGAGTAAAGTTACAAAAATTAAGTTTTAATGTTACAGGAAAAACAAAAAAAAGTTTTGTGACAAGAATTTATTCACTTTGTTACAAGAATACAGTTGTTACATTGGGAGAATAAAGTCGTCAATCTACGAGTGTCAAGTGGTTTTGTTATGAGAATAAAGTTGTTGTTTATTTATTAATAAGAAACACAGTCAAAGATACGATATTCCTCAAGTCGTCCCACAAAGGAGACTTGCAAAAAAAAACTAAAAGTAAAAAAATAAAATTTAAATAAATAAATAAAGTAGGTTGTTTTGTTAAAAGTCTTCATTTTGCAGGACTAAAGTCGACCAAGTATCTTTGTCGCAAAAAGTAAGTTGTTTTATCAGATTATTTTGTCAATACTTAATATCTCTACTAAAAAAATACATGAAGTAATGAGAAAAACAAACAAACATTAGTTTTAGCTGTTGGCTAACTGATTATTCTAAATTATGCATCAACACAGATTTTCTCTAACAGTGCTTCTAGAGTTATTAGAATAAAGTTAAATAATGATAATAAGAGTGTTTATTTTAAAAGACTAAAGTTACCATGATACAGGATAAAGTCATCATTTCAGTCAAAGGTTAGTGTTAGAGCTGATGTGAGTGAGGAACAGTCGATTAACCACTTTGACAACTTCATGAATCTCATGACATTTCGACTTTATTCTCATACTGTTGTGACAGTATTTTTTATTAGCATACATTTTCTCAACTTGGCCCTAACCCTCCCTCGTAATGAACTAACTCATATCTTAATGTCTTCATTTCATGTTAAATGTAGTCGTTAGCATTTGAGGAAATATGTTATCTTGATTATATGAGCACATTTGCGCATTTTCAGGGAAAAATATGCGCGTAAATGTTCGAGGAGTCGACATGTCCTGCTGTCTCTCCTGGTCCCTCCCTGTTTTTTTTTTTTCTTTCTTTTCCTTTTTTTTTATAACATCCCTCCGTTAATCTTGTTCACAATTTCTAAAAAGAGTCATCTGACTCCAGCACATCAGTATCCTCCGACCGTTCCTCACCCAACCTGCCCCCTCCTCCTAAACACCTCCTACTCTCTCTCTCTCTCTCTCTCTCTCTCTCTCTCTCTCTCTCTCTCTCTCTCTCTCTCTCTCTCTGTTCGGTTCTACGTCTCAGCCAACTGGGAGTGCGCTCGCTGCTGGAATAAATTAAATTGCGGTGGTACGGTACAGGAGAGAGAGCGAGAGAGAGAAAGAGAGGGAGCGTACAGCGAATGCCATTCACACATTTCCATGCGCTGGGAGTCCGGGCACTGTCAGCAGCTCTCCGTGCGCCCTGCATGCGCCCCGAGCGCGTCTCTCCCATAAAGAGTAGAGATGAGTTAGAGGACAGTGACAGACAGCTTCTTTGAGTTCCTGGACGTTTTTTGAATGATTGAAAAGATAGTCTTCTGCGTAAATTTCTCCCACCTGGAAGCTCTGACCCCGCACTCCTGAATCACCGCGTCCTCTATAGCGCGGCTCATTCCGCTGGATTGGACCTACATACAGTTTCTTGTGTCTGCGCGTTGTTTTTTGGAAGCTCTCCGCTGGAAATATGCAGCTTTGAAAAAAAAAAGAGCAGAGGAGAGGAGTGCGCTCTGAGGAGGTTGGATGTCATTTTCTGTTTCGCTCAAGTTGTCCGGTCCCTAATTGCACGTCTGTTTGCATTTGTGGCGATAATATTCAGCTAAGTCCTTTTTTTTCCAATGCCGCCCTGTGTGTGCGCCGAGCCCAGACAAACTTCACGGTCCTATCAGGGGATTTTGCGAGGACTAATTCCGACCAGCTACGGACTAGAATACTTCCAGAATAAGGTAAAAAGAAACTGTCAAGATGAAACAAGAACGTGTTTTATAATATCGAGGCTCTTCTGTGGCTTCTCTAACATCCAAATTTAACCAAAATGCGTAATTTCTGAGTATTTCATCCCTTGATCATTTGATTCATGGTCATATTCCATCCATCAGTCAAACTATTGACTCCTCTGACCCAATAATTCTGAAACAGAGCACCTCCTTCAGTTCATCTTCATCCATATCACGCCCAAACCATAATTCCACCCTCTTTCCTCCCCTCTTTCTTCACCTCCTCTCCTCTCTCCTTCCTCCAGGACTTATCCAGGGTGCAAAGAGAATGAAGAGTCACCGGGGCAGGGGGAAGCAGCATGAGTGGCCCGTGCATCTCCATTAGACTGACGGCCCTCATGTTTCTATGGAAGTGGTTAACACTAAGCCTGCTCCAGAGCTGGGTGTCAGAAAGGGCCTGGGCGGCGGACCCTGCCGGGGCCGGCTTCAGCGGCTCCTCCGGGCCCCTGGGCTGGCTCCTGTCGGACAAGGGTCCCTTTCACCACTCGCAGGAGTTTGTTGATTTCATAGAGCGCTACCAGCAGGGATTCACCACCAAGTACAAGATATACAGGTGAGAAAGGAGGGGTCAGAGTTTGAAATATTCAGATGATGTGATTTTTTGTGGCCTGGCTGGTGAGAAAACTTGCATTTCTGATTCTCTCCTAGAAAGTAAAGGCGAGAAATCACACATCCTTTCTCTGTCTTTAAGAAAAGAGTACAAAGGATGCCGACTTAGTAGGTGGCACACTGTGGGATGAAGCACTGAGACGATTACTTACTTAGTGGAGTTTTGCATACAAATCAAAGCCCTCCGTGTGTTTTGTATAGGCACAAGCTTCTTTGGGTGCATCTGCCTGCTGCCTGCTTTCTGTGGGTAGCAGAGACATATGGTTGGAGTATGATACAGACCTTCTGAATGCTTCATATCAGCAGGAACTCAAAGAGGAGATACGGCAGGAGGGCTTGGGCACAGCAGCAGGACGTAACAGATATCTGACTGAGCTTGTTGATGTGTGACAGTGGGTAGACAGGAAGGCTTTGGTAGTGTGTGGTGTGATGTATGGTGGGTGTGTGCTGAGAGACGGCAGACTGAGCTCGCAATGATAACATTTTTCTTGACTTTTTCTGAGAAGGGAGAAAAAGGAAAATGTGAGTTTTTTTCAAAATGAAATGGCTCAGTGTGAATCCACAGGATATTAGGTAACTGTCAATCAGATACGCCGCTGGAAATAGTGGACAATATGTGCTGTTGGAAAGTGGAGGTCTAAAAAAACAACATTGAATTATAAAATCTGATCCAAGTCGAAAGACAGGAGGATGTTTTCGACGTCTCACATAACCACAAAAGTCCACGCATCATGATAAGAGAGCAGTGTGTGTGATTTTAAGATGTGAATACAAGTAGGGGAGACTGGGTTTGGTTGTAACTCTCAAGGGAATAAGTGGCTCAAAGTCTTGTGTTGAAACGGTTATCCCTTTCAAACATATTGTGGATTTTAACAGCTAGTTATTTACCATCAAAATCACCATGACGCTCTAAAAACCAACCCTCTTATTTTTTTTAACAAGTTTGAGCAGAAAAGTGCAATTTTAATTATATTTTTAAACCAATTTTGTTTCCAACACTTAAAAATATAAATTCTTTCTTTTGCTTCAAATACCAAACTAGTTTTGTCAACATTGTCTTTTGTATTTTTTATTTTAGTTGTCCTAATTAAAGGTTCTGATGAGTTTTCTGTATGACACACAAAAACAAGCAAAGACCATCCGTGACAAAATTGACTATTAATATATCGTAATTGTTGATACCTGAAACAGGTGGTAGGCGTCAGCTGAGCAGGTAAAGAAACAACCTTATTTTTGTATTTCCACATAAAAATAAATAAATGAGTTTTGTCCACATGGGGGTGCCAGAATCCACGCTAACTGAAAGTTCCCCACAGGAGCTTTAATGAGAAAAATGAAGGTTAGTAGCTAGAGCTGTAAAGTCAAAGTCAACTGGTTGACTTGTCGGACTTGATACGTGCTGAGTCTACCAAAATCCTGATTGGTCGACTCGATTTTTTAGTCGACTCCATTTTTAGTTGATTTTTTGGTTAAAAAATTTCAGGGTTTTAGTCGACCAAGAATTTCTTTGTTTGATTACAGCACTAGTCGTAGCACCCTCTGGTCTGTTACATAGACTTGTGTTGTGCCGGCTGTTTTCCTGACCTGATTCAACAAGAAACAAACACTGACAACAAAATTACCTGGAGTTACCATGGTTACAAAGACAGACTCAAAAATGTCCAGCTATTCCCTAACAAGTAATCCAGCATAAGCGAATGTGAGACAACCACCTGACCTTTGGACTAAAGTTTGATTTTATCCATCAAAGCTTTTACTGAAACTCCTGAATATGAAAACGACAAATCACCTCCAGACTTGAACACATCACTATTTACATGTTAATGCGGCCCTGACCCATAAATCTTACAAAAGTGTCTTCTATAACCTCGGTGTTTTGTGTCTGCTTCAATGGCTGGATAGAAGTGAGTTTGACTGTTACAGGACAACAGACAGAGGTGGAAAGAGCACGAAAATATTCTTATCAAATAAAAGTACAGATACTTCACTGAATTGTACTTGTCAGTCTGTTGCTTAAATAAAAGTTAAAGGTAGTTTTTACTTTAAGTAACAAGTGCTTACTTTCAACCTTTGGTGGTGAATAAAACATGCTCTCCAAACTATGTTTCCCAAACTTTTTACTGTTAAATAACCAACTGCATTAATGTGTGAAGTGTTACTGATTCTGCATCCATCTAAGGTGAAGTTCTTGAATATTTTTGCAGCATCTTTTGTGAGTGTTGCACTTTGAGAAAAGATGGCCGACAGGGAATCGACAAGAAAGTTTTGGTGTAAAATACATTGAGGAAGCTCACCGCAAGTGTAATGAGATATTTTTATTTTTGATATTTTGAGCTTTTTGCAGTGTAAACATCTTCGAACCAGCTAGCTAGCCTCCTTTCATGCAGTTACGACTCTAATACTTAAAAAAGTGGAGCAAAGCGCAAAACTTTACACAAGTATTAGTCTTAAAAAATTAACCAGATAAGTAAACGTACAAAAAGAGCTACAGGATTACAGTAAAGTGAGTGAAACCTTTGACTTTCTTCCACCTCTTGACGTCATACCTGTGTGACAACCTACCCCGGTCTCCCCTATTGCAAGTTTGTTCACCAATAGCAGATAAAAGAACAAACTTGATGTCAAATTTCTGCACAACCTGAGAGTTCATGCATGAATTATAAAAACTAATTTAGTCTGAGTTTTGTCTCCAACTTTCACAGTCGTACATTTCAACCTAATAGACAATCAGAGTGCTTTTGAAAGCCCTAATATCCCCCAGGTACGAACAGCAATAAGGGATTCTACTACAGTGAGCTTTCCTCATCTCTGCTTCTCTTTTTGGTAAATTTATTAACTAAACTAATATCTATGCTTTGTTAGAGCACTACTTTATTTTAAATCAGCCTTTTCTTTTGTTATACAAGCACAAAGTTACTCCAGGTTAAGCTTCTCTCATAAGTTATAGGGCTGTAAACACACGAGAAAATGTTAGTGCAACAGCTGTTAACTTTAAGTGTACCTCACAGGCTTTCTACATTTATTTGACTTTGTTTAATGCAAGTGTGGGTGTGTGTTTGCGCAGAAATTTCCCCCTGAGTTTGACTCTCCTCTGAATAGAAACGCCTCTGATACATTTAAAGTAAACTGTGAAACTCGGAGACTGATAAAACACTTCGAGGCGGTGGTTCGGTATCTGTGTGAGGCAGCATGACCCACAAAGAATGTAAAAAGGATCGGGGTATCTTCATGGTCCACCAGAGGTTTGGAAATGTTTCTTAACCTTGAAGAGGAAGAGCTAAGCGAAAAAAAAGGGCATGCTGTATTTCAGATTTCATGAAGGTTTTCAGCAAACAAGACGAAGAAGAAGAAGAAACCTCGCAGTAGGATAGTGTGCGTCAGTCTGCATACTTGAGTGTGTGCTGCTGCCAGGTGGGTGTTTTGATAGCCGTTGATGAGAGCGATGCTCTGGGAGCGTCCCCGGCCCTGCAGTGGAGGGCTTGATGCCGGCTGAACACAGGTTTGAGTGACACTGGCATTTAGCAGCTGACAGGGGTGACAATGCCAGGCAAAGATAGAGAATGTACCGCTCCCGGCTTCCCCGCATCCATCACTCCCTCGCCGCCTCCCTCTGCCGGCCTCCTCTCTCTGTCTTTCAGGATGTCTCTATACCTCCTTTTCTTCCTCTAACAGATATTTGCACATGCAGTTTTGCACTCCTAAAACTCACGAGGGCATTGTCAGGCTGCCTCCATTTCAAAAACTCAAACCTATTTTAGCTTCTCGTAACCTGCGGTGTGACCTCTTTTGACCTCCATCAGCAAATAACCAGAAATGCAAACTTGACTATAACCCTCCTTTCCCCTTGAGCTTCAGTGGCCTTTTCAGCCCCCCCCTTTCAAAGGATGAATATAAGTCGACTATTTGGAACAAGAATCCAATCAAGACTTGAGCAAAACTCTGAATTTCACAACACCACAAAGTGGAATTATCCCGCCGTCTTGTCTTGAGAAACAACTCTAAATATGTCGCGCTCAGAGCTCTGTCATCCATCGCAGTCGAGGACGCCAGTTAGCTGAGAACTGAAGAGATCACAAGTGCCTTCAAAATGCGATGGGCTGCAGTTTCTCTTTCTTGGTCCAAAACAGACTCATGAATTTTGAAAGGCGGGCGAAGTAGTCTTTGAGTCCTTGGTATTGATCAGAAACAGTTTCCCAGCTCCTCGCAGACATGCCGCAGTCCTTTATGGGTCAGTAAAAGTCTTCTTATTGGCGCTTGAATCATCACTCCGATGTGTGCAGCTCCTAAATCTGGCCCAGGATGTCCTCACTTTGGGCAGATTTCTTCTCCTCTCGTTTAAAATTCACACATGCTAACAGAGATTGACACGGTGGCCTGGCAATGAGTAATTACTTTTAATTAACCACCAGGTTAAAAGAAAATTAAATACAATCCAACCTCTGCCTCTGCTTTTATCGCCGCGTGCATCTCACATTTTCCCTTTTCTTCCCCTCCCCCTCCCCCCTCCCTCCTTCCCTCCTTTGTCGAATGATCTCAAACCAATTGCTCTCCCTCGCTCATAAATATTCTCCAGAGCTCGGTTGGCCTTTCCCGTCAGGGGGCAGGGGAGAGGGAGTCACGGATGAAGGAAGGGGGGGCGACCAGAGATGGGGAAATGAAAGGAACCGGGGCTTTACCCCCCCCTGCTGGTGGCTCTTTGCTTCAAAAAGGATTTCAAATGAGTGTAGTATTATTCAGAGTAGAAGTGTTTAAATTAAGCACTTGACAAGCTCTTGTGTTCTTTCCACACTGCTGCAAAAAGGACTGATTAAAAAGCTCAGAGAATTACAGGGTAGCGACGTAAAAAAAATAAATAAATAACATTTTTTTTCTAAACTGCAAATCCTCTGAATGAAAGAGGTTTTTGATTCTCAAGGTCTGATCGGATGCAATAATGGGAGTGATGAACTCGGTCGATTCAGAAGCGACGGCAAAAACACGCGCGGTGGCACTTAACGATATTACTTCCTCTGTGATTGCAGGGAAAAATATGACCGTTATGTCAGACATAATGGCGAATTTTAAAACAGGCATCCATTCTTTCTCTTGTCGTGTCAGAGGTCAGAAATCTCTAACAGGTTTGCGGCTTCGATTTGAAGAAAAGCAGAATGGTGGTTGCATTTTTCTTCATCCACTAGATTTATCTATAAAAGCATTATCCCTCGTCCAGGTTGGCTGAAGAAATATTTGTGTTTAGCTGCTGTGGTGCAAACGAGTGTAAAAAATGTACAAAAGCATGTTTCGTTGAATAATTGAAAAGCTGCTGCTGTTGCGAAAGCGTGGCAGTGATTGTGAGAGGCTCCGTCTCTCATGTAGTGGTGCGGTTCTCACAGACAGGAGCATATTAGTCAAAATGTCAGCTCCTCCTTTCTTCTTCTTCATGGACCATAACTTTTCCATCACGCCTCATCTCCCGTGTTTTCGCCTCTCTTCTCTCCTGTCAGCCCACCGGCTATTACATTGACTCCGTTTGATGTAAGGTGTTGCCTCATGTAATTATAAAGTGATTAGTGTTTCAATTATATGCAAACATGTTTGTGGAGGATTGTCAGATGCAGAGGCATGACATTACGGTACCTGTGCTGCAGCGTGTCACCGTGTCGTTTGGATAGATCCTGGCGTGCGTTAACCGTCTCGTGTTTATGGTTTTGTAATATTGTGTTTTGAATGCTTTAGATGGGAAAGCACATTTAGAAGAGATTATAAAATGGAATATAAATGGGCATGGGGTGTACGAAGCAATGAAGAGAAAAGAGCATTAAGGGAGATAATATCCAAACGCACAGCAATGAGCATTATACTATGATGAACTGCAGCAAAGCTCCAGTACGTGTTCGGGACAAATGACTTTTTTCTATTTGCACTTATGGGCTGATTTTGCTGAATTGTTTGAGTCGGTGACAAGCAGCAAAGGGCTGAAGGTTAGACTCAAACCGGAGCCATGGCCGCCCCTGAAATCCCAAACCATGACTTACTATTTGTGTTGTCAGAGGTGGCGCTTTTGTTGGGATGATGAGACGAGTGGAGGTTATGACCCTCGAACGGCTCGTTTTAGGATGAAGTCAGAAAAAGATTTGTCAAACAAACAAGATTAGTAACCTGTAGGGTGACCATATGTCGTCTTTTACCCGGATATGTCCTCTTTTTTGAGGGCTGTCCGGCCTTGTCCAGCTTTGTCCGGGAGACTTTATAAAATCCCTGGTTTGTAGTGAAGTTTTGAGTTTGTGTCTCTCTCTCGGTCATCTTCAGAAGAGCTTCCATCGTAGTCTCCAATCCTCCCAATTCTCCAAACACCTAACCAGTGCTGAAGAGCTTTCAGCTCCTGCATCCTTCTTCAGGATGTCCACATACTTTAGCGCTGAATGTCCTCGTGAACGGTGCCCGTGTGTTGGTTCTCAAAGGACCAGCCTGCAGGCCGGGAGCTCCTGATGTCTATGGCAGTGGCTGGCCAGCCTCATCCTCCGAGATGCTACCTTCTTGCTGAGCCTCGGCAGCTGCCCTTACAGGTCCTTGTTGGTAATGTGGATGTTCTAGTCTACATTCAGAACAGCTCGTAACATTCTGGTGTAGCACCCATCCAGGGGCTTCAGCAGGGTGGGTGTCACGGTGCAGCTTTCACAGCCATACAGGCGGACGGACTCCACAGTGGCGTGAAATAGGTTCAGCTTTATGTGTCGTGGACTAACTGAGTTAGAAGCACGTAAAAAACACTTTGGGGACTCAGAATATGGTGACCCTAGTAACCTGGGTACCTTGAGGTGGATTTATTAAACAAACACAAGAAAGGTCAGCCACCAAAACCATCCCACAAAGAGCTGTCAGGTTTGTGGCTGACTCTCTACTCAAACAAACTAAACCCTAAAGAAACACGAACAGAAGACACAAAAAACTCAGCTTACCAATCCACCTGAAAGTAAAAACAAAGTGGCAACTAAATATTACAAATTAAATCACAGTTTTTCACTCAGTTGGAGACTTTGTAGGTGATGTGGGAAGAGACAGAACAATGGGAAGGGTCACTCCTTATATACAGGGCACCATCAGTCAACAAAGAAGCCACACCTGAGGAGATAAGAAAGATTAGACCTGGGGGACCGGGGGAGAGATGTGGTGGCAGTAATCAGATGGAGCCAGGAAAGCCACATCATAACAGGAGGTAACACGCCAAGGTTTGTGCGAAGACCCTGATATTCACCACACCAGGTCACCCCAACAAATAAAGTCTGGATTCACCATAACAATGAGGACTCATCCCTCAAATGCTCCACCAATGAGCCATGAGGTCACACAGATTTTGCAAGCTTGCAGAAATGGTTGCAATACCACCGAAAACTGTGGAACAGTGTTGGACATTGAAGTCGGTCAGTATGTTCACATACAAGTCGAGTTCGATTGGGTGGTTTTATCTGAACTCCTGTCGTCATAGTTTGCATGCACTCTGCAAAATCTGAATTACAGCTCGTTACTATGAGGTTGTCTCCTGGTTTCTACGACTTTGTGGATACGCTCTTCTTTTTTCAGATGACCGTTAGAAAGTACTCTGATCGATGATGGAAACTTTGTCATGGTGACTCGCAGTGAGGTTGCAGAAATATTCCAATAACTGATACCAAAACAACATGTGCACAGGCAGACTTGTTTCTACTGCAGAGTCCAGACCCAGTCCGGTGTTTCCTCTCTGTTGATCCTCTTCCCTGGTGTACATAACCGGATCAAATCTGACCTTGTTGATCGTAATGCAAAAATACAGTCCCAGGTTGAGGCTGTTGATCCTCGCTGCAGCTGTCTTGTTTGTTTTCATCAATATATTACAGTCTGAAAATTATCACTGCAAAGATTTTCAACAAACACATCTCAGAACAGACCCAGAGAGAGAGAGAGTACAAGCGTACAGTTTTCATCGAACTGCTGTTTTCTCTCATGCATGAATGCCCGAGCGGCTTGTTCAATGAGAGAGTCGTGGTGGAGACAAGTCTATCGTCCTCCAGTCAGAGGGTGAATGCTTCCCCGGGACAGAGGCAAAGCGGCCTCTTCGGCTTGCTCACCAGCAGCAATGGCAGTGACGAGGACTTCATCCAGCGCAGAGCTTATGCTTTCTGACAAGTGTGTGATGGGGGAGTTATCAGGGCCAGAGGTCCATGGAGGCAGCTTTTCTGAAAGAGAAACTCGGCATGAGTGTTTGAATGCGTTTTGTACGGATGGTCTGAGCTACCAGCATGGGGGAATTACATACCAGTGATGTAGGTTTGTTCTGTTTTGTCCCTAAAGCATGGACCTATAGACAAGAGCAAGATTTAATATCCTAAAGCCTCTGCAGCGTCGTTTAATGTAGATAGAAGTAAATGGAGGGAAAAAAGCGACATAAAACCCTGTCTTTAAGCGTGAGAAATCCCTCTGTTTATCCCGCTTTAAAGCTGCTGTCATGGGTGATTAATGTCTTCTCAGTTCACAGAAAGTAGCAAATCAAAAATGTAAAAGTGAAGTTAAGTGCTGTCAAAGCTAAAAGCAGATGCCAAACACAATTTTGGTTCATTTTGACCACTTAAAAAACGGACAGAAGAGAAAAACAGAAAAATCGAACAATGTCTTCTAACAATGAAGTCTCATTTACACAGATACACTCACATGTTTTACTGTAGAAAGATGATGTTGGCGTTGCTTATGATGCACAGACCGAGCAGACTTTGATGCAAACATCATATCACTGCACCACAAGTAAATCTGTTGCATTATTAAGCTTTGCATTGATTATCTGTCCAAATAAACCTTACGCATGTGATGTCAATACGACTACTTTGCAGCTCCGAACCGAGTCAGAGCCAGTCTGATCTTGGACACTGAAAAACCAAACATGTTTCAAATTGCTGATTCGAGATCACTGCTGCCAACAGAAGAGCTGTAATAACCCATGAGAGGAGCAGACTGGGAGGCATCACCAATTGGGTGTATTACTCATATTCATGGCAGCTAAAGTACGCTTCAGTGCTCTGGGACTGACTTTTTTTTCTTTTCTCAAAGTGAGAAAAATAGGAAATTGGCAGTTTGCATATTCAGGTTGAAATGCATGTTTGTCATGCGAGAGAGATGATAAAAACAAAGAAAGAAACCCAGTTCTTATGTTGACATTGAAAGAGGCTCCATTGAGTCATCTGGTGCACTGATTATAGGGTTACAATTTAAATTAAAGTGTTCGAATTTCATTTGGCATACGCTTTTGTTCAAAGCAATTTACAACTTAGATTGAGTACAACACAAACAAAGATGTAGACAGTCAAGTCTAATAGGAAATTAGACGTAGTGCTCCAGAACAGTGTAAGAGTCCACACAACACATCACATCATCAACATACAGTAGATTCTACGGCTGGGCGATAAACTGAAAATTTATCGATACCAAAATTTACAACAATAACCAACGTCATTTTGCCCATATCGGTATATTAGGTGTCAAAAAAATTAATTAATTAAAGTTGGATTTATCTATCAGTATCAAGGGTAACTGCTCAATATATCATGATAATGATTTGAAGCCATATCGCCCCGCCCTAGTAAATCCACAAAACCTTTATTATTGATATCAACATCAGCGTCACCTTTAGCACCAGACTGTGAAGTGATGAGTTACAATACATGAAAGAAAAGACTCCACTGTAAATCTTATGGTAGCTAACAAAAAGATGTAAATTGTATAATAGCAGCACAATGAATTTTGTATCTCTGCAGTAACGAAAAAAAAACACGGGTGCAAAAAATATAATGCAGCCAGCAAGGAGGAGGCATGGACGTTTCTGTGTTTGCTTTGATTTAAAATAGTTTTAAATTTGGATAAGATTGTGTTTAAATGCAAATTTCTGTTTGACATAGATAATACAAAATAAAACGACAATCTTAAAGAGAGGTGAATGAACCACAACCAGCTGTGAGGAAACTGTGCTGTACCTGGATTAGTCAGTCCAATCCAACACAATGTAATTCAAGCAACTTTTCCACTTTAGTTTTGCAGCCCACCCAACATAAACATACAGATGTCTCGTTAGTGGGCTTTATTATATATTTTCACAGCTTAACTGTAAACTAAATGGTAGAATTAAAAGAAACTATCAAATCAAGTACAGTAGATAGCAATAGTGTGCTCTTCCATAGCCCTTTATTGCCTTTTGTATCATATTTGATACATACTTTTATAATACTTCTATTAATCAATGTGATCAACAAATTACAAAAAAAAAAACACCTTAACACAGTCAGACAAATGGTAAAAATGTCCTCTTATGGTTCATCAGTTTCCAAAATCATCTGATGTGTCAAACTAGATAAAAAAATATATTTGCTAAATTTTAAGGACATTTTTTTTTTTTCGGTTTTCGGTAGTAAGTGAAATAAACATTTCAGCTCCAAAAAAATTGGAATTTTCTGACCAAAATTTGTGGTTTCAGGCATTTTAGGGTTAATGCTGGTTTTTATCATTTCAAACCAATGTCAGTGACTGAACTGTGCAAAAATGTCTTTGACTGATTTTATGTGAGCATGCTTGTTCAAAGCCAGCTACACTGTGTATGTGTGGACCAAGTGATGAAATCTATTTGGACTAAACAGTCTATTATTCTTTTTCTTTTAGGACTGTATTTGTTGTGAGTCTGCCACATATAAAAAAGTCTAATTATATCTTTGCCATATCGCCCACCCCTAGTGTAAGTGTGATTTTATGGTTTCCAAACATGTTTTAATAGCTTGGGATAATTCAGTCTTTGGACACATTAGCTGCAGTCTCATAACAATTGAACCTTTTGAAGCCACAGCCAATAATCGAGGCTTTTAATGTAGCCGTGGGATATGTAAACAACTAACTGGGCCAAGACTTTCCTCTAGACTGGAAAGGTGGTGGTACATTACGAAGCCCAACTGCAACATACCCTGACATATATAGTTTGTTTTTTTGCAGATGCATTCTTGTTTGTTTTTTTCCATTTTAAGTGTTGCTCAAAATCTGGAGTCCATTTCTGTTGTTGATTCTGCAAAATAAAAAATACCAAGATGGGATGGGAGTGTTCGGTTTAGAGACTAAAAATGCGTCTGAAAACCACCTGTGTAATAAAAGATGAAGCACGCACTCTTTAATACTTGAGTGAATATGTATGTGCTGTGTGCTTCTGCACGGACGGGATGACACATTGTGCGCAGCTACCCGTGCAGGCGTGTCATCAGCAGAAATCAACTGCGTCACAGGGTGCAGGATTAACAGTAGCTGGTGCCTCCTCTATCTCCTGCTCTGTTTGTGTGTTGATTGTGAGGCTGAGTGTGTATGCACAGCAGGAATTAACAGTACATGCATGCCTCATTATGCCCGCAATGTGATTCTCTGCCTTTCTCGTTTTATGTGCACGGTAAAGTCTCTTGTCAACAGCGTTATGACAAATAGCGGTACAAAAGAGATCAGCAGTCATCATGTCAGCAAATCATGCTCTGACTTGGCCTGGCTTTCTGTTATCAGGGGTGTCGTGTTATTCACAGGAGCCACAAATCAATAGTGCAATTGCTTTTTTAACAAAACACACCCTCCAACAACAACAACTTGCCTGTTTTCTTCAACACTGTGCAGCAAGTTACGATTCCACAGGCCTGGCCTAACTAACTTGAATGGCTTAAATAAAGTAAATTGTAAGACTGCATGCTTTTGTTTCCCTTCCCAGAGAAATAATCATGTTTGCTCAAAGGCAAAAGGAAGAAAGAAGGAAGGAAATCACCACCGCTTTATCGAAAGATTTCGTGTGAAAGGATGTTAAGCAGAAGAGATGATTTTCGTTTGGAGGTAAAAGCGAGCAATCATCTCAGACAGGGACATTTACATACAGAAAGTGAGCGTTTACAGCAAATAGCCATAAAGTACACCAATTTTGTGTAATGTGCCCCACTTTTAGAGGATGTTCTCAAAGACCTTCAACACACGCACACACACAACCTAAACACACTTTTATTTGCTGTATTGTCAACAATACATAAAGCATAATGTGTTAGCAGGAGTTGTGGGTGGTGTATGGGGCTGCGGCAGCGAACAGGAGGAGTAATTAGAGAAAAACAAAGGTGAAAGTATCAACGCAGGCTTCGTTGGAAGGGGGTCATGATGGATGACTGGGCATAAAAATATGCTGACTGTGGATTAAAGTTTGCACTCTGTGTTTTTTCAGATCGTTTGCTCGGACAACTCTTAAATCTCTTTTGTAATTGTTGTGAAAAAAATTTGCTTATACTGAACAAAGTGATTATAATTAGGTTGAAACAATGTCTCATTGCTGGGGCTAACTGGTCAAGAGTGTGCATGTCCAAAATATTCAAGTTGTGGTCGTCATTGGGGCGAGGCACTGATTATTTGTGAGCTGGGTGCCGGGATTGTTTAGTGACTTGTTTAGACTTGTTTAGTGAATCGTTAGCATGCAGTCATGTTGTTGTCACAGACTGTAGATAACCCAGACCTGGTCTCAGTGAACCTAGGCCTTTAGCCTCCATGCTAAACCCATGGTATAGTAGGGTGACCATATTCTGAATCCCCAAAAAGTGGACACTACTATGCAGGGTGGAGTCACAGAGTCACGCGTTGTAAATTTTGAGGGTTTTTCAGGTCTGGTTGGGGTTTGTGGTGCTTCTAACTCAGTTAGTCCACGCTACACAAACTCAAAACTTTTATAAAAAAAACCTGGACATTTGAAGGACTTTATAAACTCCTCTGGACAGGCCGGACAGCCCCCAAAAAAAGAGGACATGTCAAGGTAGAAGAGGACATATGGTCACTCTACAGTATGTGTGTGCATTGCATTCCAGTTTTGGCCCACCAAATGCAGAAATACATGCACTAGAGTGTACATGCATCTGCTTAGCTCAGGGTGCAGCTACAGTGTGCCCACCTATCAGTCAAGGTAGCTATGCTTGAGATTATGCAAAACTCATAACCTGAATACCCTTTAAACAATTGAGTCAAACCGTGTGCTGATAAAAAAAAAAAACAGCTGAAATCCAAAAATGCTTCCAGTATCTGTCATCAAATTTCTACTTTTGCTGCAGAGATGGGCTCTTGTGAATTTGTGTGTTTGGACACTCAAGGAACAGCAGTTTTAGCACCTCTGCGATGGCTTTATTTCTTGATACAAGAGGTTTCTACTTGGTTGTGATCTACGTAAGCGGCCTACAAGACTTTTATTTGCTCTCATGAACTTCTAGCCATGCACTTCTTCTATTGTACTTATGCCCTTATCAAGAGAGTCTGAAAAGGTAATACAAAGGATAAGGTAATGCACTCAGAGCAAAGGGTTAGGATGAATGGAATATGTTCTTCAAGTAGACCTCGTGTTCATACACAAAACGATCCTTCAATCACAACGAAAAATTAAGTGTTTCTGCAAAGCTAACGTACAAACCACTGGGGATTCTTATTGCCATGACAACACAGTCATCATGCATTATCCTGCACATAGACTCAGGGTTTTATCTTGTTCCTCGTCATGATCAGGCTTTGAAACCAACCCTGTCATTGACTACACACAGTGTCTGCAGGATCTGTTAATATTATTCATTGGTAATCAAAACCTCATTGAACCGAGGCTGTTTTCACTCAACATGTTTAATTACTTGCAGCCACAGACACCACCGGTGTTTCAGTTCAAAGAGTGACCCTGCTAACTTGTGACCTTCAGCCAAATGCACATCTAACAAATGCATTTACTGTTTCATCAAAAACACATCAGTGGGCTGTCGCAGCAGCTCTGGATTTGAAGTTTCTTAAGTTTGGATGTAAAAGTTCAGACTAAACCGTACATTGAAATTAGAAAGTTTATAACTTGAGTCGTGCCATACTATGATATATTAAGACAATTTAGCGCTAGCCTGCTCAGTCATTAAATTAGATTAGATCCAACTTTATTTACCCTCTTGGGAAGGTTCCCTGTTTATTGGGAGTATCATACAATTTTAATTGATGAAATCCTTCACACAAGGCCAGTAAAATGCCCCACTTCTCTCCGACATACCAGTTACCCCATCTTCTAAAACAATGTGCCTTGACAGACAGTTTTTATAGAGCTAGATGTGAGATTTAAGTTCTTGGCTTGTGCTGAGTTTGTGTCTGATTTTGCATCCACTAAAACATCATAATAGCGGAAACTCCATCTACGGTTAAAACTATGCAAAAAAGGATACGTTTGAACACACATAGCTTTTGCAACACAGTGATAGTGAGTTTATTTTGTCATCATAAAGGTCTCCTGTTAAAGAGGGGGTAACATGCAGCTTTTCACTTCATTTCTGAAACCTGTTAAATAGTTTACATGATTTACGGATTTAAAAAAAAAAAAATTGCCTCCATCTGAAACGTTTTGTTTTAGCTACTGTCTCTTTAAGGCCCCCCCTTCCACAAACCCACTTCCCTCTGATTGGCCAGCTCTTTGACAGCTTTCATGTGTTGTTAAGAACAGGTTGGGAAGCACATGAACCTGTTATGGTGCCAATGGTAATCCCTCCCAATTCAACCGTCGGGTTCAAGTGATGGACATAGATTTTTTTTTTTCAATTTACCAGGTAATCCGACCTCTTCACTCACTTGCCTCCAGGTGGGCTCCTTTTTATTCTGGTTTCGGTAATTGAAAGAAAAGAAATATAATTCTGGGCACCCACACACCGACACATCAGTTTGTCCTCCATTTTAGATACCAGTGAACAACCCTCCATTTTCTTACATCACCCGGCAACCTTCGTGCTAATAAGTTATTGCAATGCGAATATCCGCTTAAGTTGGGACATTTTCAGCTCCCGCCCATTTGTGCCACCAGAGTAGTTCGAGTGACCAATCGCGTCTTTGCATTGACTTCAGTCGTGCGAATGATTTTACCCGTGCTTGTTCTGTGGAGACAGTAAGAAGATCTTTATGCCATGACCTTATCAGTTCAGCAAGTCTCATGGACATCTCAGAAAGATGGAGTGTGATTTTTGAATGAATTGTTTTCAACAGTGTAGTTTCTGGGATTATTGCAATGTAAATTTGCATGCATGAAATCACAACGGCTTATTTTTACCTTTTTGTCTAAAACACCTGTCAGTAATTCTCTGACTGGATTTGTTTGCTGTCCTGCTGTTACTTAAACCCTGTAAAACTCACCTCTCCTGTAGTTTTAGTTTGCAGATCTGTTCATACACACAGTTTTCATGTTTGTTTCGGGTTCAATTGAAAGACCTTGTTCCTCAGCGAGATGTCCAGTGAGTAGAAATCATCTCCAAACCCTCGAGAAAGGCTTATGTTGCGTTCTTTTGCACCGTCCGGGATCCCCAAAGAAGCTGGTTTCCACTGCTCTTCAGGACTTTAATGTCCGTTGCCGTGGTCACGGTTCTAGCTCGTAATCAGGCGTTTGAAGTGAATGCTGGAGTAACGCTCAGAAACATGAAAGGCCTGAAGAAGAAAGTAAGCAGAGAGCTGTATGTTGTCTTGTTTATGGCACCTCTCAGCAGGTTTAATAGGATTTTCACAAATTAATGGTCTGATGTTTGTTTGATGTTGCTGGAAAAACTGTTGGTGGCAATTTCATGAAGCGTTCACAACCAGCAGCTATTAAGCACATCATTACACTCTCTTCCTCCGTTCTGATCGCGCTTTTGTTCAGCTGGTCTCGCGGTGGGTGGAAAACTAAAGGATGTAAGTCTCTCCAATCGTTTTTTTTTTTTTTTTCTTCTTTCTCTCTCCCTCCGTCTTAACTCCCACTCTCTCTGGACTCTGCAGCGCTTCTTGTTGTTAAGTCTGGATCATCAGTAGCTCAATTAACAAAGTTGATGTGAGCCACTATGAAGGTGCCTTTCAGGGGGGACGCTCCCTACGCAGACGGCCTGTGTCGAGTCTCTTTTGAAGTCACTCAAACGGAGAGCCTCTTTGTTTTCGATTCTTAATTTTCTGAAATCATTTTTGCATATAGAGAAGGATCAATGTCACATCAGATTAAAGGGACAGAATAAGGAATCTGCTGCAAAGGAAAAAAAAAAACATAACATACATCTCAGAAAACAGCAGAGGCAGTTTGCTTACAAGGTCTCCCAAATAAATGTAATTTGGTTTATCTTATTAAATGAAGCTTGAAGGACTTTTCTCCCGTTTTGCACAATTCTCTTCAGGGAGGACCTTGAAATAACTTTGAGTCTACACCAAGCGACTGTTTTGCACAGCAGGTTATTTCGGTATCTGGGGTAACCCAGCTACAAAACGCAGCATTGTGTTCTTTTTCACGCCTTTTTTTTTTTTTTGATAAACAAATATTCATTCACATTCAAGAAAATGGTTTGATGTATCTTTGTATTTTTCTTCTTCTCTGCACATTGCCATAAATACTCTTTTTTTTTTTGCGTATGTTCATATCAGGGAGCAAATCACAGCTTGAGACTAGAAGAGACTGGACATCTAGAGCAGTGATGTGCGTCATTACACAGCGTTGAGTAAAACAGCGAGGAAATGAGAGTCTTAAGTGGTAATCAGCTCCTACTTGGAGGAAAAAACGTTTCAATGTTCACGTGAGGGAGTTGATCTGACAACGTGTCACATCCTGCCACATTGACATTTTGACGGTTAAGACGCCTGAAACATGAGAATATGTGGAGACAAGACAACCAGCAGAAAAAAAAATAGAGCTTAAAGTCCCACTATGATCGTTTTTTTACCACTTAAAGTATTATCAGTGGTCTTTAAGTTGTAATTATGAAGTTTTCAGCCAAAATCACATTACCTTATTTTCAAGGACTTTTCTTCTGCAGTGTTCCAGTAGATCATTAGCAATTCACCTCTGAGTCGTGGGCAGAGACAGCGCTGCTCTGCACACTCCTAACATTGACGGTGTAGGAGCAGAAGCAGGTAACAAGAGCTATTCAGCAATCCGCTAATGCACACGCTTGTTGCGCGATTGTCCTCTCTATTTCTCAGAGTCTGGCCTGCATAGTGGGGCTCCAGGGGGCGGAGCTTGGATTTGCTACATAGGAAATCTCACTGATTTTTAACCTGCCGTTTGGGTCTGCGAGAGATTCAGAGCAATTTGAATGCAGAAATACTCAGAAATGCAATTTCGCACTTTTCTCATGATATGTCCTGTAGCATCAGAAAAATGCCATATGAACATGTTTACTCCAAGAAAAACATGATTTCATCAGAGTGGGTCTTTAGATCACTTGTTTTTCAAATTGATTAAAAAATCAAACCTGCTATTTTTTAAATGTTCTGCAAATATAAGACCTTCATCGTCAGCCAGACTTACAATCTATTATTCCCACTTTTGCTAAAGGCAGATAAATAGAGTAAAACAGAAGCATCAAAGTCTGTTTCATATTTAAAACACACTGGTTCCATGTCTATTAGAAGCACATTAAAGTGTATGACCATTATTAAACCCGCTGCCAGCACCATCATGCAGAGACTCACTCCATGCATGCAAATGTTCCCTCTCTCCTTTAGAGTCTGTGAATGTTCGGCTTCTTCTTTGTGACGGACAGAGTGAAGCTGCTGTGGCTCTGTGCCGGACGGGCTGTCCCACACCTCCACCTTAAACTCCAGACAAACTCTGTACCCTCCTGTGTCCCTTTGGGAGACTCAGATGTTTTTCTGAATGAGTTGTGTAAATGTTTCAGATCAGGTTTATGAATACTGAAGGGGACAGGACCACTCAGAGGTGGGCCAGATTTGGCACAGAGGTCTCTGACTGCATAGCCCAGCTGTAGAGTAAACTTGTACAGTTAGGGTTGGTCGATAAAACAACAATGATATATATCATCAATTATTTCCCCCTGATATCGATATAAAACATGGTCAATATGCTTTTTCGATAGCTGTCATTCTATCATGTTTTGTTAGACTATACGAATAGCCAATGAAAAAGGGAGTTGCTCTGAGTCCGCGCCTAGCTGAACCAATCATGTGCTGAATAAGAACCAAGTAGCAAACAACTGCGTAGTAGCAGACTGCAGCTACACACAAGCATAGCACTGTTGGTGAGACAAAAAGAACATGAGTGCTTCTCCTGGCAGAAATGACGATGAAGGCTCAACAGATGACGACATCGTCGACAACACTGGCATGAAAACGGTGGTGGTGTGGAGGTATTTTAGTTTTTTGAGGACGGACATGAAGCAAAGTCGTATGCACTGCAAATTATGTCGAGTACATGTCCCCACAAAGTCGGGGAGGAGGAACAACAAGGAACATTTAAAATAGATAATATGAAAAAAACGTACCGTGATAAACTTTTTCCATCATCGCCAAGCCCTATGTACAGTCTGTCCTTAATATCATGAGTAATGTCAGTTTGATAAAGTTCTGTTTTCTCTTCACAGATGTTCAGGTTGCTGCGTCCCAACATTTTGCTCGAGACTGCTGGAAAACAGAATGTAAATGCCATTAAAACTTCTGTAACCTCATTAATTATTATTATTTATTTATTTATTTAACGTGTAGAAGATGTGCCCCTCCATGTGGTCTTCAATGATTTATTAAAACTGTAAAGTATTTATCCCACAATCTCAGCGTGTTTCGAGTCCCCCTCTAGATGTTTTTGCAGCATTTAACTTTCCGTTTCAAGTGTCTATTTTTTAACATTGACACTTTTAAAAGCTCAGATACTAAACAACGTGTAAATGTACTGAACACGAGTACTTCCAGGTCCCATTTCGATCAATATTGCCCATGTGCAACTCTAAACAAAGATAAGAATGAAGTAAGATGGCTCACTCTTCGACGTTTTAAATCCTTTCTATTGCACTCACCGACTCCGCAGGAAAGCAGAGTTTCTACGCCTATCTTTGAATGGATTACCATGCATTACTATAACCTAATTAAGCATCCTTTTTTCCCCTCCAAAGTTTAAAAGATTTGGCCCGGACCCCCTATGTGGTCCTCAATAATTTATTCGGATTATGAAGCGTTAATCACATAACCTCAAGGCGTTTTATTTCCCCCTCAGCAGGAGGTCTTCAATAGTAATCCCCCTTAAAGAATAACGACAATGGGGCTTATTTTAACATTAGGGTTTATGTGCTGTATTGTAATGCAATTGTATCAAACAGTGCAATAATATTAAATAGTATAGTTAAAAATTCAAAGGGGAAAAATGGCTGAAAAGGAAAATAAAGCAGAGGACATGAGCTGATGAATGTAGCAGCAATGATTTACACCTAAGAGTCTTTACTAACTCCAAAAATATATATATTTTCATACATTTCTAGAGTTTTCTTTGCTCTTTAAATACATTTCTGTGCTGATGTGGAGATATTTGATTCGATTGCAGTGATGATCAGAGGAGAAAACCGTCATCCTGCACTGAAAGGACACGGTGTGCTCGGTAGCCTGTTTCAAATGCATCAGCAGGTTATTCACTGGGTTGATTTCCTGATTTGTTATGGTGGTCACCGAGCGATGCCCCGCGGCTGCCTGTACTCTGTGATGGATCTGAGACACCTGTACAGTGATGGACAGGTAGCGGGGGTTCGACTGCTCTGATCGCTCCGCACCTTTAGCTCCTGCAGCTCACCTCCCGGTGCAGAGCGCTCCTGCTCGCTCCGAGGGAGGGCTGACAGGTAGATGTGCGGCTGGCCTCCTGCTGGAAACAGCTCCGGGTGAAATAAAGCTGCCTCCTGTGTATGTGTGTGTCTGTGATAGGCTATTCCAGTCACTCAGCACCTCGCTGAGAACGGTTAAGGGTGAAATAAACCTGCAGTCTACCATGAAAGGCGAGATCTTTTGGCGTGTGTATGTGCTTGGCGTGCTAAAGGTAAAAGTCGAAGTTGAGATTTGTGTATATGTGTGTGCTGTATTTTCCCAGCTTGGCGGTGGCGCCATTCATAAATGTCCATCAGTGAGCAGCATAGCGAGACACAGTGTCGATCAGAGCCCCAGCTCTCTCTCTCTCTCTCTCTCTCTTTCCCCCCTCTTTCTCTCTTTGTGCCTCTCCTTTCTTCAGCTGGCCCCAGCGGATGGGGAGAAACACTAATGGCCGCTCGTTATAGAGAAACACTGACATGAAACAGGTCTTAATGAGCTGTTTTCTGTTTTGTATTTTTCTCTGGGGGGGTCACTGTTATTGGTGGGAAATTGATTGGCAGCGGGCTCTGCACCCTTGGGGGGGCCCCCGCTATATTCCGGGCAATAGCAAAGTCGTTGCAGCAAGGGCAGCTTTGTTTAGATGTTTGCAGCTGCAGGGTGTGTGCATGCATGTGCGTGGAAGCGTCTTTGCATGAAGGAGCTGCTGTGTGTCTGAAGAGTGCTGGGGGTTGTGGAATAAACATGTCCGTGTCCTATTTTGCAATGCATTTCCAAGATTTTCTATTTAACTTCCTAGAAACCATGTCGAGCATGCAGCTTTTGTCAAAATTATTTTCTGCAACAGTTTAAGATTTGACTTTGTGCAGTTGTGTGCCCTTATCAAATAGGGGAGAGTGGGGTAAGATGAGCCATTTTTCATATTTCGGATCACTACATCAAGGCAATCATAGTTTTGTCGCTAACTAGTGTATCTGCATATAGTTCAAGATATTCTGCATCCCCGCAAATCAACAGAATGAGTGTAAACATAACTGTCTTGATAATATAGCATGCCAAAAAAAGTGGTCTCCTATGGTCAAGTTACCCCGTGTATGTGGTAAGTTGACCATAGGAGCGGGGTAAGTTCAGCGGTATCCCTACTACCTCCCCACTCTCCACCTCAGCTCTCCCTCACCTTCTCTCTCTCCCTAAGTAACAGTCACTTCTTCACATTCATGTGTATTTTTATCTATTATGGCTTCTACTGTGGCTCAACTTACCCCACTCTCCTCTACCGAGCATGTACATCAGATTGCGTCTTCCTCTGCCCGCCACACAATCACAGTGTTTGCACAGGCTACCATTAGGACTTGGTGATATAATGAAGTAATGCTAATGAGAAAAGAGTGATGATCATTTTCTTAAAAATGTATTAAGACTTCATAAAGATAAATTATTCAGGTGGGCATGTCTGTATTTGGCTAATCCATTCGATTAGATTCCTTAGAAACCAAGTTACTTCAAACTGAAACAAATACGAGCCGATATGAGAGGAGATAGTCGGCTTATCTCTCACTTACGAAACAATTCGCACAGACTTATCCAACGCCAGCAGCCTAGGTGATAAAAGCCATTTTCAAATTGTTGTTTTGTTTTTTAAAGAGCAAGGCGATACTGTTCCCAGTAACAGCAGGAGGCTGTTTTCTGAGGGATAAAGCTCCGTTTAACCAATTGTACATGACCAACCAATCACTGCGCAGCACACAGACATGTCTAGTTACTGGAGAGTTTGGGAGGTGAACATTTGCCCGCCCAGAACACGGATATACTCTGTCAAGTGGAGACCAAACAAGAGTAAATAAGAGTCTGTTTATGTGGTAGGCTGAATCATATAAGTCTGACTGTAATTGAGATGTGCGCATGCAAAATAGTCAAATCCTGAGTATTTTTTCATATCCGATCTTGGTTCCTGAATTTGGATATCTGCCGGTACTGGTACTATTCCAATGCCAGAGCTCTGTTAGCTTTACCATCATTATTGTTTATTCCTTATTATATTTCACGCTGTCTGGTGGAAGTTTACCTTGCCTTTGTGACTTATGGATCAGAAATTTTCGCAGGTTGGATCGAAAATTTCAGATCCATGGATTACGTTGGTATCAGAACCAGATACCGATACTGGCTTGGATCAGCCCCATCCCTAATCCTGAGGCGTGCAATGTCAGTCATGTAATGTCACCTCAAAACAGCATCTGTCATCACAAAGGCTTGATTATGCAAGACAGATTTTAAGACCCTGCTGTATTCTTCTGTATCTCGTTGCTCATTAATGATGTGGCCACTCAGAGTGTTGCTATTAGTGTGTAACCTGTAGCATAGGGCTGGGCGATAAACTGAAAATTTACCAATACTGAAGTTTACAACAATAACCGTCACTTTGCCCATGTCAATATATTCAATGTCAAAAAAATAAATAAATCAAAGTTGGTTTTGGATGTGTGTAGGTAGGCTGTGGTCTCATGTCCCTTTAAGACGCTCTCCTACGTCAGAGACGTGACTCCACCCCATCCAGTCAGTAACAAAGAAGGAAAGACAGGTGAGGAGATGGAGGACAGTTCAAAAGTTGTAGTGGCTAAAATAGACAAAGTTAATGTGGGAGGGGGTGAGCAGCTTGTGGAGTAGATATTTTTTATTTATTGTTATCGAGGTGAACTGCTCAATATATTGTGATGTTGATTTGAGGCCATATCTCCAAGCCCTACTGTAGCATACTGTAAACAGCGAGCTAGTGGCACGGATAACTGATAGTCAGAAATAACTGGTGATATTTAAGTAGGTCTTTTGTGTTTATTAATATGTGTACTCCTCCACCTGTACTCTCTCTTCTTTACTTTGCTGTCAGAGCTGCCGTGACGAGCTAGCTCAGATCAAAATACCAAAGAGCCAGCCTGTATTTGTATAATGGGCTTTATCTTTTATTATTATTTCCAAGTACATGAAAACTCTGAGAATTTATCTGATATGAAATCATGTTTTTTTTTTTTCATAAGGCAGTATATTCAGCAGAAAGCAAAACTATGGCAGAATCAGGTTATTTTCTAGTATCGTGCAACTCTTGTATGTGTTTCATCTCCGGGTGATTTGTTTATTCTCGTCATGACAGTGTTGAATTAGCTTTAGAGAAGCCTTAGCGGAGGATGTCAAAGGAAAAGTGGGAGCTTGTTTATGAGTTCATTTTGTATTATTGTCAAGAACTGATGCAGGTCCCTTTAATTTGGACAGAAACAAGGAGTAAAAGAAAGGAGAAAAATAAATTAGGGTTACTACTCACTGCTTTAGAGTTGAAGTAGGTCCATTTTTAAATTGGTCATTTTTAGCAGCAATCCATTGTTATGTTATTTTTCTATTTTGGGGAGTATTTCTTCATTCAATAACAATTATGAGATTGCCCTTTTGACCACAAAAAGCACTTAAGTCTGGACCGGTTTGAATGCAAAATCTTAGGTATATTGTACACTGCAAGGCTCTGTTGTTGAGGCAGGATAAAAAGCAGTTTTAGGAGGAAGCAGAGGGGAAAAATCACTTTTGTAATATTATTTTGATTAAGGTGTAAGCTAATACAGGTTGGCATTAGAATCAGCTGATCCACTGTGGGCTTAGCCTGACTTTGTGGCCTGCCTGAACTAGCACTGTGCACAATTTGGAACCACTTCTTGAAGACTCCGTAAAGGTTCAAGACAAAAAATTGAACTTAATGACGGCAAATTCCTGTTGGTTGTGAGTTTATTTTCTAAACTGCATTTTATGGTCAAATAGAGATAATAGGGCTGGGCGATATATTGAGCAGTTCATCTCAATAACGATAAATAAACAATAACTACTCCACAAGCTGCTCACCCCCTCCCACATTAACTTCATCTACTTCAGCCGCTTCAACTTTTGAACCGTCCTCCATCTCCTCTCCTGTCTTTCCCTCTTAGTTACGGACTGGATGGGATGGAGTCACGTCTCTGACGTAGAACAGTGTCTTAAAGGGACATGTGACTATAGCCTACCTACACACATCCAAAGCCCATGTCAACGAATATATTGACATGGGCAAAATGACGTCATTTATTGTCATAAATTTTGGTATTGGTAAATGTTTGGTTTATCGCCCAGCCCTAAGAGATAATCAAAGTTTTTGATTAGCGAAAAAACTCCAATCAGGGGTTTCATGTTATGGAGATGCCTGAGCTGATTCAGCATCCAGGAGTAAAAGCAACTACTTAAAATCCCATATTCACCATCTAAAGATATGATTTTCATATTTTACTTTATTTTTTTTATTTTTCACACAGGCTGACTTGCATGCTAATATAAACCTCGTTGTACCCTCCTTCGGTCTTAAGTAAATCTTGCCAGTTCCAGCTTCACAAATAAAGAAAACACACTCAAACTCTGTTGTGCAAAGGATATTAGTTGTGTTCTTTTCCTCAGTCTAAGAGGCTAAAAACTATCCAACAGGGTTTGAAAGGTCTTCAATTTCTCTCCCGCCAGTAAGGGCAGAACCATGTTTATTACCAGCTCTATTTGAATAGCGCTAATCTATGCATCAAGCAGCAGCACTCAGTCTGCACTTGCTAGATAAAGGCAGCTGGCATGCTGCAAGGCCAGGCTGAATATCAAACGACTTTAGATGAGGACTGTTCCCTCCAAAAGATGCCCTGAAAGCAGCAAGACTCCATCCGTGATTACAGCCCATCCAACCGCTGTGCCTCAAAAAAGGCTGGGGATGAGAAAAGATTGCGCTATTATTTAAAATCGCTAGAGAAACACAATGTTTTTCACTATGGTGCAAAGCAATTCTCCGAGCCGGAGGTAGAAGCAGCATGAGACCATTCATCTTTTAAGAGTGGCACACGAGATTCACTTAGAGGTCGTGCAGACATCATTTTACGCATGGCGAGGAACAGATCCGAGAGTGAACCTCCTTGTGAGGGGGCAAGCTGTGTCCTGTCCACTTTGAAATCACAACAATTGGCCCTATTTTCTGCCTCTTTTCATGAAGGACTGTTTAAACCGGGCTGATAGATTTAGTTTTGCATTGTGTTATAATGGGGACGACTCAAAACAGCTCCCAGATACCCGTCTTTATATGATGGAAAGGCTCTTCAAATGGAGACCTTCTTGTACGTGGGTTCAAATGACATGAGGCTCCAGTTCTGTCCCCTGTTTTATCTCGAATGTGCCTGCATGCAGCATTTGTGTGATGTGTGTCCTCTGCTTCCTTTGCCAGGGAGTTTGGCCGCTGGAAGGTGAACAGCCTGGCCCTGGAGAGACAAGAGAACAATGGCTTTTCCTTGCCGCTGGACCCTGAGTTCCTCCAGACCATTAGGCAGCTGGGCAGGAGGCCCAGTCTTGGTGCAATCACTGACAACATTATCAGAAAATACGGGACCCACTTCCTGCTCTCTGCTACACTGGGAGGTAAGTGAGGCAGCTGACCCAGGACGAGCATTTGGCCTTTCTCCATAACAGTGAAGTCTTTCAGGAACATCTTTATAAGTTTATTTTTGGACTTGAACTCGGAGAGGATAGGCCAGTAAATAGAGCAGGAAACTTGGAGAGAGAGAGTGAAGAAGGGTCGCAGGTTAGAACGGTGGGTTCCCACTTCAGGGACCATAAACCCCTGTCCGTGAGGTGCTTCAGTTCAACCACACGACCATACCGGCGCCTTACGACCCCAGAAACTTTGGCAGAGATTTAACTGCTGCTTTCTACTATCAGTACAGTGAAATCTTTTCCTGCTCTGATTTAATCGCGCAGCTCCAAGTTCGTCTTCATCCACATCTTTTTTGTTTGAAACCTTTCTGATTCCACCTCCATGTCTTTACTTTTTGCTCGAGCAAAGTAAGGGGTGACAAAAGGCTAAAAGTTCTTCCAGTTCAACCTATTTCAAGCTCTTAAACTTCTTGCTTTGCACTCATACATCTGAAATTTTAATTCAATATTGTCTCAGCTGTGGCTGTGGGTTTTTCTTGTACTTGTTTAAGCCCATATTCTCCTTCTCACAATGTAAAATCCGTGTTTGGAGTCGCTCGAACAAAGAACTCGGTGGATTTTCAGGCTAACTTACACTCATTGTTATGGAGACAGAGAACTGTGATGCGCAGCAAAGCTCCCTCAGCTATCTGCTGCACAATCTCCCCCAGCTCCTCCGCCGGCTCTTTTCATCTTGTGTCTCTTGTGTATCAACTCTCGCAGCTATGATGATCAGTATTTAAAATAGATCTGAAAGACAATTCTGTAAAGACTGCTGCAAACAAAAACGAGACAGGAGAACAACTGCTGAGGCAGACCCAAGTATAGACTTGGAAAGAAAACTTGTACCGTCTTTCACACCATCATATTATTAGAATAAAGGCTAATGTTGTTCACCACTGTTTCACCATCTTTATGAATACAATCGCTATTGTCACCTTTTTAACTAATTCCATCATTGTCACGATTAAATTTACACCATACCATCATCACCCCTCTGATTATCATTATCATCACTGTCATTATCACATCCAGTACCGTCATAATTATCATTCCCTCATCAATCAACACTGTCATTATCACTGCCAACAGCCCTTCTTTATGACGTTTTATAATAATCTACACTATTCCTTTTATCATTATTTATCATTATCATCACTTTATATATCACAACCATTATCATGACTCATGTTAACATCATTAATACTACAATTATCTTCATTTCCTTTATTCTCTTGCTCACTATCATCATCATCATCATTATAGCAATATTTTATTATCATCGTCATAATTAGCATGACTATCAATTTATCAAAAATACATCCACTCAGAGCTCAAAAATGAATTATTGTTGACACTCATCATGACCATACCAGAGATAACATCTACATAAACTCTATTGTCTCTTTTTGTATCTTTAGAATCATAATCAGTAGTCTCATTATCATCATTAATATAATCACTGTCATCATCATGATTGTCATTATTTTTTTAGCTTTTTTTCCGCCGTTATTACTGTTTATTACCATTGTCATCATTTTAATCATTATTAACAAAATCAGTGTCATTTTCATCATGGTGATTATCATTATCATCATCAACATCATCAGTATCATAACCTGTTTATCATCATGATTACCTACATAATCATTGTCATGATCATTGTCATTATTATCATAAGCCTTTTATGATCAACAGTGCCATTTTCATTGTTATCATCATAATCGTCATCATCATTATCAATATAATCACCTCTTCATCATCATAATTTCCATCATGGTCATTCTCATTCTCATTATCGTCATTATCATCACTAGTGTCATTTTCATTCTTATTGTCATCATCACTACAACCATCATCATCATCATCAGAATCTTATCATTATCATTTTTATCTTTATCACTTGAACCGCCAACATGGTAAGTGACTTCTCCTCATCATCTTTAATATCATCCATACATGTATAAACATTATTATCATGGTCATCTTTTTAGATTTATAATTGATTGTGTCAGAATTTATTTATTCTTTTAACTAATTTTATCATTAGCTTCAGAAGTTGTCTTACTGTGATCATCTATTTAATTTTCAGCCTTGCCATATTTCCTTTCGTAAAATGAAAGACAATGAAAAACAAAATGAACTTACCTTAGACGTTTCGACTCACTTTTAGAGTCACGTGTGAACCTTTGTGCTGATAACCTGTATGTTAGTGTTATGTTTTCACAAATTAACCCCATGTTTCCTTTAAAAGCAGAGGCTGTTTAAAGTCCCATACATTGATCTTTTACTCTGTCCACCACATGTCAATACTTGGTCCTGTGAAGCCTTGGCTTTGATTGGATTGAGAGCCTTGTTCAATAACGCATCTTCATTTGTGATGCAAACACAGCTTCTGCAACGTCGTCACCACGTTTGACTCACTGTTGACCAGAAAATGAGGCAGCCGAGTTTAGAGATTACTGTTTTAGGTCATTGTGATTCTCTAATGTGCGCTGGCAGGCTTTGGATGGTTAATATTCATGCCCCCGGGAAGGTAGTATTTGTGCGTAATCGGAAAAGAATGACTCACTGATAAGTCCGTGTCTGTGTCTGCTTGCAGGAGAGGAGTCTTTAATGATCTTTGTGGACAAGCGGAAGTTAAGTCGGACAACAGAAGTGGGGGAATCTAATGGCACAGCTGTGTCTCTGGAAGCTCTGCATCAGCTGGCAGCCTCCTACTTCATCGACCGGGAGAGCACGCTGCACAAGCTGCACCACATCCAGATCGGCTCCACTGCCATCAAGGTAAACGCTCAGCTCTCTGGGCTTTGTGTCACGCAACACTGTACAAACAAAATAAATCAGGATCCCACTTTCCCCCAAAGACTTAGATCGCCGCCACTCCTGGATGTTTATTTCATGTATGATTGCGGCCATATCATTTGGAAGTTGTTCAAATTAGATTTTGTTTTAGTGGATAAACGTAATCATTGTATTTCTCAGAACACAGCAGGCCGTCTTAATTATCTTACTCCCTACAGGATTACCAGTAAGGAGCATTTGAATGGAAACCCATAGTCAGCAGGTGTAACTCATTTCGGTGAGAACTGGGCTGTTTTTGTCTCTGTGGACTAAAATTTAAAGTGTTTTTACTCCCTACAAAGTGACATAAATGAAACAATCTCATCTTAAAATGTGTCGAGGTATTTGTTTTAGTTTTGCGTTTTTTTAAACTGTTTCAAGAGGAGTTACTAAAGGGATTTGGATGAAAAGTATCTTTCAATGATTGTTCTTTTTTTCTTCTTCTTTGGTGCACCACAGAGAGCGTATGTTGTGCGCTCGTGTTTTCAGATAATAACCGTGCACATGCTCCCTTTGGGCTTCGGTGTTGGAACCATTCAAGACACTCAACAGTGGCCAGTACTCGCCAAGTACCTTCCACTTACTACCAATTACTGAAAGCACTTTACGACCCATCAGAAGGTCCTCGGTGGTCTGCTCTGGCCTGCTCTAAATGCAGAATATCATTACGCCGTAGATTATTAGAGCATATTTTACAGGACATGGAGCAACTTTAGACCTTGGTTGACAACATTAGGCGGTCATTCACAGACTGGACTCTCTCTGTGTATGCACGGTTATAGCTCGGCTACTTTTTATGCTGTTTTTAATTAATTAACCCTCCATAGTGAATGCACCATTTAAGGCCTAATCTAACGTGTCCAATTCTCAGCTTTTCCAGGAGTGGGACACCTCAGGACACATTTTACAGCGCTCCAAGGAAAGTTAACCAGAGCAAATGCTTTTAATGAGAAAAGCCTTTTATTACTTAATAAGTGCACTTGTTAGGGAAAAAATGTGTCCCACAGCAATAAATCCCAAACTTTTTAAACAGGAAGTTGTTTTTCCAATATGTGTTTCCTTTTTTAAGTAATACACTTTCATTCGTCTTTTGCAGTCGGTTGAAGCTCTTTTATCCCTTGAGATATCTTTGCTGGCCACAGAGGATCTTTCTCAATATGTCTCTCAAACATACTGGGCATCATTAGCACATTTGACAGTTTTTGTTGCTACCGAGTCCTCCAAATTAAACGGCAAATATGTTGCTGGGCCGTGTCCTCTGGAAAATGCATATAGAAATTTTCCTGCCAGCTTTCAACAGGACGGCCTGGTTTGTCTGCGCTTTCCAAGACCGTTTCGGCAGTCTCTGAGATTTGAGCGCTTTTGTATCTGATGCTATTGTAATCTATTCTGAGGGATGGAGGAGTATGTTTTTAGTGAGGACAGCTTTGGAAATAGAAACCTTGTAATCCTGGTAACAACATAATAGACTGACTGAGTTTATGGATTAAAGAAACAACCTTTGACTGTAGAGATGAAATAGAAAATCAGCAGTCGGCTCAAGAGTCAGAGTCCAATGTTTTCTTCACCCATCCGTCTATTCAGGCTTCTTTTTCTGTTGTTTTCAATAGAAAAAGGTCATCATTCACGTGGCGTCAGTGAAATTTAGACTTGTTGTTTTAGGGCATTTCTACCCAGCTGGCAGCACGCTGGTGAATGATACTTGTAACATGTTGTCTGACCTCAATTTTACAAAATCAAAAGGAGTAGCGTCTGATTTTTTCAGGTCAGCTCAAGTTTATTCTTCTTGGCTCGTGTCGACGTTATGTAGAGTGTGAAGTTTATTTTTTTACCATTAGACTCATGTCCTGTGAGCAGCTGCAAGTGAGTCATCATCCAGCATTGGCGTCAGCATGATCGCAACTAGTTTGAATTATTCATTTTTATGATTCTTTAATGTGACTCTAACACTTGATTAAATGTACTGATAGGCTGAAGTGCTGGAAAGTACTCTGGGTGAAGATGGGAATATGCTGATGTCCAACCTTCAGATCTCAGACAAACACGCCTTTCTCTCAGTGGAACCTTTGAGGACAAGAAGTTAACCCATGACGTGCATGATTTTACCATCAAACATGAACCTTTTAACGTTAATAGATGGAGAAAGACCGACCAATCAGCTTCATTTGGAGATACAAAGACAGCAGTTATAGACAATTGTAGCTGGAAATGTAGAAGTCCTCTGATAAAAGCAACACTCCACAGTGTTTATTTACTTAATAGAGCCCCACTATTTGCTTTGAATAGAAGATTTTGGCATAAAGAAGGAGAGAAGTTGTACAAAGTGGCCCTACCAGCTATATCCGGGCTGCCGGGGTATCACTTGTGCTTTGAGCGATGAATCATCCGTCAGCGATACATAATGAATAAGGGGTGAATCTTCAGACGGGCTGTGCTGCTTTCAGGGGCTCAAATACTTTATTTTCAGGATCCTGGAGTACTATTTTTTTTGAATGCACACATTTAATAACATTAAATGTGATATTCCACTTCTACTGCACCTGTCCCTTTGACTGTAAATTGAGAATTAATGAAGTGTCATTGGCCATCTATACCTGGATGGAGCTTGGGAACAACGTCCTCACAGCTGTCATTGATGTACTGCTGTAAAAGAGAGACTTCTGCATTAGCAAAGCGATAACAGGGCCACATGTGAAGCAAAATAATATGACAATTTACATCACATCTTATTCTAAAAGGAAATTCTGATGTAACATTAAGTTAGGGTCAAACACACCATAACACCGAGTTAGACAACCCCCAAGAGATGAATGTTGTCGACTGCTTGCTTCTCTTGTTATACCAGCTTTAGTAACGACCACACAATAGCAAGACACAGCGGTCTACATCTCCACATGCAAACCTCAAACAAAACGCCACTCTATAGCCACAACTAATGCTCAGAACAGCACCTGACTTCATCAACAGGACATATAGGGTCACAGCTATAGTACTAGCCATCAAACATCTTTCTAGCTTTGCCTGATTTCTTTAGCAAACAGACCAAACACAAATCACCCACTCTCTTCCAGCAGCCTCTTTTTTTGTGGGGGAGCCCTGACGAGTCGATCACAGAGTGCAGCGGAGTTTCACAGCTCAAGGAAGAACATTTATGATTATTACTCCATGGAAATGCAATCGGACCGAGACGCTACAGAAGAACTACTGTGTCTGCAGTGCAAAATGATTATTGATTGATTAATGATTATTTTGATGATTATTACTTAAAGGAAATGATCCGCTGCACTCGGTGATCGACTCGTCAGGGCTCCCCTACAAACAAGCAGCTGCAGGAGGAGAGAAAGTGAGTTGTGTTTAGTCTCTTTGCTAAAGAAATCAGGCAAAGCTAAAAAGATGTTTGATGACTAGTACTATGGCTAGCACCCTATATGTCCTGTTGATGAAGTTAGGTGCTGTTCTGAACATTATTTGTGGATAAAGAGTGGTGGTTTGGTTGAGGTTTGCGCGTGGAGACGTAGACCACTGTGTCTTGCTATTGTGCAGTCGTTGCTAAAGTTGGTATAACTAGAAAAGCAAGCGGTTGGCAACATTCATCTCTCGAGGGGGTGTCTAACTCGGTGTTACAGTGTGTTTGACCCTAAATTAATTTTACGCCGGAATATCCCTTTAAGTATGAGAAGGATACTATGAAATCACTAACTGAACAGTGTGTCACTCTTTACTCTGCTTGTTTATTAAAAATATCCACTTTTCCCCGACTAACTTTGCGTTATATGCTCTCTATATTGATCTGGTGAGACTTTGCATAAAACATGCACCGTGCTCGATGAGTAAATAGAAGTTCGACTAAGAGAATAGATGAGCCGAGCAACGTTGTTTACTTCCCTCTTCGCTCTTTCATGTGTGTACTCAGAAGTCTGTTATACAGAATAGCATGCAATGCATATCAAGATATGCTTATGATGTAAACATCACCTTGCATCTTTTACTGCTTCATACCTCCGGGGTTTGTTCATTCATCACTCTGTCAGTTCTTATCAAGAAGAAAGAATTGAACCGGCTGAGTTTGCCCCTCGCACCACACACGCTGCATTTCCTATGCACTTTGAAGAATGAGTTGCCTCATGTGGCTTTAATGTGTTTTCCCACGCTTGTGGTACACAACAGATTAACTTCACGCGAGGTAGGTGAGATGAGTACCTGCAAACAGAAACAGCCAAAACACAGAGACGCTGTAAGCCTGATCAGCTTCCTGCTTCTGCATTCTGAGAGGTTTGGAGACTGAGATAGATTAGATTAGATTTTCTCTGAAGTCTCCTGAATGCAACTCATTACATTGCCTTCACAATAATTGGTGACATCAAGTAATGAAACTCTCTTTAACATATTGTCGCTGTTCAATGAAAAACACGTATCTCCACTTTTTCGCTGATCTTAGGCCACTTTTAGACGAAAATGGTCTCCATAGAAAACAGAAAAGTGCAGTTTCGTTTTCAGTTTTTATGCTGTGTTTACACAAAAACACAATGTGGTTGAAAACGCTGTAATGTGCATGCCAGGTTGCTAGGTGGCGCGTATCGGTGTGACGGCACTCCCATATAGACCAGCAACGCATACGCAGAACAAGTTCCTTTCTCCTTCCTAGAAGCATGTAGCACATTAATTATTTGATGCAAATAATTCCGATGCCTCCTCTGCTGAGCAGTATGATCCGTGAGGATTCTGTACATGTCCAAATTGAGCTGCTGCCCGTTCAATAATAACGACAGTGTGAGAGTCGAATGTCTAGCATGGTTGTTGTTGTTTATTTTTAAGGAAGCTGCGCATGGCTATGATGTCATAATCGTGAGCCAGGACGTCACGGGTTTGACTGTTTTCAGCGTTTTTGTGCTTTAGAAGAAAGTGGGACTAGCAGGGCGTTTACAACATTTCCACTCTGTAGGGGGTTTTCACTTTGTTACGTTTTTATCTCCTGAAAACGCAGTTGCCATCTAAACGGACCCCCTGAACTAAACTAAATTTTTTCCGTTTTCTATGGAGACCGTTTTCGTCTAAAAGTGGCCTCAATCTGATCTGTGAGGACAAGGAGCCATACTGCCAAACATAACTCACTGTATGAAAATAACTAATTCTCTTTGATGAAAGTGGTGCTCACTGAAATATTCAAGTCTTGAAAAGTGTAAACTGAAATAAAGACAAAGGAAAAAAAGCACTTCTAAGATTTTCAGTTTACCAAGTTACCTTTTGGGACTGAGCAAACCAGGACAGATTGCGCATGGTTTAGGAAGCCGTACCACTTTCCTGTCAGTTTGCATCCTTACCCTCTAAATAGATGGAGGTGTGTTGGTATATTTGGAAGGGGATGTCACTTCTTATACCAGTAAGGACACAAACTCCGAGCTCTTTCCACTGGAGGAGCAGGAACATCAAAGTTTATCTCCTTCATTGTGACTGCGGATCTCAGGCTGAAAAACTAAATTGCCAGCCTTCTTTCTTTTTTTGGAGCTTCAGCCCATTTTTCATTGACTTGTCCTTAGTGATGCCCCACTATACAGTCCATCAGAGATAAAACTACATTCTCCAAAGTGAGTTGGCAAGAGGACGCTGAGCTGATTTGGCAGCCGCCTCCGAACCAAAGTGCTGCTAAAAACCCCTCTGATTTAGATGAATAGAGAAAAAGTCCTCTGGGGTGCGTTTGTTTGTGAGGCATTTTCAGGTGACTGATGTAAAATATTCACGGCGTCAGTGAGCTTTAATTCCAAACATGTTTTTTTTTTTCTCTTTTTTACCTCACCCCAATGAAGCCAGATGCCAAAACAAAGCCGCCTTAAAGGAGAGCGCTGCTGCTCCCCTGGTTTTTGGAGATAACAATTTTTTAATGGTAGAAACGCCTGGCCTGGAGGAGTGAGGGACTGGGCGCAAAGCACTGGAAAATAATCAAAGACAGGGGAAAATGAGATGGGAGGGTGGAAGGAAAAAAAACCGTCTCTGCTGTTACATAGAGTGATGAATCAGCCTCTCCCATTCCTGTAATTTCCTTTGAGAGCGCCCTGCCATTTGTCAAACGTTTTGTGGTATGAGTTAAGGTGTCAGGTGCGTCCGAATGGAAAAGATGAGACAAGGACAGACAGGCCTTATTTAGCAAGCTCTTTTAGCTAAGGATCAAGGTGCGGCAGGTAGGCAGGAAGCGCAGCATCAATCAATGCACTTACCTTTGATTTGCAGCCTGGGCCCTTCTATATTGAAGATTCATTAAGCTAAACTTGGGAGGAGAAATATCATCGACGAGGAGGAGAAGTGATAAAGAATGTTTGACCCAATTTGCAGTGGTGAGCCTTGAGTGCGCAGTCAGTCATGCCGCTTTACGCTTCATTTGTCCGACGAGACAAGAACGACCCGGGCTTCAGAAATCAGATAATGGCTGCTGAGGAAAAGTCGCGGAGAACACGACACCCCGAGTTCGAGGCCGGTTTTTGATGGCAGGATAAACACGAGAAAAGGCAAATAAAGGAAAAAACAACAACAACAAAGCACTCCGTCCTCTTTTATCACAAACGCAGATGAATAATTCATGACTTGCTGATTGTTTTAGCATCTTCATTATTCAAAGAGGAGCATACGTTTGTGTTGTCTTTTCACCCTCACCTTTAACAAGATCTATCACTTTTCCTTTCTGCAGGATTCTTCAGATGTAGGTGCCTCGGATCATTTATGGTATAAATATACGGAGAATAGCTATTGGCTTTAAGTTCTTTTGTGACTCCTGATGACAAGAATTTTTAAGAATTTCCTCTCAGAGCGATTTCTTTTTAATCTTCAGCTTCTCAAAAGAGCCGATGCCTGGAGAGGAAAAATACACAGTTTCAAATTTGCTCTCTTGGCCCCTTTTCAAGTGACTGGTGCTTCCCTTAAAAGAGCAAGAGCATAGCTTTGCCACTCTTAAGAGGACTTAGCGAACATAACACCACATACAGTATTATATTCCACTTTCTTCTCTCCGAGGCTCCCTTTCCGCACCCCTGTGGCTCCGAGCGCCTCTTTTTTTTCCTCTTCGAGTGCACACAATAATCTCATTCTGATGCTATTTTCCTCCTCTCCCCCTTTTTCTTGCTCATAGTTTATAAGCTTATCCCTCGCTGGTTGACATTAGAGAGTAAGCCAGTGCCACAAAGTGGTCTTAAAACATGCATCGGAATCCTCGAAGACTGAATAAACAGGCGTAAACGTATCCCACATGCAAATGTGGATTTTCACATTTACCATGCCGCCGTGATTAAGGCAGACTACAATTCTTCAAGGTGCGGAGAATGAGGCAATTTTGAAATGAGGGATGATTTCATGAAACATTAATGCTATCTTGTACTTTTTCCCCTACATCAAGCAGAGAGTGCAGCCATTTACAGTCCATTGTTGCTCATTCTGACAAAACAAGCTCACTAAGTGACATTTTATGCTGTTTTGCTGGAATTATTCATGTGAGGGATTTGCAGATGTGATGAATCTTCATCAGTGCGACGCTCCGGCCTAACTAGTCTAATAATAATATTAAAGCCTTAGATTTCTTAAATAATGGATGTGCCTCAAGGCCATCTGTATCAGCGGACCATGTTAACAGGCTAAGTGCCGCGCTGCCCTGCAGAGCCCCCACACCAATAATGGAGCCGCTATCATCCACTCACATACTGTGCAAGGCAGGGCATAATCAGATACAGATAATAATACAGGTATTTTAATAGCCTACTTGTGCATCATTTCCTTTTGTCATGTTCATTTTTTTAGTTTATTACCTTTAAATATTCAGTTTTAACTGCAGATATGACAGAGTGGCGACTTTACTACTTAATCATGTTTGAACGAGAACAGAGAAATCTTTTTTTTATTTATACATCTCTCACCTGTTATCACATCGAGCTCTATTTGAAGAGTCTTTAGGAGCATATACTGGTGTTTTTTATAGAGTCTTTGCATGTGTCAAATCACAAAATCTATAACCCCAGATTCCCAGAGATGACTCAAAGTTTACGAGTCAATAAATCTCAGCGGCGTCTGTCAGATTTAGTAAACAGTGTGATGTTTTACGGTGGGCGGAGCTTAGCTGGAAGCCAAACACATGATGGAGCACCGTCTCTCAAGCTGGTTTTGTTTGTTTCTGACTATAGCTGAAGATACCACCGGTCTGTGTGAATATAAGAGGTCCTTCACTTCTGCTGCTGCTGCTACTATATTACATACATAAGTAAACACTGACCAGTGGGAGCAGACTGGTGGATTCAGACGTCAGCGGATGGATGATTGATAAAGTTGGAATATTTGAACATTTACACTTATCTGACAGAAAGAAAAGATACATTTATCCTCATAACATGCTCTCTATGTTTTCATATGAATTCATACTCGTGATAAACTAACTTTATACCTGGAAATGTTTTCTCCTGAGAGAGCATGACTGCTTTAGCAATAAGACATTTAAATGAAAATGAAACCTTGAAGCCCCCTACACATCCCTCTATCCTTCTTTATCACTCAATGACAAAGGACTCTAATTACGATGACATGAAGTGTTTCACTTGTTTTGTTTTGTTTTGTTTTGTATTGATTGAGACAGTCAGCAGTTTCCGCCCCTCCTCAGGTGTATATTTCTTTGTGTGCTTTCTTTATTTGCTGTTTAGCATCCTTAATTTGGACGCCTTTGTTTGCGAGTTCTGCATTAAAGCGAGCATATTTGTCCTTGACAGAATTTGAGAGCTGTGTGTCTCTGTGTGCGTTTGCATAACCTCTCCAGTGGGAACACTGGGCCCAGACAATATCTCCTCCTCTGCTGTAGAATCGGAGTAAAACTAACAGCTGTGCTGTGTTCAATCCAACTCTGCTGCCAAGTCCTGGCTCTGGCTCTCACCTGCTCCAGAAGGTTCAAACGACACGTCCTGAACTGACGCACTTGTGCGCCGGGCCGCTGTGAGTGGGACTATGTCAGCTTTCCAAGCAGCAGTGTTCCTCTTAACAATGTCTCTGGCAGCAGGCAGAGCTACATTTGCACTGACAGGGTGTAATATGAGGCTAAAAAGGATGCCTGCAGGGCTCACTGGGGAATGTGTGTTTGCTGCTTGAATATACAGACTTGTGACAAAGAAAAAGCTGAATAAATAAACGGGGATATATAAGAAATGCAGATGCTTCTTCTGCACAGGGCAGGAGAGTTCAGCGTCTGGTTTGATGACATTGAAGTAATATAGTATTTGCAGTGACAGTTGCATTAAATATATCCCACTTGGGTGGACGCTCATGTGAGATTTGCGCACCGCCACCAACATCGTCATCATAAGACTGCAAAGATAGTAACTTTGGGAACGCTGATACCCTCATCATCATATTAATAGGTCCTGATTGGTATAGACTCCAGAGTCGGTGGACTTGTAAGATCTATACTGAGGAGCACTGAGGTTGTTATAAAAAGCACATGGTGATCAAACATCTCCCTAAGAAGTCGAGTTAAAAAGAGTTCTAAGCACATCTCCAACAAATCAGGTGCTTCTTGGCTCAAGGACAGCGAGCTGCCAGAGAACAAAAGGCTCTTGAACACATCGATTGATTTGCTTTGATGTCACTGTTTGAGCAGACTAACGTTTCAACAACACTACAGTGTCTTCATCAGAGTCTGAGTAAACAAAGACACGAGGCAGACAACACAGTGTCAGTCTGTAGCAGGTGTACAACAACCACCGGGTAATTGGTTTGAGACAGATTTACTGGAGGATATATCCGAGAGTGGGAGACGCCATGATTGGTGATAAATGCCGCGCCCCTGTCTAACCTTGAATCTACATCATCATTTAAAGGGCCAGCGTGCAGCAGAGAGACTGATGGATCATTCGGACGATTAATCTAACCAACTATTGGCATTTTGAAAAAATCGGTATCACATTAGCTCATCATCTCTCTAATTTCCCACCCTGTCTGACAGCATCTTTAATCTAAAACAGTTATTAGCTTGTGTATTACTTCACACGTGAATATCTGTCATGTAGTGAAATCTAGAGCATAACAAAGAGTATCTTACTGTTTCATGGATTCAGTATCCATCAAAGCATGTTACCATCCAAGAAAACCATGCATATACTTACTTTAATGTAATGTTTACCTTGTGTTTGGACTTGGTGGACATGGATTTAAGCTTTAGAGATGTGTTTAAATTAGATTATGATCACCTAGTTCGAAGAAAAAGAAAAGCTACAGTATGTTTTTTTTTCCTTCAACATGGAAGTGGACCCTCATCTTGCAAACTAGTAATATACGTCTTACTGTACTGAGTGAGCAGCTGTGCAAAATTCACCAGCTGGGAGATGAAAAAGAAGAGAAGTTGTTGTGCGCATGCAAATTTGCATCACTACTAGGGGATGGGAAAAAAAATCGATACAGCATAGTATCATGATATTTTGTCTGGTGATATATCATATTGTCTCATTTACAAAGTATCAATTTTTTCAAATTAATTGTTAACCCATCAAGACCTGAACCCTGTCTGAGACACGCCTCTGAAATCCTGAGGGCAGTTTCGAGAAGGGCCCCCAGATCCTGAGGTAATCTTAAGTGTTGAGGTTTACAAAAAGCTGATATCCCGGCCTCTGTAGCAGATAGAAACAAAATTCTACGAGTATTTGAGAGCTTACACATGTGGCTTTCAAGATAACTATCTTTTATTTTTCGGAGCCTTCATCACATTATTGAAAACCTTGAACAAACAAACTCAAACAAAATAAAGCGGCTGTATAAATAAAAGTAAAGGCTCTGCAGTGAAGAATAACAAACTATTTGCTTTCTGTAAAACAAGTGGCAGTCATGATAAAGTGTCCATTCAATACAAATATTTTTCCTTTTTTAAAAAAGTGTTGAAAGGGTAAACAGCTGCCTTAGTATAGTGCCAGTACAGAAGCAGCACTAAAAAATAAAAAATAAATAAAGAGATAAGTGGCTGACAGTGTGTTCATCTCTGTGCTCACCCAAAGTCATGCAACACTCACAAAAATCGGCGATAGTGTGAGCCAAAGCACTCAATATGAAGAGGTTGTTCACACCGCTTGATGCTTCTCCTCCGAAGTTGCTCTCTGCCTCCATCGTTTACTTTCCTCACGAAGCATGTAGCAAGAATCCAAGCGCTTTCTTAAGCTTTATTAGCCTATCAGAGGCAGACGGGTATGATGATTTGATTCGCCATGACTCCAGAAATGACTGAAAAACTACAGAATGTTACAAAATGACGTATCCGCGCTTCCGGCTTGAAGGGTAGAAATGCGCAGCAGTGCCATCGGCTTGGAAGGTTGAAATGCGTACATGCCTCTCCCGGTTTAAATGGGTTAATATGAAGTCAACTCTGTGGTAATGGAGGAATAAAATCAACTGTTTGTTCAGTGAGGTTGGCAGAGGCGACATCATAGCGCAGGAGAAAATTAGCGTACCAAATAAAATCACAATATATTGTGTCACAATACTCAATGCATTGCAAAATGTTAAAAATTGCAATAATATCGTATCGTGGTCCTAGTGTCGTGATATTATCGTATCATGGGGCCACTGGTGACTCCCACCCCTTATTGCTACACATTTTTGATGGTAAACGACTAAATTAAAAATGGCAACACAGAATCTTTCTGTACTAGCATCATGACAAGAGCAAGTGAGCAAGGCCATCTTATAATCCTTCTGTTACATGTTGCTATTTATTCACATTTCTACTCAATGTACCTTTAAAATAACAGTATGCAAGTATACCAAAATCCACCGTTGCCTACAGATAGAAATGTTCATCATAACCGTATTGCCCCAAAACTCTGAAAAACTGGTGAAACATAGATAAACAGTAGTAAGATCATATATCTGATCTTTAAGGGATTCTGTTTGGTGATATTTCATGAAGACACAAGGATTTTACTGCGTGTAATCTTCAATCTCGATATCTTCCTTTGAAATATATCTAATAGTCTCGCCTTTAATCCACTAAAAATTTTTCTCTGTTCTCGTCATGAATCACTGGATCTTTGATTTGCATCTATGATGTACAATAAAGCTTTACAAGCCTGTAATATCCAAAAGAAGCCTCTACCTGTACCCTTTATTCTTGATCTTGCAAAAGATTAGGCTAAAACATAAACTATGTGATATTAGCATTCGCGACAAAGCCGTAAACATGTATTACCTCTGCATAAAAACCATGTACCAAACCTAAAACCTTTTAAGACAGAGGCTGACTGAGTGATTACTGCAGATCCGTGGAAATGATACGCTCACATTTCTTTGTATCTGTCACTGTACGCAGTCGTCTGATAATCCGGTGGTGCCATTTGCCAGGTCTGTGATCCGTCTGATGTACAAATCTGGTATTTAAAAGGATTTGCATAAATACATATTGTCAAATGCAGACAATATGTTTTCTCAGTGAAGCTCAGATATTCCTGTATCCTTTATGAAACACGGTGGATATGTGACAGATACATAAACCTGTATTGGCTCATTTCAGACTCAGTTCTTGTTCTTTCCATCGCGTAACATGTATAATGTTTTTTCATCGACTTGACAAAGATCAAACTCTCCAAGTCTGAGTTCTTTTGTCAAAACAAAAATATTTGAGCTGTCTTTCACCCTTTGAAACTTTGTTCAAAAACTCCCACCTCTGGACAAAATTAGCCACTTTTTGTTCTTTGTCTTTGTTTAGACTTTCATGCCGATGAAGAAACAGTTTTGCAGAACCATTCGTGTTTTCAGTCGCCATGCCCAGGCCACTTTTGTTCCCTTTGCCTCAGTTGTTCCAGAGTTTTGATTTGTCCCTGATGTTTTGGTGATTTGCACATTGACTCATCTTTTTTTTATTACTAGAACACAAGATTTTACAGACTCTGGTATAAAGAGTCATTATTCTGAAGCTATGAAATGATCTGTTTGTTTCTCTGTGATTTGTTTAGCCTGTCAGAAAGCACACACGCTCAGGGACTTAATATACTGTCGTAACTTAGAAAAGATGGTGAAATAAAGCACAAAAAAATAACTCAGAATGGAGATCTGTTCAAGGCATATGATTTTTCAATCATATTTGACTGACCAAAGGTTTACTAAATCTGTTGCTGATCATGTTATATATAATTCCAATGTAAATTACAGAGTTCCTCAGGGGTCAATATTGGGACCATTGTATTCTCACTGTATACGTCACTCCTACCAATTTATTCAACCACAAAAAAATCTTCTTTTGCTAACATACAGCAAAATTCTTACACATCACTCTAAAGTAAATTGTGGAGTACCTCAGGGGTCAATATTGGGACCATTTTTATTCTCATTGTACAAGTCATTCCGAGAGCAAACAAACCAAGAACACCAAACATTATTCTACTGTTATGCTGATGACGCACAACAAAATCTTTACACTTTTCTCCTGTGTAAATTGCGGAGTACCTCAGGGGTTAATATTAGGACCAGTTTTATTCTCACTTATTTGCCATTCCTCAGCCAAATTACTCAAAGACACATAATCTAATTTTTCTGTTGTGCTAGAGACACACAGCAATATCTTCACATTAACTCCAGCACAGATTGTGGAGTACCTCAGGGGTCATTACTGGAAACCTTTTTATTCTAACTTCACATGCCCCTTGGCCAACTTTATCAAAGACACAAGGTCTTATTTCACTGTTATTCTGATGATTTAAAGCAATATCTTCACCTATCACGAGTGTAAATTGTGGCATACCTCAGGGGTGAATATTTGGACCATTTTTAATCTCACTGTATATGCTACTCCCTTTGAAAAACAAAATATAATTTCACTGTTATATCTTCACATGTCACTCCAATGTAGATTTTGGTGTACCTCAGGGGTAAATTTTTGGACCTTTTTTATTTTCACTGTATATGCCACCCCTTGGCAAACATTTTCAAAAACATAAAATATAATTGTCCCGTTATGCCGATGGCACATAGATATATCTTTAAGTTATTGTCTGCAAGGTATTACAAAATGAATATTAATGAATTTTCTTTAATTGAGCGCAGAAAAATAGATACTGATTACAAGTCCAGAAAAGCTGTACTATGCTGTTCACTCCTCCTCCAAACAGAATGTTAGAAACCTTCAGTTGGCCTTTGACTACACCCTCACTTTTTAGAAACGAGTCCTGTTACTGTCACCTTAGAAATGTTGCTAGAACAAGATCAATGCTGACTTTTAATCACAATCGAGTAATTATTCATGCATCTACCTCCTTGCAATTAGATGCTGGTAATGTTCTTTTCACAGAATCAATCAGAAATCAACAAACTGACTACAAATAATTCTGGAGCATGAGTTTCAACACAACCAAGAAAATAGAGGATATTGATCCTGTTTCACTGACCTTGCACTGGCTGCCATTTTTTATAGTTGATTTTAAGGTCTGTCACCAGAATACCAGACCTGTTCCCGTACTAGCTGGTGCACATCTCCAGATCCTCAGGCAGAAACCTCTTAGATATTCCCACCTCAAACATAAAAACAAAAGTAGATCCAGGATTCGCTCTTCAAGCTCCCCGGCTGTGGAACAATCTGCCTGAGGATCGCTAGCTAGCAACATCATTATCTACTTTTAAATCGCTTCTGGAGAAATGTTTCCACCAAAGGGCTTTCTCGTTATTTCTGTATCTTATTCAGTTTTTATTATTTCTTCACTACAGTCTTTGTTTTTAATTGTTCAACTACTTTAAGCTGCCGACAAACCCCCTTAATTGCTGCTTTGCCAGAACAGTCTCTCCAGCACTTATGCCGCTGCTTGGTTCCACACCCAACCCACCAACCAGCACCATGAGTGGGGATTGACAGCGTTGCCGAAGCTGTGTGTCAGGACTAAGGGGGAGTAAAATAGCTGACATTTATAGACACGACCTTTGATTTGACAGAGATGGCATGTCATCTGGATTCCAGCTGGTGTTCGCTTCTTTCTTGGGGGAAATCAGCACGCCGGCTTGACAAGATAACTATTTTGGTTTGAAGATATGTGAGATTCAGGAGGTGTCATCAACACTCAGTGGTTGGTTTGGGGAAAAGGAGCAAAGTATATGTTAGAGTTATCAAAACAGAAATGTGTTTCTGAAAAGATTGAAGCTCTTCTTAAAGTTCTCAAATAAATTTAAATCTCTTCCCCATCTTGTCACAAGAAAACCTAAAAACGTACATTTTCTGCCTTATTAGCCAACCCCGAAACCATTAAGACGAAGGGGATTTTTGCGCTTGTGAGCAAACTACAGAAGGAACATTTTCGAGATTAAACCATCCAAGAGGAGATAAAAGACGGTGAGATGACATCAAAAAGAAACGCCTGGAGGGCAAAGAGAAATTCGCTGTGATAGACACACAAGTCACGTCCCCTGCATGCGTTATCGTCACAAACTGCTTATTCTGAGAAAGCCTTTAAGTGCAATTAAATGTTCCATTAAATGCAGCTGTTGCTTATTTCTACACAGTCAGCAGGATCTTCTTGTACTCAATTATGGCACATTAATAATTCCCCCACCAACCGATCTACAACATCTACATCTACATATCAAATTCTTGGAGTCGCTTGTTTTCTCGCTCGCAGCGAGACCCCTCAAGGTCTTGAAAGGCGGTGGAAATACACAAAAGAGATTTTCCCCTTTTTGAGAAGGGGTTGACTTCTAATGGAGAGGGCTGACTGTGCACACATGCTCTGCTCCGATGAGTTCCTTTTTGCAGATGGTCTCATTGCTATGCATAGAAAAGGCATCCTCAGATTTGCATTTGGTCAATTCTCCCCTTTAAGTCGGACATCTGTCTGTGTTAGAAATTAATCTACTGGTCCCCACGGTGGCTGCTTGGATTTTAATTAATTGTGTTAACGCATCAATAATAAAAAAGAAGAATGGAAGTCGGTTACTCTCTCTCTCCTTCACTCTCTCCGGCTCCGTCTGCCCGTCCTGTCTAAAACGATGATGTCTTTGTATTCATAAGACCATTTCGGTAATTATATGTTGGAAATCTGCTGAGTGAAGTATCATTACAGACTGAAAGAGACTCTGAATGTATACTGTACATACGGTGCTCCCAGCTGTTATTCGTCTCCGCGCCTCCCCGTATTTATTCCCCTCATTGACCTTGTAGCTGTCAGAAGTAGACGTCAACAAAAAGACAACTTTTCTGCCTACAGCTGCAAAAGTTTTCTGTTTCCTCCCGGCTGGATATCAGGGAGGCTGTCATTAATCTAGCAAGGATGTGTTGTTATTTTCATTGAACCTTTGGGAAAATATTAAAAGAAGACACCGTCATGGAGCTTGGCAATAATTTGCAAGTGACAGCGAAGGAGATAGATTTCCCTTCAGGTTGGCAGTTTATCTTTGCCGCCCATGGAGCCGGATACACGCGTGCTCTAAATCAGGCTTTTGTCAGGGATGATTGAGCTGAGATTGTGAACAATCTAACCATGAGCTCAAAGGACAGGAGAGACTCCACTGGGTTGTTATGTGAGAGAGTGTGTATGTGAGAGAAAGAGAGAGAGAGAGAGTCTGTGTTTTGTCAGCACAAATCCGGCGTTGTGTCTTTGAACCGTGGATAAAGTTGCATCTTTCAAGACTTGCAGCAGAAGTTCTTTGTATGCCTGTCTCAGAAGGTATTCTGTTTTGACTTAACTTTTGCTTCTCTCCTCCGAGTTCATACCCAACTTCCAGAGTTTCCTCTCTGCAAAATTAATTCCAAAGGCTTTCTACTTATTGTATCCATGCAGTCAGCCCTCATTACTGTGGGGTCTGTGGGAATTAGCGTCTTTGCTCTTTATTTTAAGAAAGCCTAGTGCTTAAATTAGTCTTTCACTCAGTCTTTCACTCCTGGGGGTTATTATGTATGTGCACTTGACTGTTTTTGCTGATTTTCCTATTCACTTAAATGAATTTGTGTTGCTTGCATGTTTGCATATGTCAGCGGTATTGTTTCTGGGCTAATTTGCGATGAATCCTGGCTTCTGTTTGGTTATCTATTATTACATTTCTCCTTTAAAAAGTAATGCACAACTTTTTTCTGTTTAATTCATGTCTCTGGGAGCCGATGAAAAAGTCCCCTCTGGGAGTCGTCTGGTTGTAAGACGGACGAAATCCTCTTGAGGGTCCGAGCAGTGAGGATAAAGGGGTGTGAAAAGAAGGACGTTCACAGAAAATGACAGCTTCACTCTGGAGTTAAATGATTATAAACCCTGAAATATGTCACGGGGACCAGTATTTTGTCCTTGATTTAAAAGTACTGTTTTTTTTTTTTTTTTTTAACCAAACCATTTATCATTTAGCTGAAGCAAAACAAACCTTGGAACAAATACCAAAGATTCCTTGAGTTGTAAATCAGAAATTACTTTCAGTTTCTGTTCAAAAGGTGGAACAAGAATTGTTGAAACAAGTCGTTGAAGGTTGTCAATTTATTTTTAACAGTGCTCAAACATAGAAGTTTGAGGTTTGTCACGTTTTTCGATTGCATGTTTCAAACTTGTTCAAATTTTAACTGATGTCAACATGATGTGCAGTTGCTCCAAGATAACAGCGATTACTAAAAGACCCACTCTGATGAAAATCATGTTTTTCTTGTTGTCTACATATTCATATGGCATTTTTCTGAGGCTACAGGACATATCATAAGAAAAAATAAGTGCAACATTGCATTTCTGAGGATTTCTGCATTCAAATCGCTGTGAATCTCTGGCAGACCCAAACAGAAGCTTCAGACACAGTAAGATTTCCTATGTCACAAGTCCAAGCTCCGCCCCCGGAGCCCCGCTATGCAGGCCAGACTCTGAGAAGTAGAAAGGATGATTGCAGAATAAGCGCGTGTGTTAGCGGATTGCAATGCTCCTAAGAAAGCTAATGATAATATTACCTTTCATTATGTCCTCAAAGACACTAGTGTCCAAGAGCTGAATAGCTCCTATGTTACCTGCCACTTCTACTACACCGGCAATGTTAGGCTACAAACTAGCGTGAAGAGGAGCGTGAAGAGGAGTGTGCAGAGCAGCGCTGTCTCCGCCCACAACTCGGAGGCAAATTGCTATTGAGCTACTATGTGTTCAGGCGGCCAAATAGGCTTGGGCCAGGCGCCGATTCATGACATCACACAATATGATTGGCTGGAATTTGGTTTGAATGACGTAGAAGATTGTTGTTTGGCCCGGACATTACAGGAGCGTTTTTCGCCAGATTAGGTTTCATGGGATTGTAGTCATTTGGAGAAAATATGAACGAATTTTATGAAGCAATTTTTTGTGACTTACAACAGCCGGACTATCGCCTCTTTTAGGTGACTAAAGGAAATGTGGGATAAAAGCAAAACTATCCATTGATAAACAGAGATCCTGCGTACATTTTCTTTCTATTTCCTGTAAAACAGTTAACATATACAAATAAAACCATCTAAAATTACGGAACAGTATGTTGTAATTCTCTGTATTATACAGGGAGAAAATTTCGAGGTCAATTGAACGAATAAATGGAAATTAACAAAAAAAAAAACACAAAAGGCTTTTAGCCAAGAACATTTGACTAATTAAAAGCAGCCCAATGTAGTTTGTCCGAGTGGACTTGCCGTAGTGTGACGTCTTCAACAGTCTTAATCTGGCGGCCTGAACGCTTCTGGTACCTACACCAGTCCTGCTCATGTGACACTACTGTCCACCATGATGCAAAGGTATGACCTGCCCACCTGAGAATGTCCCTTTAAGATCTAAGTCATGGGTCCATTGTGGTTTCTTATGCTCTAAAATAGTGCGGTGAACGTTTTCGTGAAGCCATTGACTGTCAATAGCATCTGAGTAGCTTTACCTGTATGCTTGGCTTGGATTTGGTGGTGGCTCAAACCAAAACCACTTGAGTGAGACCACTTCTCCAAAAGGCAGAGATGTTTTAAAACCTCTCTGATGTGGAAATTATTCAAAAAAACTAACGGGAGATTTTGTAGAAAAAGACAACACCCACTGACTTTGGCTGCACGGTCCTTGAATTTAATGTTCAAGAGGAATACTGTCCATATAATGCGCCTCATATCACCTGCTAGCAGGCATTTAATGTGTGTTAAACCTTTTCACATCAATGCATCAGTCTCTGATTAGTTTTGACAGCTGAGTATAACCTAATGACTGGAGAAAATTGGTGCAGTCTCCGTAGAAATAGTTGGCGTTTCATCCTGTTTTACTAGTGATGGTGTATCCAGTCAACCCACACGCTTAATCACAAAATTTTAATGTGGAATTAATGCAAATAAAGTGATAGTTTTGGAGTAAATCCAGCGCAAAATGAGTAGTGTGTAGCGGTGAGTTTTTATAGATCGCCCAACTGGTAATAAAAAACAAACACATTCAGCCTGAGTGGAGCCGTGGATCAGTTATCTGCCTGAACAGCTTCAAAAGCTTCATTTGTCCCAGACGATCATTTCCTGCTGGCGCGCAGGAGGTGCTTTTATTAAAAACAAGAAGACGACAGGTTCATTCCACTTGTTCACAGAAAAAAATACAAGCCAGCAACAGATGCTGTACCAGACGCATCATACAGTCCTCTACACTCCGCTAGGTTTGCTGCCATTTAGTTATTGTTTACCGAAATATTACATAAGCTCAACTCTGCGCCTGAATTCAACAGACAGCTCTCACATCAAGTCTCTTCTTTCCGCACAGCTGGTGGAGGTTCTGCTGTTAGTTGGTATCCAAATAAATTTAATAACAACACTGTGAACATTTGAGCTCTGAGTAGACCAGTTTGGAGGGTTTTGAGAGTGAAATGCCTGATAGGGATTAAAGCTGCTCAAAAGTTTGAGGCGTCCTTTTTCATTTTACTGGTTTTATTACGGATCTTCAGTGATCGGGGCCAGTTTGGCACCAGGACTCTTCTACTTCTGAGCTATGCTGTTGTGACATGAGGTTGTCAGATGGCTTCAGACCTCAGGACAGTTTTCCTCTTCACCTCAGTCCATCGTAGATGATCTCGGTAAAGTTGTGGGTGCTACTGGTTTATGGTATTGCATAAACCTCACAGAGTCAAGCTGTGACCACAAGTATAACAATTTTTGGGCGATTTTGCCTTTATCGAAAGTACAAGATGAAATGTGGGGAGATAGAAAGAGAGGGGGCAGGACATGCAGCACCTTATCGGGGCCAGATTCGAACCTGTGACCACTGCAGGGATTGTGGTCCCCCATACATGAGGCGCACTAACCCACTCGGCCATCTGTGCACCACACAGACAGAGAATTTTGACAGTGGTTTTGAGCCCATGCTGTGATTCCCACTACAGAGTCATGTCTGTTTTAGATGCAGTGTTGCCTGAGGGCCAAAATCAGAATCAGAATCAACTTTATTGACCTCCACGGAGGACCATCAAACATAGATGCGCAAGTATTGCACATGATTAAAGTGACCTGAGTGTTAAGAGGAGTTTGGCTTTGCATATTCAGAGGAAGGGCCATAAGAAGTTCAAGGTTAGACGACTATGACGACAAATATAATACAATTTAAAAGTATAAAAGTAGGGTACTAAGACCACGAGACTAGAAAAGACAAGAAAATGTTAAAAAGACTAAGACCACTGGACAAACAGTGTAAGAATAAGATAAAGTGCATGAGTACCAGTTATAAATCAACATAAAAATAAGTGTAAAATAGGAATTGAGATTGGTGTTTGGCAGGCATTGGTTTTTGGCTTGTACTTGCTTTTAACATTTGACTATTTTACTTATTGATATTTATTTGGTTTATTTTATTGCTATATTCAAATTGTGTGCTTTATGTAAAGTGTCTTTGAGTATCATGAAAAGCACTATACAAATAAAATGAATTATTATTATTATTACTGTACTCATCATACTGTAGATGATGATTTTTCATTATCACAGATTTTTGTTTTCATTATTACAAACACCTTGAAATAATTTACAAACCATATAAATCATCATTTGTCGTCCTGCATTCCTACATTTCTTCTCTGTGATGGGGGTTGTTATTCCCATAAAACCACAGCTTACTCACAGACTGTCTTGATACTGGAGCAGAGCTGTAACTCCAGGTTTGGGCTTCAGGTTTATTTAGTGCTGTAATAGCAGGTTTCTTTATAACAGAGTACATTGCTGGCTGCACTTCACCTCCTCCTGAGCGGGTTGTTTTTCAGTTCTTACAAAAGCACCGACTCCTGCTCTGTTCGGTGTTATGATCCTCGTGTTTTGTGAACAGATTGTTTGGGTGCAGGTGGTCAAGTGTGTTCAGACTCATACAAGAGGTGTCCCTCGGATTTGGGCGCCGTTGGTCTAGCCTTCTAAATTTATGGAGATTATGATCTTTAAGTGGACTGTTTGGGTTGGGCATTTTCTGCTCTATACACCGTCCCATCGACTGAAATAACAAGCCAAATAATAATAATAGATGCCAGTGACGCCTAGCACCTTTATAAATAAGCTGAAAAAGTAGACCTACTTACCCTCTGAAATTATATTTTCAAGAGTTTGTTCTCTGAAGTATGTTTTGTACCGGTGAGGTTGCAGCTGAAATAATGAAGCTCCATCAATCACACATGCTATTCAAACACATCTAAGCAACACAGTAACTCAACGTGACGGACAGATGTGATTTTACTAAGATAAAATCATGGAGCAATCATGACTGTGGAGCTTAAAGGGACATTCCGGTGTAAAATTAAGTTAGGGTCAAACACACCATAACATCCAGTCTAACCAACTTTAGTAACGACTGTACGATAGCAATACACAGAGCCACGCGCTCAACCAAAACACCACTCTATAGCCACTAATAATGCTCAGAACAGCACCTAACTTCATCAACAGGACATATAGGGTCCCAGCCATAGTACTAGCCATCAAGCATCTTTTTAACTTTGCCTGATTTCTTTAGCAAAGAGACTAAACACAACTCACCCACTCTCTTCCAGCAGCTGCTTGTTTGTACAGAGACCTCCGGGCGAGTCCATCGACTGCAATGGGGTGTCGCAGCTCAAGGAAGAACATTTATGATCATTACTTTATCATTTCCTTAAAGTAATAATCATCATATTACTCATTTTGCATTGTAGTTCTTTTGCCTTAGCGTCTCGGTCTGATTGCATTTCCATGAAGAATTGATCATAAATGTTCTTCCTTGAGCTGCGACACCCCACTGCAGTCGATGGACTCGCCCGAGTGGCTGCTGGAAGAGAATGTATGAGCTGTGTTTAGTCTCTTTGCTAAAAAAAAAACAGGTAAAGCTAAAAAGATGTTTGATGGCTAGTGCTATAGCTGGGACCCTATATGTCCTGTTGATGAAGTTAGGTGCTGTTCTGGGCATTATTCGTGGCTATAGAGAGCCTTTTTGGTTGAGGTTTACGCATAGAGAGGTAGACCGCTGCTATCGTGTGGTCGTTACTAAAGTTGGTTTGACTGGAGAAGCAAGCAGTCGGCAATATTCATCTCTCAACGGAGTGTCTATCTCGGTGTTATGGAGTGTTTGACCCTAACTTAAAATTACACCGGAATATCGCTTTAACCAGCACATTTATACAGTAGATTTTTGTCAGCTGTTTGTTTCCTGCAGCTTTGTTTTATCTAGCTGATATCATCATATAAGTTTCCTTATATTTCTTCTCGCTCTAAAGTTTGTAAAATACATTGTTGTGCTCGATTCTATGGTGCCAACATTGTCTATTTTACTTGAGCAGGTATAAGTGTTGTTTGAATGCTTATTGTCAAAGTCCAGGTGGATGAAATGAAAGGATAGCCGAGTTGCATTATACTGTAGTGTTTTCATTGTGCGGGCCTCTGGTGACGAGCACAAAGCACACATCACAGGTGCTATTTTCATGAATTTACAGAGCAAACTGCAGAATTATTCCACTCAGCTCACCAGCATAGACACAAGGACACCCTGATGTTTGCTGCACAGACTGTTTGTTCAGACAAACAGCGGCTTTTTGACAATCTGGTCAATCCCTGCATACACGGCTCGCGGCTTGACTGTCCACAGGCTGCTGTATGTACACATCTTTCCTCAAATACACACTGAAATCCAAAAATACAAGTGAAGGGGGAAAAACTAGGGAGAGAAAGTTGTCTCTTTGGAGTCAATTGATGCCACTCTTCTTTTCTTACTCCTACACGGTTAACCTGTTCTCAGTTAATTAACCTGACTCAGAATTGGTGTGTAAAACCAAGTGGCCTTTCTGCCTCCATCTGGCGCCTCCAACACGCCCACCCACGGCGGAGAACTCGTCTTCTTTTTGCTGTGCTGGAGCTGTCTTATGTGACTTTGGATGCAACAAAAATCTCTGAAACTTTCCATGATTATGTTCAAAAAAGCTTTCGTGTGATGGATTGCCATGTGTGCAAAACTGACGCACTGATTGGTTAAATAAGATGGCCATAGCTTCTATAGGTTGGCTGGCTGGTAAATGACCCTCTCTCAGCTTCAAATCAACAACTTCTGCCAACGTATCTGGCACGTCGCTTCGTGTCACTGAACCGCCTCCTAGATTTGTGCTAGAGTCCTCCTGGGACGAGACAAGCTCATGCTAACTGAATGTGTTTTCTCCTCTCGAGCTGCAGTAATTTAATATCCTTCAGCCCTCAGTAGCTTACTTGGGGTGTCATATATTCTCTGAGAGAGAATTTACACCTCCCACACAGCCGCATCAGTTTCCTCTGGGGAAAGTGTTTGTGTTGAGACCTGCTCTTCTCTGTCCTCTGTGTCATCAATTTGTCAGACGGCCACGGGGCAAACCGCTGCCTTATATAAAGGAGATTACGTGATTGGTCATGATAAAACTGAACACAAAAACTGACAATTGTGATCCCATTGAAGTTGGGTTTTCAGCCCCCTCCCTCCCCACAAAAGCACAGCAATATCACCAGAAACGTTTAAGCTTGCACGTGCGTGTTGTGACAGAGATTTGGGTTGTGTCTCATTGATTTGAAACCAAAGCCAGAAGAAAGGGAAGACAATGCTGCAGAGACGAGGGTTTAAAACCAGTGTAAGATCCAACGGTTACACTTTTAAACAACTTCCACCCACATTTAGATTTCTTTTGTGAGGATATTTGAGGTGGAAAATTAGGCTTGTCCTCAGTTAGCTTATGTTGCTGGATATTATATCAATACAAATGCAAATTATTGAGAGTTTATCTGATAGCATGTGACCTGGATGAGGTGTGACTTGTCGTGCTCCATGTACAGACTTATCGACGAGAGCTAGACAAAGTCAAGACAGGCTAAGTCAATACTGTGATCTGGTTTGTGGTTTCTTGGTGTCTGTTTTCTTCAATTTGTTTGAGGTCTCTTTCATCCTGTTTCTGAACTACTTACCTATCCTGTAGTTTCTTCCCTTTCCTGTCCTTGTTTGCTTCAATTTTGTGCTCTCCAAATGAGTTTGTTACGATGAGTTTGATCCCATCGGTAACTTCTCATGGGGGTTTCGACCAATCAGAATCAACTGACGATAACTCTTAATGTGGCTTAAAACTCTGTTGTGAAGCTTTTTTAATGCCCTGTTTCTTGCAATCAACAACTGTGGTTATGACCAACATGAAAGTGCACACACCCCTGCTCCTAGTGAAAAGTTAGCTCAAAGTCAAGCTAGATGTGTCAAAGATAGATCACCCTAACAATGAGCAGCTCAAAGATTAGCTCTCTCGTCTTAAAATGACATTTTGTAGCAGCACTTAGCTTTTTCTTTTCAAGTGGCGCCTTATGCTTCAGACTCTAACCCCTAATCATCGGCATTTCCCAAACTAAACCAAATACAGCATCTTACCATAGAATCATGGGCAAGTATTTGGTTTAAAATCCAAGAAAAGCCGGTGTAAATGGACTGTATTTATGTGGCTGTCACATTCAGCCTTTCATACCATAACACTGATGGCAGAGGATGCTATGTCGGGTGCCATCAGTCTTTACAAGTCATAGTATTGTATGTTTTACAGCTAAAATGATAGGTTATTAAATTTTTATCCATTTTCTATTATCCGTTGCTGCATAAGGATTAAAATCTGTAGCCCTGAGAACTAAAAAACACACGATTTCTCGTCTGAATATTTGGCTGAAGGTCCAGACTCATCTGCTTCTTAAAGAATGATGTGAGGGAGTTTTGTGTCTTCATTTATTATAATATAAGGACTAAAGGTGGATGAAATGGCGACCAAACAAACACAGAAAGTAAATTACACTCTGTTATCTTGATTTCTGGCGGTATTAGCCATTCAGAGCACATGCCAGGTGCCATAAATCCAGCTATGGCTGCTGTGAAACACAATGCTCAGTAACTCAATGAGGGCCCTGAGCGCGTTCCTGCACAACATTGAAGTGATAAATCAGTGGGCTTGAAATCATTGTATGATACTGACTGCAGCTCCAAAGAGATAAGAATGAAAGCTAGTTTCCATCATTCAAGGTAGCACTGGCAAATATCGACTAATGTCGCTAACTTTGGTCTACAATTGAACTGAACTTGAGGGAACAGAAAAATCTGGGAAATTGCTTCGAATTGCATCCCTTAGCTTCAGTTAACTCATCATAACTGCACAAGGCTAGCTGAAAGGGCAGCACGATTTATCGAATTTAAAGCCTAATCGGGTTTTTTGATTATGACAGTTTAAAAAAAATTAAAATCATCAAATTGATTTTCCTCTCTATCACGTCTTGCGCCTCCAGGCCACCTTAGACACTTACTGGTTTGGCATATGTACTACATCGTTTTCAGTGGTCTCGCTTTAAAAGATGGTAGAAAAACTTTTTATTTGAGTGAAGTTTGATGAAGATGTCACTGAATAAGAAATCGAAAATGAAAATCGAGTTTTGAGAGGAAAAAAATTGGGATTGTAATTTTGTCCAAAATCGTGCAGCCCTACTCGCTGATCAAGACTGCTCAAGCTGGTGGAATAACATCTGTGAATCTTTGACCAGTTCTCCAAAATTGGCTTCCCAATGTTAAAGCAAAGACTTAATGCCGATCAGTCTATTATGACTTTGACACCATTAGCCGTTCAATGCTAAATTAGGGGCGAACTCCCGTCCTCTGGGCCACGTTGGAAAAACAAGTCCACATCTGACAGCAGCTATTTAGTTACCACTGCTCTCATTAAATTTGTAGTCCTATAACAACATTGTGTCCATATTATGAAAAATGTTCACCAAGCAATAACATGAAGCCTCGGGTGTGTTTGTAATTGAATAGGACATGCTTACTCTGTCATCACGGTGTATGTTATGGGCATCAGTGGGCACTGTAATGGGTAAACAAAACCTAGACATGAATATGATAGATGACACTGCCGCTCACTCATTAGGCTTTTACTCCAGGGATCCTTATCGAGGCTCAATTTTCAGCCCAGTAGCTCACAAAGTCATTCTCCTAAATATGATTTGCATAATGGAGAAGTCTAAATTGTGCGTAATATATCTCTCGTTTCTCAAAAGAGGCGATAGTGAAGGGGAAGGATGTTAATCTCATTCTGCGTGACATTCAGTCACGTGCTCCCTCTTTCTATTTTATCATCCCTCCCCTCCCTCTTTCACTCTCTCTTTGTATATTTAATCAGTCTGTAACTTTCTCAGTATGGATTATTATGATGTGCTTCTGTTTCCTCCTTTTAGGTGACCGAAACAAGGACGGGCCCTCTTGGATGCAGTAACTATGACAACCTCGATTCTGTCAGCTCCGTTTTGGTTCAGAGCCCCGAAAACAAGATTCATTTGCAAGGTTGGCCATCCATAATTGAACTCCCCCAATTTCTGATGGAATTGTCACAGTGTCTGTTCTCTGGCAAGCTTATAACTGCAGCATGAGAATGTCAGAACGAATTTAGCTTCAATCACTCTTTGGCTTCTTTTTCACGTTTTTCTCTTTTTTTTTTTTTTTTTTCATGCATGCTTGCAGAGTTCTGAAGTGAATCCCAGACAGTAATGATTCAGAACCAAAGTAGCAGAAGTGTGCAGTAAAAATAAAACTTTAAGTGAATCTCAGCATACTGCATGTGTCACCGAGCATATGTCAGGCGTGGCAAAAAAACAGAGAAAATGAGTTCCAGCCCCTGGTGATTTACAGATCCAGCGTAACAACAGCCATAAACACATTTTCTGCAGTAACTAAAGCACTTACAGCTCCCCTCTTCATTCATCCATGTGACATTTCCATGTTTTTTGTCCTGGTTTTGTCCTTGCCTCAGGCCTGCAGGCCATACTGCCAGACTACTTGAGAGCCAGGTTTGTGCAAGCGGCGCTCAGCTACATTGGATGTAACGAGGAGGGCCAGTTCGTGTGCCGAGACAATGACTGCTGGTGCCAGTGTGCCGTGGACTACCCACAGTGTAATTGCCCCGAGGTGGATCTAAAGGCTATGGAAGCCAGTTTGCTGAAAATCCGAGACTCCTGGAACATGGCCAACCAAGACTTTGAGGAGTCAGGTCGGTTGTTTTTCCTCTCTTCTTTTGCTCGTCTTAAATTGCTGTGACCCTCCCACTGACAGTAAATTAGACCCTATTGTTAGACAGGCGGATGGGGCGGGAAACAAAGACAGAGAGGCCATGAAAACAAAGAGGCAATTACACCCAATCCACGTAATGGGGATTCATCACTACACAGAGGAGACATTTTTTAAAGCAGCATCTTGCAAAATGATACTAAAACAGCAAAAGGCGTCTCATAGCTATTAAAAAGAAGGGCTCAGATTTGATGGATTCTCCCAAGTCTCGCTGTTAGGTGCGGAAATCACCTATAAATTCTTACATACACAACCAAATGTAAAAGTGTCCCATAAATGTAAAGCATGTTTGCATATTTTTATTTTTCATTTTACGACATCATATGTTATGGCGTCATAAAATCCCTGCAAAATGCTTTCAGATTTTTGCACAGGCTGAGCATTTGTCGGACAAGCTGCCACTTTAAATGTTTGAGGAATTAAAGGTACTTCATCACATCGATGGAAAAAAACCCTGTAAATCCAATATTACCATAAAGCAGCCCTGTTTATTGATTTGCAACGTGTCCCTCAGTGGCCTTATGCAGACAGAGATATTAAAGGCAGAGCTGAGTCAGTAGAAGCAGCAGAGAAATCCCTAACAGTTGACAAATCTGTCATCTTGCAGTGTACATTGTGGGCACACCAAACACTCTCCCTCTGTAATCAAACAACCGCCCCTGCTGCCATTTGGCGGGCCTGGCTGTGCACAGAAATTGCAAAGTGCATGTCTCAACATTTAAACAAAAGGGGCTTCATGCGCAGTGACATGCAATTCAGTCAAATGAAGGTTTTTCAGTCAGGGAGACAAACTACTACTCTCGGTGTGATCTGTGACATTTCTGTGATGTAAGACTTTGGTGCTCAGCTGTGGCTGTTTTATTGCTTAACCTTGTTTAACACCAGCCGGCTAACATGGCACGGAAATGTCTTTTCTTGAGGACAAAGAATCAACGATACAGGGAAGATATCGCTCACAGTAAACTTTGGTGCAGAAGACACACTTTTGATAGATTTCCCTTCACTGAAAAAGTAGGATGCATCCTCTATACTTATGCAACCAGGGTGTTTAAATTTAAATAGCTTCTCTCCCACATTAAGAATAACAATAAGAAGAACTTTATTAATCCCCGAAGGGAAATTCAGTTCTGTTGTGTCACATAATATGTCTCTAAAAGTTATCTACTATTTACACAAGAGTTATAAAGTCTGATGGCTGTGGGTACAAAAGATCTTCTGATCGTCCACCACCATTGGTCCTTTGGTCCATCAAGGTGTTGTGAAGTGGGTGATCCATGTTCTTGAGGATAGTCTCCACCTTCCTCAGTGTAGATCTCTCCACCACATCCTCCACTGAGTCCAGCTTGAGTCCAACCACAGAGCCAGCCTTTTTCACCAGTTTGTTAAGACATCTTGCATCTTTGTGTTTGATACTTCTCCCCAAAAGCATAAAACAGAACACTGTAGACACAACAGACTGATAAAACATCTGCAGCGTCTTACTATTGATCGGAGTGTTCTCAGGCAAAAGAGGCGGCTCTGCCCCTTTCTGTAGATGAAGTCTATATTCTTAGACCAGTCCAACTTATTATCCAGATGTACACCTAGGTATTTATATGATGTCACCACTTGGATGACATCATGTCGAAGAGGGGGTTTGGCTCTATGGAAGTCTATGACCATCTCCTTTGTCTTTGAGGTGTTGAGGAAGAGGCAGTTTTTGTGACTCCAGTCACTGAAGGCTCTTATTAGATCTCTGTATTCAGCTTCTTGTCTATTTCTGATACATGCCACAATAGCGGTGTCATCTGAGTATTTCTGGATGTGGCAGGACCCAGTGCTGTATTTGAAGTCTGATGTATACAGTGTGAACAGGAATGGCGCCAGCACTGTCCCTTGTGAAGCCCCTGTGCTGCTCATTAATATTCCCAAAACACAGTTCCCCAGCCTGACAAACTGTGGCCTTCCTGTCAGGTAATCTGTGATCCAGGAAACACAGGAAGGATCCACTCCCATCTCTGTGAGCTTGTCTTTGAGTATGGTGGGTTGGATGGTGTTGAATGCACTTGAAAATTCATTTGAAGAAAATTAAGTAAAGAAAAGTTAAGTTAATTAACCTTGTTGATTGAAAATACTCTAGTTTAAGAAATATTCAGGGTTGAGAGGGTTGATACAATCTCAGCCTGTCTGTTGTGGGCTGCAGGTCTTGTCTGTATCATGAAACTATCGGTGCCTAGCATCCCCAGACATCATTTCAAAGCTGCTAAAAGACCTTGGATACAGCAGACCAATCATGCTCCTTTATGTAGAAACAGGTCCGGCTTTATGAATGACAGCTCAGGTGTACCACTGATGGCAGCTTCCCCTGCAGGAGGCTCCACTGAATCTGCTGCTGCAGCTGTTTTTAAGGATGTTAATGATGTATTTTCAGATGCATGCTGATGTCCGTTTATGTTTGCCGTAGCTCCGTGTTGTGTCACACGCTGCGTTTCAATCGCCGCCTGAGGCATGTCTGCGTGGGGCTGCTGCTAATGCCTCCATTAACTAAGGTGAATTGATCTGGTGATGCTAAACTACTTTCATCCCGTTTGGTTAACAGGCAAGGTAGTGATAATAGATGGTACCAAACAGAGCTACACATCGCCATAGAAACCACACATTGCTGAACACAGTGAAAGTTATGCAGGAGGACGGTTCAATCCTTTTTTTCTTGCTGAGGGCCCCCCAAAAACAAATTGCATAATATACCAATGTGATTGATTTTACAGGAAAAAGAGGGAAAATATTTTTTTTTTAAAATAAGCAAGTTTTACTTGGCAAGATTTCAAAACAATCCAACAAGTAACAATGCCCACAGGCGTCTTTATGGGTCTAGACTATGAACATAAAGAAAAGACTAGAGAGAGTTTTCTTCGAGAGGAATGGTTGATTAAAATATGTAGAGTTCAAAGCTTTAATACCTAACTGGTACAGTCCTTGACAAACATGCAAGTCAGACAAAACTAGGGAGAATCCAGGGTCAGGGGTCAGGGGTTGTACCCTAACACTGAGAAAAATTTTGACATTTTTCCGAATTGTTTTTGTACCTATCAACTCCAAATGGTCTGAAATGTGCTCCCAAATAGGTCCTGGACAGTGATTTTAACCCTAACCTCTAACCCTGACCCTTAACCTTACCCTAAACACTAAGAAAAACTGTCCGATCTTGCTATAGAGGGTAGCAGTCCTGGACAATCCCATTCACTTGAATGAGGATTTTTTAAATTGCCCATAACTTTTGAACACAAAATCATAGAGACTTGATTCCGGTACAAGTGAACCCGGAGAACATGCAATAAGGTGGTTTGGTCCTGGTTCCAGATCTCTATCTCGATTTGAGGATTGCCGAAGATCACCGGTCAGCGATTGTGTTTTAAACCCTCATACCCAATGCAACCCTAGCAGCAAAGTTTTGGCTTTTTTTCTTAATCTTTTTTTGTGCCAATCAATGCCAAATGGTCTGAAACTTGCTCCCAAATAGGTCCTGGACAGTGATTTTAACCCTAACCCCTAACCCTGACCCTTAACCTAACCCTAAACACTGAGAAAAACTGTGTTTGATCTTGCTTAAGAGGATAGCAGCCGTGAACAATCCCATTCACTTGAATGAGGATTGTTTTAAATTGCCCATTACTTTTGAACGCAACGTCCTTGAGACTTGATTCCAGTAGCAGTGAACTCGGGTAACGTGAATTTGGGTGGTTTAGTCCTGGTTCCAGATCTCGATCTCATTCCCTTGAGAATTGCCGGTCAGTGATTGTGGTCAAAACCCCTATGCCTAACATAACTCTAGCACTCCTATTGTTTTTTGTTTTTTTTTACCTGTCGACTCCAATTGGTCTAAAACGTGCTCCTAAATAGGTCCTAGACAGTTTTTTTTTTCTTCACATCCTAAAAAGTATAAAAAGACGAACATGTTTGTCTGGCGATTGTGAAAGTAATGCATATAAAATGTGAGATTGGTGCAGCAGAAGTTGCCTGCCTGGACTAGCTCAGAGGATTTAGTCCATTTATATTCATTTATTGATTATCTGTTTGGACAGGTGATGAGATGTAAAAGATTAGTTACTTGTGATGAGAAATTCAGGCTGAAAAAAGGAGCTGACTGTACGCTGCTGTGATTTACTAAATCTAGTTTAAAATATTCAGTTTTTCATGAATAATAATCACATTTCAGTGAAGATTTTCAAAGATGTAAACACTTGAAACTTGGGAAATCTGGTAAGCAGAGGTTTCTTGTCAGACAAACTCGCACATTAATCCTACATCGATTTGTCTTTTCGAAGAGCACCGGCTTTAAGCAAACTATCCACACATGGAGAGTGTGAGAAAAGCATTTCACACCAGCTTTCTGCAAGGCTTTGGATAATTAATACAAAAGGCACTCTGTATGGTGCACACTTTTCCTTGAATGTTTCACCTTCACGCTATCATTCATTCAGCAGAGTGTTCCCTACATGCTTCTGTTCGTCTACCTCTGCTGTTATTGAAACTTCAGGCTGCATCCACAGGCTCTGAGGGCATCTGGCTGTTTCAATCACTCCACCGCCCGCCTTCAGCTGTTCTCTGCGCACCTTGCTGGCTGAGCACGTTATTACTGGCTGCATGCTCCCGTACTAAGGGCGACTTGATTAGCACACCGCCGCAATAACCTACACAGCAAGGTGCCCTGAGAACTGGAAACGCCGTATTGCATTAAATACAGAAAAATAAGTGCAAACCGTTGAAACCCTGGGGATCCATGTGATCTTTTATAGAGGAGAGATTAATTGTAATTGCTGATTAGTTAATCCACAGTCATGTAATGATGTTCAGACTGACCCTGGCGTTACTCTAAGTGGAGTTTGCTGTGAGGTTACGATGTACTTTGCAGCAGAAGGAGTGAGAAAGTCTTGGTTATTCCCACAAAGAGTCTTTTTTTTTAAACCCAATTAAATGCTTTAACCTTAAATCATATTGAAGCCAATGCCTACAAAACTAATAAGAGATTTCAATCTCTGAAATGTTGGTTTGGATTTAATCCTCACTGAGTCATTCAAACGAACACAACACAAAACCTTTTTTTTTCAGTAGGTACTAGTCATCTATGAACGAACCTGCCAAAGCTTGCTGAGTGTGTTTTGATTCGTTTGTACCTTCAGCTAGGAGATAATCAGACTTTTTTCAGGTCCAAATTTTCCCCTTTCTGACCAAAATCAGCAAAGGCCCAATTATCAAATGGTTCTGAAAATTATCTAGCAGGATTATAATGAGGTATACGGTCTGTTACGAGTGATTTTCATTCCTCCAATCGCCATGAAAGACTATCGAAGCAACCCAGACCTAAAGTCGTAAATATGGTTCCATATCTATGATCAGGAATCTATAGAGGAGAGTTTATCAGGGGCGAACAACACAATAGCCAATCAGCAAGCAAGCTGAGTAAAAAAGGATACAATCATGGCGATAATAGTAAATACGAAGCATAACCATGTGGAGCGGTCTTCAATCTCAACCATTCTGCGACATAGTTGGCATGACTCTTTGCAAAAGAAACCACCTTCATGTGAATTAGGATAATGCACCTACAGCCATAAAATCTCATAGATGAAGAAGCTTATCTTTAAAAATAACATTGTTTATTTGACTAAACTATTAAGGTAATACCAATAAAAATCAATTTTACCCCCAAAATAATTGAAAGGACAGGCTCTGCCCTCTTGACTTTGGGCTGCCGTTGAATATCTCACATTAAACCAGGCGACTGAGGAAGCCGTAATGAAGCACAGAGGAAAGGTTGGACCAACTGTCAGACATGGCAGCTGTACCAGCAAAGCTCCAGCTCCCGGTGTCCCGGAGTTTTCTGCCAAAGGATGTTTGATTAACTAACACAAAATCGGCCAGCAAGTTTGAGGAGAAACAGAGCTGCCCTGGTGATGTTCAGCCACAGCTGAAACTTAATGGTTTCACTTCACAGCAAAAAGACATGTTTATGCAATTGGAGTCACTAAGCAGCTCCATGTTAATGGAATAATTTAATTTAGTTTGACTGGGGTTAACTTGGAGTCACTAAACAACTTGTTCCTTTAATTATTCAACGAGCTCTGCTCAGTTTTGAATTTGAATTAATTCTTTTAAAAAATCACTTTTTCAAACGCTCATTAAGACTCCTCGTCGTGACTTTTCTGACAATTGTTTTTATTGTTGTCACAGCGTCTCAACATGGAGTTTACCTTTAAAACAGGTCTGCTCTCAGTGTCATAGCCAAGCAGAAAACCTCTTGTCTTGAGAAATGAAGCTGGAGAAAGTGCCAAACGCTGCACTTCCTTCAGTGTCCACTTGAGGCTGGCTCCAGAAACACCAGGAATCACATACACACCCATTTAAAAAACCTCTACAGCAAAAATAATCATGTTTGCAGCCTGGAACAACAAAATCATACTCGGCCTGGACAGCTCATTTCTGTTTTTGTACACCATGTGGGGGGTGAATTTTTGATGAGTTGTTGCTTTTGTTGATATTAAGATTAGAAATTAAGCATATTCAGAAATGCAGCTGACTTGACTAACAGGCAGACACTATTTAGCTGTTGGCTAAGAGGCTAAAAACCACCTCACCTTTGCCTCTTGTTAGGTCAAAGTGTGGTGGAAGTGAACTGCGTCAGGAGGTCAAGTCTACATGTTTGATGCCAGTATGAAAATATTTTCATTTACCGAAAGGCACCCTGCAGAAACAGTCTAAGAACCACCGGATTAGGAGAATCTCTGTTGGTGTAACACAGGCTGAACTGAGAAGACTCAGAGTTTCTGTAACGCTCCAGTTCTCAGAGTTTGTATAAATCAGTCATACTCAAAACAGTGTGTCAAAGAAGATGGTAAACCAAGATCTATTGACTGCTGAGTACAGTGTGTACCAAGCCAGAGAGGGAACCGTAAACTGAAGAAACTCAAGATGGCGTGTTTTTGTCCTAATCCTAATAACTATAATAATAAGTCATAATAGTGCAAATATGAGGCGTGTTAAAGCTGCTATGAGGAGCTTTTGGTGTGAGTTGATGTTGATGACCCCTACTAACAAAATATCTACTCTCATATATTGTAATTTTTTGGACAAAATGCTCATCTTGTTCTCTTTTAAAGTGAAAGTTATCTCTTGCTGTGAGTTTTAGTGGTGTTCGTATTTTTGGAAAAGCTTTTTTAGCATCAATCATCCAGTTTTCAAGCATCAAAATTACCGCAGTGAAATTATCCAACTTGTTGCTGATGGTTTTGTTCACTTTTAAGAATTAGTATCAGTCTTTGCCTTTTTCTAAAAAAGTTTAAAATTCCTCTCTGTGCCTTTAACCTGATAAATCCAGCTTCAAGTCTTATTCAAGATACTAAATGAGACCTGTAACAAGTGGGACAATTAGGTGTTTTTTACTCATTTTTAAGCGGTACAGGTCTAATTTGTGGTTTATAGTGTCTCAAAGTCGGATGGTTATCTGGATATTTCAGGGGAGCGTGGTTTGCATAAATCTAGAAAGACATTTTAAAAGAAATACGACTAAAACAAAGAAGTTTCGGGTTTTGTGGATGAATTTGAGAAATGAAAGAGGTCTTGGTCAAAACCTACTCTGCACTTTGTGAGGCAAATGTGAGTATTTGTTTGAAGATTAACAAAGATTGTACTACACATAATTACGTAAGGGTAACCTTATAATTAAGCGTTTTGAAAATCATCTTTCCAAACAAAGCCTCTTTATTCAACAATTACCCTCCAGCAAAGCCTCCCTCTGAATGTTACTTTGAATAATGGCCACACACCACCGTATTTGTTCTCTCCTAAATCTGACAGTGTCTTCTATTTTTAAACGGATCCAAAAGGGAAGTGCTGTTACCTTCCTGCGTTTAGCAGCTGACAGGATAATAAGGGGGGGTAGTGACAGTGTTTCCAGGGATGAGCTGTTGTTGACTTGGTGATAAAACGATGGCCGGGTTGAGCTGCAGTTTGCGGTTTCTACCTTCTGCAGGAAACGCTATGAAAGGGTGAGATTATTTTCCTGAAATGTGTTGAAATCAATATCATCAAAGATACACAGTCAAGTTACTGAGGAGGCCCTGTGATTGTTATTTCCGTGTGTTTCTTTCACTTTCACACTTTGCCTGCATTGTCTTGTCAGGATTTGTTTTGTTCAGGATGTTACTTGTATTTTTTAGCTGTGCAATCATCTTCAAGAAAGAAACGATAGATTTGTTGCTCTAATGGTTAATATCCAAGGTTGTCCTTGGTGAGTGTAGGGATTTTTGCATCAATGCAGAGAAGTAGGGCGCAAGGTGGGAAAAATATGATAATCAATAGATATAAACCTCGCCCACCTGAGAGCAACGGATTGCATCAGAATCTTTCATACCTGCGATAGAGTCGGTGAGAAATTCAGCGCAGAGCAGCCGTGCATGTTTGCACAAATCGATTAACAGACTGGAGGAAATTTTCTCACGGTTTGTATTTTTACACTGTAAATCTTAGAATATAAGGAATCACTTTACGTTTACTGGAACTGGTGTTTATGAAACTTAGGGCCTGTGTCCACTAGGTGAATTTTTCTGGTAGCAGCCCAGTGTCCTCTCTCAGCAACGTAAATTATACATTACATTGTAGAGCTCCCCCTACTGCCTTGCTTTAATATGGACCACAAACCCCGCCTCCTTCATGTTAATTTAAAAATACACATCAAATAATTATTTCTCCAACATGGTTTCTGCTATTGAAGTTAGTTTCTATGATTCTGCTTTATGCCGGAGTGCTTATAATGAATTTGCCTTTGGGGGATCAATAATTTTCTTGTCTTGTATTGTAAGATATTATTCTTCTGATGTACTAAGTGTTAAAAAGAAAATAAGCTGTTGTTGTATTTTATATCAGATTTGCAGAGCAGGAGAAAATTAACCAAACACTTATATAAGAGTGGTTGAACTTTCCATAGCCACGAGTTTCTGCTTCAAACCAACATGAACATCATTTTTTTAGTGGACTCCATCCTCCTGAAGGATGATATTTGACTTTTTATCAATGTTTTTTTTTTTTTTTTTCCCACAAAGGGTGGAAATAAAGGCACATTCTGACAGTTTGGGTAACAAACCAAGGTCGTGTTTTTTTTATTATTTTTTTAATATATATATTGTAGGATTTTTTTTTAAATTATTATTATTTTGAATATGAGGAATAAGGAGAATTTTAGAATAGACTTAACAACCATGAAAAAGGGAGGGGTTGTAGAAGTGATGGACGTTGACTGGGACAAGTTACATAACCTAGCAACAGAAAGCAGCACCTGCGAGAGGCATCTTGAAACTGAGGTAATGGCGGCTGCCAGTAATGGACACAGGCCCTTAAGAAGATATACTCTGTGTACTACTTAAAGAAGACACATGAGAGGTGCTTTAATAAGAAAAGGGAGGGAATGTATAGCTGAGAGGAAATAATGAGGTTTCTGGAACATTTGGTACATTTTGAGGCATGAAGCACATTGTTAATTGCGGAATATTTCATGTGAAGATAGTCAATTTTCTCTGATTGGCAGGTATCTAATAAGAAAGAACATGATGAGCTTTACTCAGAAATCATACAAATAACTCTCAGCGACGGGCTTGGTCCACGTCCTATTTTAGAAAAGTAAATATTCATGAAGAAAGTTTAAAGATAGAAGGACTGACAAACTCATTCAGGTTTAATTTTCACTGATTTACTTCCAGCTCGAAAATTGTAAAAGCTCCCGGACTTATTCTTCAAACTTCCCAGTAAAATCTGATCTGAAGATTTTTTACATGGCAGTAAAACAAACTGGGATTTATACTGATGTCTCGATATGACCTGCAGAAGCAAACAAAGCCATGAGAGAGAAGATTGAATACGTTTTAAATTGCAATATAAGACGCCCTCCAACTCTGCTATGCTAGTGAAACAGCCTCTTTAAAGAAATTCATGATGAGTTGCATGTTGGACATTTAAGATAAGAAAGATGTGATTAAATTTGAAGTTTTGAGAATAAAACTAAAGTCGAAATGTAGAATAAATAAACATTTATATCGAGGATGAGTTTTAACGGATGTTAAGTCCATGTATCTGTCATTTAAAAGGACATTTAACACAAGTTTTATCATTGCATCTGTCTTTTTGGCTTTGACTTCTATTGGTCTTGAAATTTAGCACATTATAGTAAACTGAGCGGCTGGCTAAGATAAAGCATCCCCTCCTCTGTATCAACGATGGTAACTAAAGGCAGTGATTCCTGTTAGAAATGGAGAAAGAGCTGAACATAGATGTGTACCACAGTTATTGATAACATTATATTTTAATGTTGAGGTTTATATTATATATGTATATTTATATATGACTCATGCATGCTCAATTCATTTTTAACCAGCATGTTTCTTGATTGTTTACTGATAAGTAGAAATTTCCTTCCTTGCCTTTTACCTCGCCACATGGATTTTAAAAGAAAAATACAGATGAGAAACATGATGGAAAGGAAATTTTCACAATTTGTCCAAGAGTCTGCCCCATTCACAAACACAACAGTAAAAAGTGCATTTCCTCTCCATCCCCAACCCTCAAGTTTGCGCTCCATGCAGCCTCAGGGTCTTCAGTTTTCCTCCTGTGTTATTAAGTACCTCTGATTTTGTCCAGGGCCATCTAAAATACCGGAGGAAATCAGTTTTTCAAAATAAAAGATGACATTTCTTTGAAAAGGATGTGATACTAAGGTCAAAGTAAATAAATACAATGATGTATTTTAAAGAATGACAGTACAGCTGATTTAGTGAACAAATGATTCAGCAGATATCCAAACAGATGTATTAATGTTCCCTCCTCAGTTGAAGTGAGTCCTCTTTGGATATTTTATGCTTCTTGAACAGGGTCAGGTAGAGTCCAAACATGAATCTAAAATTAACCTGCTTCACTTAATGACTTTTAAATGGAAAGGACGGTCTTTTAAACGTGTTTCCCCAGGTATTTTCATCCAAAACTGCTCCCAGATCTTAAAGCTCCAGTCAGGAATTTTAGGTTTTTGCCAAATCTGGCGCCCCCTGTGGACAAATTAGCCTAAGCTTATCCGGTCCTCTACATGCTTAAGTTTTGTGACATGATATCTCATCCTATTGAGTTAATATCATTCACAGTGAATATTTTATGTTGGGAATATAATAAGTAGATCGTTTTTTTCAGCTGCTCGGTTAACACCGACCCCCTCGTATCAGTTTGAGGTATCAAAAATTACACTTTAAAAACGGTCAGTCTTGTTCCTGATGGTCGTGATTGCTTTTATATGTCATAAAAAGGCATCAATATGAATTCCAGCCTGTTTCATAAATGTCAAAAAAACTCCTCACATGAGCTTTAACTATCATTAAAAATTAAAAGATTTCAACGGGCTGACATCTCCAAGACTTTTGCAGTTTAGCCTTTAATTGCCACGGGGGGAGAAATGCATCTTTAAAGTCAAACAAATTAAAACTCAGCTTATTTTCATTAACAAGTGCCCAGTTTCAAGTGTTTCTCGCAGAGGCTTAAATATCACACAATAAACACGTCGAATTTCATCATGTTTCTTCCCTGTGAACTCGCATGGAAGCAGCTCTGTGTGGTTTCAAACCCCCTCTGGAGACTTCCCCTCATTTTCAAAAGTAGGCCATGAAAAAAGCCCCCGAATAACCTTTTAATATATTTTATTACAAGCTGTTTAATCAACTTATTAATTTCACAGGAACATGGAATACACCTTGCATAATCACCAGGGAAGCCATTGACACTTAATTGGTTTTCTAATCAGATGCTGTATTATCAAGATAACGCCAACTAATTACAAATAGAGCAGCCGTTTTCTCATCAGTGCTGCTGCAGCTTCGATTTTTCCATACAACCAATCATGATTACAAAGATGATGATATTGTTATTGAATGCCTTGGAAATTTAATATGTGTTCTGTGCATTGTTGTGTGTGCGGCGCGCAGCGGCTCTGCGGGGCTGACAGATATTGTCCTCTGTGCTCCTTGTCCTCAGACAAACAGAGCAGCAGTATTAGCCCTGGAAAAAGCTGCTGGCTGTTCATTAATAGAAGAAGAAATATTACCCCGAGTGTTTAGCGCTGCCTTTTTCCATTTGCATGTGCGTCAAACAATATCACTTCCAGTTTGCCCCGGTGGCTCTCCAAGCCTATGTGGCCTCTGCGAAAGTGACTCTCTCATTTTCTCCGAGTAAATTAGCCAAATATAGTTGGAAGCGAGTGACAGAGTTAGTTTGGACGACGTTTTTCTACATCCAGCCTTAACTTTGTTTCTATTTCTTCTTTCAGATGAGTTCCAAAACTTCGTCCGAAGGCTCCCCACGTCCTACGCCCTCAACACGTCTGCCATCCAGTACTTCTGGAAGTCCGAGCCCAGCGTTCACCAGCGCTACAAACAGCTGGAGCTCGGCACGCAGCAGCTCCTGAGCAAAGCGCGGCGCATCATCAACAAGCTCTTCACACTCAGCAAGAGGTGTCGGAGTCAGCCCAAAATTATCATGCTGAGAGAGAGGTGAGAAGCTGCCGACCTCCGCGAAGACGATGATGAGGGTGATGTTGGAAGTTGTGAGTCGTTGTGCATGTGTGAAAATAAGCAAAAAAACCTCCAGTGCCTGCAGCTACATCACGAGTCCTTTCAAGCAAGCTGTGAACGGCACTGCTCATTTATTTTCTCCAGTGTGCGGCGCTTTGTTATCCCTCCAACTAGGCATTATGCTAATAATGCACACAATATATTAGCCCTTTGATATTCACAAGAGGTCCCACTGAAGTGAGCTAAAGTGTGGCACCTGATGACTTGGCTGCACTCCCAGCCTCGGTCCTCTTTGCATCCAGGAAATCAAAGCTATCCTCCTGTGAAATTAAACTTTGCTGTGTTTCAAAGGAAAATGCAAAGTTTGGGAGATTTTCCCGTTGGTTAAGTAGCCTGAGACGAAATCATGGACAGAAAGAAAAAGGAAAAAGTTTCTTCAGTATCATCATCTATTTTTGTGTCTCTCTCTCTCTCTCAAAAAGTTCCCTCTATTCTCCAGACTCCAAGGTTATCAAGGAGAGATGTGATTAAGTCAGTACAGCTGATGCAGTATGGGTTTTATTTTAGGAGCTAATTCAGGTGAGAAACTAAATATCCATCCTCTGCAATGAGATTTTGAGCTGCAGCTGCAGCCCCCGTTCGCCCACAGGCTTCACTTCCTGCTCAATCAAATTTAATCCCCCTTCATTCAAACCTTACATTATTCTCACACCACCCTTTCACCAAACACCTACACTTTCTTGTCGGACCATACATAGACAAAATGTAGCCCGTTCGCAGCTACAGCTTCTTATTTTTACCCTCTGATGTTAAAAATAGAGGATATTTCAGCTTAGAGCATAATCGCAGGAAACAGAAGATAATTCACAGTTTTATAAGATACTTTGATGAGCAACACTGTGCCGTCGCCTCTTCACATGCTCATATCTACATACCTGTGCAGGCAGACCATTGACACATGTAGTTTCCTTAAATTCGTGGCTGTGTTTTCAAATAACCACGACTTAAGTGTCAGTGAGTCAGAGTCAGATAAATCGTACACTGTAGTGGACTTTAAACGGATGAAAATTGACAACCAGCTGCTTTATCAGGCTTTCCTCTGCCAGTGCCTGCCCATATAGCTCCTTAGTCTCTCTCTCTCCCTCTTAACTCAAGACTGACACGCGGTCCCAATCCTCCCCACTTGGCAGAGTGTGCTCGGTTTTGCCATGGGAAGAGAGAATTTGATTGGAGCACGCTTGTAAACCTTTTTATTGTGCAGTACATTGAGAAGGAAACGTCACTTTAGGCCAAAAAAGCAGCTGATTGGGCTGACATCAAGATAAAAACTGATATTATGTCGTAATATTATTGATGCTCTAATTATACCTTGGATTCATACTTCAGATTTACCCTTTTTTTGCTTGGTTTCTAGTGATTTTTTCAGCCCCTTCAAAAGTATAATGCTGCATGTTATTGTTATTGCCATCTAATCTGAGATTATACCGTCATATTGTTGTGATTCAAGTATAAAGCTACAACATTTGCACCTTTGAAACATCTTTTTTATTACAGTAAAATTTCTTTGGTGGCATCCAGCAGCAATCTTATGGTTCTTAGTAACAACTTAGTGCGAATAAACATCACCAGCATGATGCATTCTGGGATTTACAGTATACTTGGACGAGTGCTGCTCTGCTGCAGTCCTACCATAAGTGCAAATTAAGCACACTGCACATGTCTTTACATGACATCGAAAAACTAGTCAACTTAATCAATCAATTGGTGTTTATTTATTCAGTGCTGATTTACGACAGGTGATATTTTAAGATGCTGTAAAAAAAAAAGGCTGGTCTAGACCAAAAAAAGACCCAATTTAAAGATGGGATAAGAGAGTAATGGGGCGCTCACATTAAGAGCGAGTAAAATCATCTACTCGCTTAATTCACGTGAATGAATAGTATTTACACGCTTCATTGGCGCGTCAATGGTAATTTCAACGGCCTGTGTCCATCATTTGATCCCTGCCAATTCAACCGGCGCAATCAAGTGATAGACAAAGGTTTTTAACTATTTACCAGGTAGTCCAACCTTCTCACTCACTTGCCTCCAGGTGAGTTCCTTTTTAACCCACACACCGACACGACCAGTTTGTCCTCCATTTTAGATACCAGGGAACAGCCGTCCATTTTCATTCGTTTTCATGCTGATTAGTTATCACGACGTGAATATCCACTCAAGTTGAGATTCCCCCAATTCACGCTGCCAGAGTCGTAGGAGCGTCTAATCACGTCTTTGCATTAAATTAACATGTAATTTATTTGTGCGAATGATTTTACTCACGTTTGATGTGTGGAGACAGTAAGAACTTCCTTCAACAGGCAGAAACCTTGAGCAGAACCAGACTGATGTTAGACAGTCATCTGCAGCTAAAGGTTTACAAGGCACTGGTCTGAGCACCCTACAGTCCTGCTCACAGTGGTTGCAGGTTCAATTCCCGGCCTCGACTCTTTTTTGCATGTCTTCCCTTACTCTGATTACCCGTCTCTGCTTTCACACTGAAACTATTAATGCCTCCTCCCCAGTGTGAGACAGTGATAGATGGATTCACTGCCCATGTTAAGTTTGTTGTCTCCAAGTAGAGAGAGGAGGTCTAACAGTATCTAATAACTCTGATAATGTGGAGTAAATGAAATGACTTTTGACAGGAGCTTTCTTTAATGAAAGGAAATTAACACATCCTGATACAACCACGGTTTCTTAACTGTATTTTGACGTCGATGTCAGGAAGGTTTAACTGAAATTACGCCGCAGTTTCAGTGAATGAATCCAGAGAGGGGGGATGCAGAGGATGGAGCTGCAGGGCTTCAGGCGCATGCTGCATCAATAAAACACATCCAATAATGACTTTATTTATTTTTTAAAGATGATACTTTATATAATCAGATACTTAAAAATATACATGTCCTCCACCTACTTTAAATTCTCATCCCTTGCAGCCACACACTAAAGCATATTCTGCTCTGTCCTCTGTGAAACACTAACATTTACCAAATTAACATTGCTTTAAATTGGAGAAGAATGAGTTTTAGAGCATGCTCTCATTAGGAAAGTGTTTACTGAGGTTAAAATTAAATAAAAAGCACGATCAGTATCTCCACCTCTCCCTGCAAGACAAAAGAGGAAATAGTTTTTCTTTTTCACCTTCCACACGGACATAGAGGCTCTATTCACCTCCTTCATTCACCGAATGGATTTAGCCCAGGAAAGAGGTTTTTCTCAAGCAATTCATATTTCAAGGTGTTCCTCTTTACAGACAGAAACTAGGGGAGGGATTCTGATCACTTCAGACTGACCACTGCTGCAGAGGAACTTGGTATGAAATTCAATATGAGGAAAAAGGACGGAAAACCTGCAGCCCTCTTTATCAGAAACACACAGAGCGTGAGGCTGTAGCCGGGCACAGTGAGAGATACAGAGATGGGGAGGAACACAAATGAAAAGATACCTCACAAAGTTACTCTTCCCGGCACCACAACACAAAGAAGCCAACACCCTGATATCTTTAGTGGCTTTACCTTTCTGTTTACTGCAGGTCCTCAGTGCTGGTTTTTCAGACTGAACAGCTCACAGAGGCTTTCTTCTGGTGCAGTATGACAGAATAAGCCGTTAAAAAAAGTTATGAAGTTAATCTGGAGTAACATCTTTAATAAAGGACTGTGATTAAGTTGGTTCATGAGTAAATGTTCAGACTAATAACGGTTTCAGATCCACATGCTTTTGAAAACAACTATGGGTTAGGTTAGTGGGCGGGGCTTCTTAACGACAAAGAGTTGAATTTAGGGCTGCATGATTAATCGATTTTTAATCGTAATCAGATTATTTTATCATGACAATGTTAATAAAACTAAAAACGTCAAATCCATTTTCCTCTTTCACGTCTTGCACCCCCAGGCCACCAGAAGCTCCCCAGTACTCCCAGTTCCCACACACACCAGTGTAAACAAACATGCCGTTTGCAAAAGCAGGCGATAATTTCGTGGCTAAATAGGACAAGAGCAAGTCAGTCGTTCGGAATTGGTACGACTTCGCAGTTTTGGATGAAGAGTAAACCACTCCCCGCTGCAAAGTCTGTCTGAGGTGGTATCAACCTGAATTTAGGAGTAAACACAAACGTTTTTTGTCGTTATCGGCTTTTCATCCACACAGAAGCGGCATTTCGGGTGACTGTAAACGGTACTTTTTAAAAACTGTCAGAGAGTGCATAAATCCTTAAACGACTACCATTTCATCTCCGTGTGGATGCCTATCTGCATCTCTCAAAACTATTATAGTGTAACTCTTTTATGGCGGCCAAAACAACCTTTATACGCATGCTCTGTACTCTTCTTCTGTCTTTTGTGCATTTCCTCGGCAGCGTTACAGCGCCACATACTGGCTCGGCATATGCACGGCATCGTTTTCAATGGTCTCATTCTGAGAGATGATGGACAGACGTTTCCTTTTTTTCAAGTGAAGTTTGGTGAAGTTGTTACTGTATAAAAAAAATTGAAATCATTATCGAAAATCAAGTTTTCAGAGAAAAAAATCCAGATTTTTATTTTTGGCCAAAATCGTGCAGCCCTAGTTGAACTAAGGTAGCGCAGAACGAAAAATGAGCTGCATACTGCTTCTTTGTTATTTAGAAGATGTTGCACTGCAGCCATTAAAAACAGGATACACTGAAGGGTCTGCAGAGCATGTTGAGAGCTGTAGGTTATCAAACCTGAAGGAAGCGGAAGGAAGCATTAACAGACTGCTGTCAAGCTATCTGATAGAAACCCTGTAAGAATGTTTAAAATAATGATGATGAGGGAATAAACTTGTGTGTATACTGAAGTAGATCCAATTATTTTCCTTCTTACCTACGTTGACTTTGTTTACGGTGAGCTATAGTATGGTGCATCATGGCCACAGCATTCACAAACCTACAGCTGAATACCAACATCATCCACCATCAGTCCTGTGGGGATTCTGCACACTCTGCATTCCACTTGCAGAATGAAAACGCACTCCCAGCTCAGGATGTGTCATATCGCCCAGCTATCCGAGTTCAGCAGCATCTCTGCAGACATGCACAACACACTTCAAAACAGTCTGACATCAGATCCTACTTAGGGGCTTGTTATGCAGTCAGATGAACTGCGTTTTACCTCATTTACATCAGTGAAGCCTCTTCAAAAACCCACTCGAATGAAAAAATGATGTATTTTACAAAACGCTCAGTAACTTTACAAGGTTTTAGGACTAAAAGATGATGGAGTGTGGAGACAAACCTTATAATTTGTCTATATACAAGGCGCATCTTCAAGGGGAAGCATTATATGACTAAATGCAAAATTTAGTATCTGGCTGGATGGTATCTGGGGCAAATATAGCAAAGGCTGAAAATACTGAAATGAGGTAGAGTGGGAGTGATGAAAGCACTCGCTTAAACTGGATATTTTGGATCCTGCTGTGATATAACCCGGTGCTCTCAAAACATCTGAGGAGGAAGTCTGTCACTCCATTTCAGAGGTGACAGCCAAAAAATCAGAATAAAGGATGCAGTTACCGCCGGATACCGTTTGTGTATTTCAAATCGCCACAAACAGATATTAGAGAGTTTGAAGTTAAACTTATAGCTCCTGAGGAAATAAGCACAATTTTCTGGTTTTACACTTAAAAATATGATGATTTCCTACATTCTTGTATGTTTATATATCTTCACGTAATGACCTAGTTCATGGAAGATTTGTTTTTCCATTTGTATAAAAGAAATATGCGTGCATCTGTGCAGCCATTATTCATGTACCGGAGCATCATGGTCTTTGTCAGATAAAGAGAAAGCAAACAGAAAAATATATGCTTTGTGACTTTACACCCCAAACCCATTTTAGAGTTTCCATTGTAACTTTTTAGTACACTCTTTGAAGGCGTGTTTATTCGTTCTTTCAACCCAGCTGTCTGAGAATATGAAATGTCAGAATAACAGGAATGGAGCGGAGCAACACGACTGATATGTTGGGTTTCTTTTTTTTTTGACGGCTCACAAAGTAAATATATATTTGATGCCTTTAATGGAAAGGATGTAACGCAAACAAGTTTTTCGCTCGGAGGAAGAAAGTTTTCCTCACTCGTGAAATGAAATGTGTGTCAGAAGGAGGAAGTTTGTGGGTGGTGTTGATCTGTGTGAAATGAACTGACAGACAGCGAACAGATTGCAGAGTGAACACCAGGCTTCTCTTTGGCCTGTGCCGCACACTGTGTCCCTGTGACAGTTTACATGTCCTGCTGACAAAATGTGCTTTATGATGGCGGGACGGCTTCCTCTGTCTGACTGTGCACAGCCTCCGCTCTGGAGGTGAGATATGCACGGCCGACTCTTACTGATGACTTTCAGAGTGAGGCTGTTCAGTCTGTTAACACATTCGATCGACTGTGTTTTCACGAAATGTCACCAGATTTAAACCCGGTGATGTTTTTTTAATCCCTATCACACTCTTCTCCACACAATTAGATCTGTAAACACACCACGATGTCAGCTTATTGCATTAGAGTCCCTCGCGTGTTCGAAGTATTTTAAAATGTCAGACCCACAGGCAAAGAGTTTTTCATGCCCAAAATTAACACTCTTCACTAGAGATTCTTTGTGTTTCTTTCAGTTTTTTATTGAGTGTTTTTTCCTTCCTATCAGTGACCCCAGTTAGATTACATCCATCCTTTTCATTATCAAGTAGAGGCTGAACCGAGACGAAGTAAACATGGCCTCCTGCTTTCTCTGGGGTCTTGAACTCTAGTCACAGGGGGGAAAAGTCCTTGCATTTGTCCAGACCTTCAAACTAAACAAACTTTGGTTCCCCTCCAAATAGAACATCACAGCCAGCTTCTCATTGGCTATCTACAAATTGGAAAAATCACGTTTATAGGAAACAGTGTCTCAAAACTTTGAAGTGTAGATTGCATGAAAAACTATAGGGAGACATGGTTGCACTTATTAAGTTAGCGTAAATCGTCACCTGTGGCTTGGTGGTTCGATTTCAAAGATGGTCATAAACTGAGGTGTCCTTGGACAAGACACTTGACCCCGCCTGCTCCTTGTGACTGTGCCCGGTTGTTCTCAAATCTACTTCGTATTGGATAAAAGCGTCAGATAAATGACATTGTAAAAGAGGAAGAGAAGGGGATCAAGTACTGAACCTTGAGGCACCTCTTTAATGTTCTGTTATGGGGCGTTCACAACAAGCGCGAGTAAATTCATCTACTCGCTTAATTTGTTTAAATCTAGACGCGTGGATGGAAACTATTTACTCGCTTCGCTCATGTGAATGATTCACGTGTCAACAGAGTGAATCACAGAGTGCTTAAAAGTCATGGACAGCCAACTATGCTAATTTCAACAGTGATCCTTGCCAATTCAACCGGCGGGATCAACGGATAAACAACGTTTTTTCACAATTTACCAGATAATCCGACCTCCCCTCTCACTTTCCTCCAAGTTCGCAAATAGCTTGCACAGCTCACGTGATTCATGCCACCCAATTCGTGTCATTTGCGCCGCCAGAGTAATACAAGTGTCTAATCGCGTCTTTGTATTGCATTGACTTAACATGTAATTCGTCTGTGCGAATGATTTTACTCGTGCTTGTTGTGAACGCCCCATTGAGGTGCGAAAGGAGGGACAGAGATGAGCAATGACAAGAGGAGGAAATCGTGACTGTTGAGGAGGTACAAAGAGCGACTATTTCCAGATTTACTCTGACAAAAAATCCACTAAGTCGTGAAAGATGACTTCTGGATAAATTTGTCGCCTTTGCTTGAATAGATGTCACTTCTCTCCAATCCTGTAGACCCAAATTAGTAGGATTTAATCACATTAAATCCTACTAATTAGCACACATATATTCAACATTCACTGTGGTGTTCCATCGAATGTTTGACAAGGGAAAACAGCAACTAACACTGGCAATGTGTAAAAAAATGGGGACCGACTCCACAGACAAAATATTCATTTCCAAACATGACGATACGCTCCATATATTTGCTCTGGATGTGTTTTGTAGGGTTGTGGGAAGAATCGCGGCTTACTCAGTGACTTTGATCTAATATTAATTACAGAAGTTAAATCCTCCAGTGTCGCACATACATGCTGTGCGGCCTACTTATTATTTAGTCAAACAACTGTTTGGACAAATGTTATTTTTCCTTCAGAAATGGGCCTTTGAATGTTAATTACTTATACATGCACATTGTTCCATATGAATTAGTTGAGCAGATGCACATGGTCACAAAAACAAAGCAGATACCTCCGCTGGAGAACAAAAGCGGATTCGGAAGCGACAGATGTAAAATGATTGACAAGATTTTATTCTGGCCGTGTTGTCCATCTGCTCCTTTATCACAAACAACTCTAGGAATTCTGATTCTACCGTTACAGCTTCCATGTTTAATAGTCACTGTGAAACCCTACATTGTTACACTAGACTGATTCATGCTGCAGGTGTAATCTTACCTGTGAGTGCACAGATGATCCATGTGGCTGCTTCCTTTACACATGGTAATTAGCGAAAGCAGTATTTGATTATATGGTAGCATCCAACCTTGATCAAAACAAGGTTGGTAACAATAATCCTACGTGCAAAAAAAAGCACAGTACCTAACTCTGTTATTTTGTACCTGCTCCCTGAAGAGATCTTGTCCAAATACTGATATAACCCAGTTGTACTGACCCATCCTTTGTGGTCAGGAATATGACCTGTAAGAGGCTGTCCAGCACCTTTGGGTCCGGGGATGACCTCAAGCAACCACCAGTGAGGACTGCCAAGTGCCAGAGGGAGAGAGCAGAGAGTTAAGAATAAAGACAAAAACAGGAGTTAATAAAATAAAAGAGACAAGCAAAAATAACTTAACCAAACCCTGTCCTCGGCCAACCTGCCCTGGATTCACCCCAGGAGCTCTTTGTCCTTTCTGCCAAGACAGAGATTGTTTTTTTCTCTCTTTTTTCTGTCTTTGTCTCCCCCTTTTTCCTTTATTCCCCTCCACGCCTTTAAAACCACTCACCCACACAAGCACTCATACATGCTGCACACTACAATAAGATAATATAATCCTAACATTATGCCCTGTCTCCTTTTTTCTCTCCTTTTATTCTCCTCTCTGTGTTCTTGATGCTGTTGTGTCTGCTGGCTTTTTACTTGTGTTGTCTCTCTCTCTCTCTCCTCTCGTCCGGCTGTGTTCTGACTGTCTTCAAAAAGAACAATGTGTTCTTGTGTTTTTACTGCTGTTTAAGACCCTTTAGGGCAAACAGACAGATTTTTGCTCCGCTTTTACTCATATTACTGTGAGTGTCCTACAGTACTGTAGGTGGAGCTCAGGCTGTGATGCAGCATTTATGTAAAACATGAACAGAACTGCATCTGATGGTGCTGCACGATATTTCAAAGCTGTGTTTTGTGGTTGTGATTCAATAGAAATCATGAGTCTACTCCCTTTTTCAGTATAGAACACATAAGATTGTTGGCACTGTTAAATATATATAGTGCAATTTAAAACATAAAAATTAAAGCTACAATAAGGAGTTTTTTTACTTCAATGTAACAAACACAAATTCATCTTAATCCCTTGTTATGATAATCAAAAGCAAAAAAAAAAATCAATAATGAGATTTATGATTATATTTTAATTCTCAATGCCTGACTGACATGTGAGGGGGTAGGTTTTTGCCAATCAGATACAACCCTCTGTTTTCACCTTGAAAAATCCATATTATATCAAACATTTGACTGTCAACAGTCAGCAAGATGATGTTTTTACCGTAAGATAATATCTTAACGTGAAGAGAACATGATAAAGAAAAGACTGCTTTGTCAACAGGGGGCGCCAAATTGTGCCGCATTGATGCAAACTATACAAAATAAATGAATGGATTTTATTTAAAATGGATAAACCATTGCCATTGATTCTTGTCAGTTTGATGTTGACGCACAAAAATGGGGATTTGTATCTTTATGATGGTCAGCTGACAAATACCTATTTTCTTCTTGTTACCTGGGTAACCAGTCCCACCCTATCTAGTGTATAATTGGTTGGCTAGAGTAGCATCAGCAGCACCTTTTCTAACAGTGCAGTCTCGTGGCCAGAACAGCTAATAAGACACTGAAAAGGAGTTTTGTGTTCTCACACACTGCACTCTCTCCTCTTAGGTTAGACCCAACAAAAAAGGCTGAGCGGACTTTCAAAGCATTCAGGCTAAATAAGGTTTGCTTGCTGACAGTTAGGGGGCTAGCCAACACATCACCTTACAATTTCCCTGCTGCATGCATGTTCACAGACCTAATACAAAGGACTGATAGGGGCTGACATGTAGAAATTATCACTATTGTACACATTAGGACTGGAAACATGTTCAAACCAGACATCAAGACCCCTGGGACTTTGTCACTTTGCTCTTCTGTTGTTTTATTTGACTTTGACGTTTTATATTTTTGCCTCTCGTTCAGCATTAAATGCTTATTATGCTTCTGTCCACTGGCACAAACATGCTGCACACACTGTCAGAGCAGCTGATGGGTGTAACCGAGCAGACTCCAAACAATCAGAGGAGCGGTTCGAACTATTACAGACACATGCACATTTATTTAAATCTCAAATCACAGCCCTGTGTGCCAGTTTATAATTGCACATTCTCATGATGGGATTGTGATTTTGATCACAGTTGTAACTGAGATTTAAACACGTGGCACTATTCTCTGATTTCCTGGACTGTAAAAACAAAATACTGACAACAAAAATACAAACAAAGATATGAGGCTCCTGGTTTGGTAAAGATTAGATAAAGTGCCCCTGTTGGATCTGATCCATCCAAGATTAAGCTTAATCCCAGTTAAAGGGCCTTTTATATGGTCTATCCTGATAGTGGTCTATCCTATCTGACAAGGGGATTCAGCGCCCTCCACCCTGTCTCTTATACATAAATTTATCCCCAAGAGGTGCTCTCTTAGATGATACTAACCACCGTAGATAGATCACCTTTTTTGTCAGTAATAATAAGAGGTTTTTCAAACGCCTTGCCAAAGACTACAGGATCACTAAAACTAGGTTCAGTCTCTGAAATAAGTCTTTCTGTCAGAGCGGATGTGTAGTTTCCGTTCAAGCCGACAGATCTGAACATTAAAGCTCGGTTGAAATCTGCTTGTTAGTGTCTGTGCTGTGTGTTTAATTGACTGTCTTACCTTACTGTGGATAATCCTCAGTCGCTTTTTCTCCATCGCTCACTTTACATCCTTAAAAAATCCGTCTCCTCCACCTCTCTTTTTCTTTTTTCCCATTTTTTTTGTGCACCATTGTGTCTATTCTCCGTAACACGTAGAGGGCAGGGTTCAAATTTCTGGACTTACAGGGCGCGCCGGGCTGAACCGTTTGAAGTGGTATTGTTTGAGGGGAGGTAAAGATGTTTTTTGACTACTCTGTCAAGATAAATCAAGAAAAGAGATGAAAACAAGCTTTATATGTGACTCATATGTGGTTATAGGGTCTAGTTCTTGCCCGCTTTTCTGACCCAGGACCCGGGGAAACTGACCCTCCCGTCGGCGGGCCTGCTCATAGTAAAGCTCAGTCAAGCGTACACTCTTTTGTATTATAACATGTACTGCTGGATTCTTGAATTGTACTCTGTGTTTATGTATAAAGATATATACAGTGAGTCTTACATGCTGCTCTGTTTGTGTTGCAGACCCTTCAGCTACTGGCTGCACTACATCCTCTCCATCATGTACTGCAGTGAGAACAACCACATCGGCTCCTACCTGGAGGAGACACGTAGCTGCTCCTGCCCCTACGAGCACCCTCCCTGCCAGGGTATCATCCCCTGCACAGTTGGCGAGGGCACCTCCTGCGCCTCCTGCTCCTACGAGAACCGCTCCCGCTGCGCCACCTGCAACCAGGGCCACATGCTGAGCCAGGGCGTGTGCCGCAACGAGGTGCCCGACTCCACCGACCACTACATCGGCTTCGAGACCGACCTGCAGGACATGGAGCTGCGCTACCTCCTGCAGAAGCGGGACAACCGCATCAGCATCCACGGGATCTTTGTCAGCAATGACGTCCGGCTGAATAACTGGTTCGACCCATCGTGGAGGAAGAGGATGTTGCTGACGCTGAAGAGTAATAAATACAAGTCGAATCACGTGCACATGCTTCTGGGGATGTCTCTACAGATCTGCCTTACCAAGAACAGCACTTTGGATCCCATGCTGTCTGTCTATATCAACCCGTTTGGGGGCAGCCACTCAGAGAGCTGGATCATGCCAATTGACCAGAATAACTACCCAGACTGGGAGAGGACTAAATTAGACTTTCCCTATGACTGCTATAACTGGACTTTGACTTTGGGAAACAAGTGGAAAACTTTTTTTGAGACAGTCCACTTTTACCTGCGGAGTCGGATCCGGGGGCCTGCGACTAACGGGAATGGAACTGTATATTATGAACCTTTGGAGTACCTGGAACCGGGGCAGAATCTGGGCTACATGAAGATCAACAGCATCCAGGTGTATGGCTACAGCATGCACTTTGACCCAGAGGCGATCCAGGACTTGATTTTACAGCTAGACTACCCGTACACTCAGGGATCGCAGGACTCGGCCCTGCTGCAGCTGCTGGAAATCCGGGATCGGGTCAACAGGCTCTCCCCGCCCGGAGCGCAGCCTCTGGACCTCTTCTCCTGTCTGCTGCGGCACCGGCTCAAACTTTCCACCACGGACGTTGCCAGGATCCAGGCAGCGCTGCAGACTTTCAGTGCCAAGCAGCCCAACTCCATGGAATACGAAACAACCAAATTATGTAGCTAATAAGTGGGCAGGCGGCCAGTTGCACAGATGGCGGGGCAGTTATCACACAGGCCTGATGATGGTTAAGAGCAATTCTGGATCCATGCAGGGGACATTTGGGGGACATTTTCATTGTCGTCATGGATCTCTAGAGTGCATTTGAGATCCTCATGTCAGATTTTCGTATAAATTTGTACAACATTGTAGAATTAAGGAGGATTTCACCAAACTTGCCTCATTAGCTTCTTTTTTTCCTCTCTCTCTCTCCTGGTGAAGATAATAACTCTGACAGTTATAACGCTATAAATCGAAAACTCTATCACCACTGATATGTTGCCAGTGTGCTGACATTTGTAGGTTGCACAAAACTGAATCCCTCACATACGTAAATAAGAGCTTTTTTCTGATGAAGTATTACCTAAGCAATGTAATCATCTGGCAAGTATAACATTTCAACACCAGCATGTTTGTTTTGTTTGTATTTTAACCATCACATTTATTTTCCTGGTGCAAAATATTCACACGCTCACTATCGTGCATTTCCCTTCAAGCCTGAAACACACACCTGCTTTCCATTCGACAATAAACTCACCTGTTTTTAAACTCTACTACACACTTTTGTAGGAAATTACTTGAAAACGTTGAAATTTAAAAAAAAGGATAAATAGATGCTGTAATTCTGCAGATTTGCCGATAAAAAATGACACTAAATCACAATCTATGTTACATGTGCTTTTATTTTTATAATGCTGTTGTTTGTGAAACAAAAAGTTACAAAAATAAAATGTATAATACAATTTGTTAATACACTAAATAAAATACATTTTTATGTGTGGTCTATAGATGGTGTGATTTGCTTTAATTTGCTATGACGTGTCTTTTTGGTTTAAAGATAGGTCAGTTAGTCTGAGTCAGCGCCGGAAGTGAAGGATTACACAGCCCAGGTATTTAAAGGTTAATCCCATTCAGTAATTCTAAGATTAAAATTACTGCACATGTAAGCACATGATGACAGGATGAGTTTAGATACAAAGATGCATGTTTTTTTGTACTGATGAAAACAACTATCAGAGTCATTCATCACGTTAAAATAGACTCAAATGCTCTCATGCTCACCCCTGTATCAGTTAGACGACGGTGGCCATTGTGGAAAAGAAGCTCCAGCGATGAATAATGGGTTTTTATCATCAGATACAAGTTCTGTAGCTTATAACGGTCACTCTTCTTCTTCCTCTTTTTCCTCTTCTTTTCCCTCCAACTGATGCATTTCTGGCGGCCACTCACAGCTCTTTGGCCAAACAACATAGATGCCATATATCTCTAAGTGTGCTCTCATGGTGTAGGTAAATATTTTATCTACAATGATCCTAAAGGACAAGAAAATTAATTTTATCCTTTTTGAATATTTAACTGTTATAAGCTTTGTATATCTTGTAAAAGAATATTGAATATTACTTTAAAGCTTCTGTAAGTAGTTTTTGATAGGCTATGAAACAGACTGGGATATACCAGGATGTGTCTCTGTGATATACAGAGGCAATTTAAAAACAAAGGCACTTCCTATTTTGAATTCTGAAAGCATGTAACTGCTGTTAAAGGGGAAGTGCGGTGAAGAAAAGGCCTTGGTAACTTCTAAGTGATACATGTCACAGCAGAAAGATAACAGGAGGAGGTATTTTTGGTTAATTAACACCACCTCCTCAGGGGTGAGACTGATCACTAATGATATAAGGGTTACTGCTTTGTCCACAGGGGGCACCAAAGTCAACAGAAAGTTCTTCATTGGAGCCGGAAGCAAGTAAAGGATATGCACAGCAGGAAACTTTCATTGTTGCACCTATTGTTATAAGAAGACAGAGGAAAAATAGACCCTATAAATAAGTGGAATTATTATTGAGTTGAGTCGCTATGATAACATCCTGATTATAACTGGAATGGCTCACTAATGAGAAAAGTGTCATTCATGGGCAGATAGTTAGTATTTACTTGACTCTACCACTGTCTAAAGCCTTGGTTTTACTGTTTTTGTGTTATCAAATTTACTTCATGATCCAGTGTTTAAACATGATAATATTTAGTGAAATATAGCAGTCAGAATCTAAAGTGAAATGCCCCCTTGCTCACCCCTCCGGTTGGTGAAGAAACGGTGGCCTCGGAGAAAAAAAAAGCTCCTGTGATGCATTATAAGTATGACCCCTATTCCACTTTTGAGGTTTTTACCATCAGAAAAGCCTGTGTATGACCCTAGTTTGTTCATTCTGGGCCTCTGCAGAAGGAGGTCAGCAGGAGGCTCTTAACAACACAAAACTGTTTTTCATGTTGAGTCATTACACACCAATCTGAACAGATGATGTTTATTTTTGCCAAGTCACTCTGCTTTATGCCACTGATTTCATACCACTTTAAATTCAAGGGAGCAGGTACTCCCCAGTGATTGTTTTATTTTGTTATAGTCAAAAAGGCAAAAGTGCAAAAAGTCCTGTGATTATGCAATCAGGACTTACCAGCTGCAATTACATCCACCGGTTTTTCATTCTGACTCAACACGTCCTTACTGAAGGTTTTTGGTTAATTATTTTAATGAGATGTTATCTGATATAGTCTGGTGTCTGCGACTCATTAAACTGAATTGAATTAACTGAATCTTTTCAGGCCTTTATTTAGCATATAGGCTTTTGATACCAAGCATTGTTATTCTGCTTGTGCCGTTAAAGGAGTTTTAATTGTAATATTAGGCTCTATATGAATAAAATCAGAATAACTTTAATATATTTTTTTGAGAAAGTGAAGTAAGTCACAATGTCTATTGTGCTTATTTTTAAGGGGAACTCTATTTTTGCAATTATGTTTTTAAACATTTTTGGACAGCTGAATCAAACTATACTATGACATTTTGATAGTGCTATATTATGGCTTTTTTTCATACTATACCATGATATTTTTATCAAACTATACAATTAAAAAAAAATTTCAAACTATAATATGATACTTTTATCATTGTTACCATGACATTTTTACCCTAAAGTACTATGACCTTCTTTAACATACTATAGGATGGCATTGTTATTATACTATACTATGACATTTTTTAACATACTATTCTATGACATTTTTGAACACACATGACATTTCTGACATTTCTTTTTATCATACTATACTATGACATTTTTTTCACACTGAATTATATCTGAAATATATTTTTTAAATATTAAAATACAAAATCGTTTTCATACTACACTATGACATTTTATAACATACTGTACTATGATATTTTTAACATACTATACTATGACATTTTTATCATACTATACAATGACATTATTATCACTTGATTCTATGGCATTTTTTTCATACTATAATATATTTTGTTGATAATAAAATATAAAATTGTAATCATACTATACTATGACATTTTTTTACACAAGCTATACTATGACTCTTTTTAACATACTATGTTATGACATTTTTATGATACTAAACTTTTTTTCATACTAAAATATATTTTGTTAATATTGAAATATAAAATTGTTATCATACTATACTATGACATTTTTAACATACTATACCATGACATTTTTCACACTAAAATATATTTTGTTAATATTGAAATATATAATTGTTATCATACTATGACATTTTTTAACAAACGATACTATGACATTTTTAACATACTATACTATGTCATTTTTATCATACTATACTTGTTTTTTTATACTAAAATATTTTTTGTTAGTATTCAAATATAAAATTATTATCATACTGTACTGTGACATTTTTTAACATACTATACTATGAAATTTTTTCATACAAAAAATATATATTTTTTTATATTAAAATATACATTTTTTGATTATACTACCCTGAGACATTTTTAAAACACTAATTCTGACATTTTTTTTACCATACTTAACTATGCCATTCTTTTATCATACAATACTATGATCTCTTTAGCATAAAAAACAATGACATTTTTTAAACCATACTACTCTATGACATTATGTATCATACTATATTATGACGTTTTTAACTAGAAAAGCACTCGGAGAGCGCAGACCTCCGCCAAGTAACCCAAGTCCCCCCTTAAACAAGAAATATCCTGACCAGGATTTGATCCCATGACTTGCTGGTTGCAAGGCAACAGTGCTAACCACTACACAACTGTGCTGCCTATCTACGCCACTTTGCTGCCCATTACTTATCTTTCAGCATTGAAAATTCCAACAACACCCTTATTTTTGTGTGTTCTGGTTCACAGTATCCAGAATTTTGTGCGGATCACCACCAAAATTTGATCCTCCTTGGTCTGAGACGCACCTCTGGTAAATGTTTCAGGTCAATCCGTCTGTTACTTTATCTTTAAAGTTGCTAACAGACAAACAAACCAACGATACCGATTACATAACCTCCTTGGCGGAGGTAAACATACTATACTATGACTTTTTTTTCATACTATACTATGACAGTTTTGTTCATACTAAAATATATTTTGTTAATAGATTTATAAAATTATTTTAATACTATACTGACAACATACTATACCATTATATTTTTTATATTTTATATGATGACATTTTTATCATACTATAATATGACTTTTTTTTAAATTTTATCATACTATACTATGACATTTTTTTTTATCATACTAGACTATGACATTTTTGTCATACTATACTATGACATTTTTTTACATACTATACTATGACAGTTTTGTCATACTAAAATATATCTCGTTAATGTTGAAATATAAAATTTTTGTATTATACTCACATACTCACATTTTATAATCATACTATACTATGACATTTTTAACATACTATATTGACATTTTTACCATACTATACTATGACATTATCATTCTATACTTTGGCTTTTTTTTTCTTGTACTAAAATAAATTTTGTTTATATAAAAATTGTTATCATACAAAACTTTTGTAACATATTTTTTCAACATATTGTACTATGACTTTTTTTAACATACTATAAGATGACATTTTTATCATACTATACTATTACATTTCTTAAGACTACAATATATTTTGTAAATATTGAAATATAAAATTGTTATCATACTATCCTAAGACATTTTTTAATATACTTTTTCTGACTTTTTTTTAACCATACTATACCATGATGTTTTTACATACTATACTATGACATTTTTCATACAAATATATATATATATTTAATATTAAAAAATAAAATTTTTATCATACTATCCTAAGACATTTTTAATACACTAATTCTGACATTTTTTAACCATACTATACTCTCACCATTTTTCAGCATACTATACTCTGACATTTTTTTTTCATACTATACTATGACATTTTGTATTATTCTATAATATGACATCTTTTATCATACTATACTTTGACTTTTTTATCAAACTATACTATGACATTTTGTATCATACTATACTATGACTGTTTTTAACATACTTTACTGTGACATTTTTATCACACTATACTATGACATTTTTCAACACACTTATTATGACATTTTTTTTCATACAGAAACATATTTGCTAATATTAAAATATGCTTTTTTTTAATCATTTTATACTATGACATTTTTTTTATCACACAATACTGGCATTTTTTTATGTTGTATACTATGACATATTTATCATACTTTAATATGAAAGTATTTAACACACTAATTCTGACATTTTTTAATCATACTATACTTTGACATTTTTCAGCATACTATACTCATTAATACTATACTACTATAACATTTTTCAACACACTAATTCTGACATTTTTTTTATCATACTATACTATGACATTTTTTTCATACCGAAACATATTTGTTAATAACAAAATATGATACTATATGCTATATGAGGACATTTGTATCATACTATACCATGACTTTTTTTCACATACTAAACAATGACATTTTTATCATACTTTAATATGACATTTTTTAGACTAAAATATATTTTGTTAATTTTAAAATTTTTAATTGTTATAAAATCTTAAGACATTTTTTAACACGCTTATTCTCACATTTTTTCAACTATACTATCATGACATTCTTTTTCATACTTTACTATGACATTTTAATTATACTATATTATGACATTTTTTCATACTAAAGTACTGTATGTTTTTTAATATAAAAATATAAAATTGTTATCAAACTGTACTTTTTTTTAACCTCACTAATTCTGACATTTTTTAATCATACTATACTATTATATTTTGTATCATACTATACTATGACTGTTTTTTTTACATACTTTAGTATGACATTTTTATCATACTACACAGTGACCTTTTTATCATACAAGACTATGACATTTTATTATAATATACCATGATATTTTTGTGATAGGAAGTGTGACAGGGCGGTGGTCTGCTGGGGAGGTGGTCCACAGAGGTTGTGGCATGACACCGCTTGGGCCCGTTGGTGCCCCGTGGGGCACTTGTTTCTTATTAGCATTGATGAATCATGCATTTTTCTAGACCTTGCTGCATCTAAACACCTTCCCACATCAGACTCATTTTTATTCAGATATGCAGTGGAACGCTCTCCTGAGAGGACGGCTGCTGTAAAGGAAAGCATGTCTGCAGCACTAAAGACAGGACAGAGTAAAGGTCTGGTTCTCAGAGAAAATACTGATTCACTTATTTTCTAGATGTACCCTGATCCCCAGTCTTCGGACAGCTTCAAGTTGGTCATGCAGAGATGTAATATGGGAGACAGGTTGTTGAGGTATGGTGCAATCTGATTCAAGACTATAAATTAATGCAGCATCTCTACTCTTTCATCATCATACTAAAATGGTAAATACCTGAATATACTAAATAATGCAGTAAAGTCTGAGGGTTATTGGTTATTCTCGACATGTCACAGAGTGTCTGTTTTTATCAACACATCAATCAAAACTCACTAAAAGCTTCTCATATTTCATAGAGATTCAATATGATGGGAGGTAATAGTCTAACTATCAAAGTAACAATGGTCAGTGTGCCTAACATGATGTGTGTCCATGTGTTGCATGGTTTTAGAGAAATATGGGCGAGTAAGTGAGTCGTATCTTGGCTCTTAAGCTTGAATCACACAGGAAAACAGGATTTCCAATGACATTGTATCTTCATGTATCTTTACGTGTGTATATTTGGCCCACTGTGAGTCTGTGTGAAGTTGATAATGTCTAAAAGTTTGTTTAAGGTAGCAGCCTCCACTGTTGCTTTAAGGATGGAGCTACGAACTTGACATTTGATGCTGGTACAATTATAGATGATTGAAAAGACAGGTGATGTTTCCAGTGTATTTATCTTATCTCTGCATACTTATTTCTGCAGACAGCTACTTATTCATCAAGGAGGCCTCTGGTTTAAAAAAAGCTGAAATTAAACCAGGTGGTGTAATATTTAAAAATATCGACCACCATGCTGGAGCACACCAAGAGTGAGAGAATGACAAAGATGTACAATTTGGATTCCTTTGCAATTTGATGTGCAGGAATTAGCTCAACTTTGTTTATATGGCACCTTTAATATGCATAAACTCGCAGCCCAAAGTGCTTCACAGAAGAACAGATGGAAAGAAAATAACTAAAACAAGAATTAAAATAAACCAATGGAAGAAAATTAAAGTAAAATGGGATCATTAAAGTAAAGTCAAAGACAAAAGTAAGGGTAAGAAACCAAATTAAAACAATAAAAGGAAAAAAAGCAGTAAAATAACAAATGAATGATAAGAAAATGGTTATAATGCAGTCTAAGGCTAAAAAGAAAGTCAAAATTACTCTGAATTAACAGCCAAATTTAAAAGGTAGGTTCATTAGTTTATTTACTTTTCCTTCTTTGAGACGCATGAGAAACATTTAAAGGAAACATTCAAGAAGCAGAAACTTGAAAGCTGATCTGTCACATATGGAGGAGGTTAGCTTTAAAAACAGGCCAAAGAGCTTTAACGCCAACTCTAAAAGCAGCAGGGAGCCAGTGCAGAGCTTTATGAAATAAAACAGCTTTATTTATACAGGTTAAACCTCTGGCAGTAGCTGACCAGTACAAAGTGAGTTAAAGTAACCTGAACAGCTTGTGATAAAAGCATGAAGCAACATTTCAGCTTTTTTCTAGGTTATAAAAATCGGATCCTTTTTTTTCTGACTTTTTCTCTGAAATGATAACAGGAAGTGCTCATGACCTTCTTTAAATGAGGATTAAAATACAAATCAAGGTTGATAACGTTTAATACATCCAACTAACAAAGATGTCCCATAACCTGCTGATAGACACTTAATGATGTACTTTGTGCCACCAAATCCAACCAAAATCATTGCATGGTTTATCACCTCTACAGTCAATGAGTTTCTGCATCACTATAAAACCTGTTATCAATGCTGATTTCATATCTGACATTATAAGTTATTTGTAAGACACAGCAAAGCGATCTGTCCAGTGCAGCCTGGCAAACTGCTGAGGATTAGTCCATCACATGAGATGATGCAGGTGATTCACAATAGACCTACATGATAGGTTAACCATCATGAGGTTAGTCCACAAATGAGATTAAAAAGAGAAGCGGGTATTTAGACAGCACACGTTATTTCTGTCTATGATGAAGAGAGTACAGTGCATTAACAAGGCATATCACAGAAACATAAAGTAATCTACATGTCTTATTAAAGTCAATCGATCTGAGCCATAATAATCAGATGTTGAACTGATCCTATTAAAAAGGAAAGACAGTCAATGTAAAACCCTTACATTTCAAAACAGTCGCCCAAATAGAGATGGAGCTGAGTTCAAATTAAATTGGGTAATAATAGTAAAACTGTATCATGATCTCCAGTGAAATTGTATTAAATAAATAAATAGATAGACTGAAGAAGCCTTAATGGAGCTTAACTACTACTTGTGCTGTGTTTCTGTAGCTTAGCTTGCCTCATGTCTTCAGGAGTAGCTTTGGAAAAATTGGGCTAAGTATAATGGAAAATAACTTGCAGCTCACCAAGCATTTTAACACACTTTTCTAAATGAAATTGTCTTTATAAAAAAATCCAAAATTGTGTTTCTTGAAGAGCTTGGTAACTGCACTGAAAAAAACAGTCAATAATTTCTTTTGATCATCAATCCAAGAAACTTTCTAATGATCCAAAACTTTCATCTTCATAAAATGATGCAGTCTGGCATTTAGCATTTTTGTGTCTGACTCTAGCCAATCACACTTGGCTGATTTTAAGATATTCTGTGCTGCAGACAGTGCTCTGTAGTGCCAGGAAGAGAATTTCTGGGCCCTGGATCTCTTTAAGGTTTGTGCTGATGGATGGCTGCTGGAGGCAGCGGGGAAGACACAGCATCAAAGGCCGTTAGCGCAGGTTTTTCTCTCAGTGGTTTGTAGTCTGTTGTAATTTGCAGAGCTTTATGTCTTACTCCGAGCCGTGGAATAAAACGCATCACAGTCCGCGTCCTGCGACCGCTTTGTGCTGCAGCGTATAGTATGCGGCCCCCCCACCGCCATTCTCCTGCTCCTCTCTGATGTGTTACCATTTCACATGATGAAAGCAGTCAATGCAGGTTCAGAGGCTGAATTGGCCCACAGTTTTCCTCTATCACACATTTTGACCACGGAGATGCTTTCTGCCAGAGATGTCGGGGAAAATGCAAATTGCTCCTTCCTGCAAGAAATGTGTGAAGAAAAGAGAGATCAATAAGAAAGTGCAGGCGGAATTTGAAAGGTTTCTCATCCACAAGTTTCTGGGGTTGTGTTAAATCACTCACATCAGCGGAAAAAGAGAGACAACTCCTAAACAAAACTCTGCACAGTTTTACTTTTCTGTTTGGATTTTCAGCAATTCTCTAAAACATTCAAATACACAACTAAAAAGTGCATGATGGATTACTGACCATGAATTTGAAATGAATGAATGAATATGAATGTACTAAGAGGGACTGTTCACCAGTGCATGCATTTAAAAGCTGCATAATTAAATTCACACTTTCTACCAGTCAAAGCTTTAACACATTAAACCATCTGGGTACCACAGTGGAATCAGTTCAGCTCCAATAAACAGGGGCAGATCCAGAGGGCTGGTGAGGGGGGTTGTCCGGCCCCTTAGGTCTGATCGGCCACCTTAGGAGTCGACTCAAAATCCTCGAATATAATTGGCTATTTGCTTTATTAGAGGCGGGACTTATGTTAACACCAACTGTTTGGCTGTTTGCAACACTAAATACACTGTATCAACTGTTGGGTTTTTGATCAGCTGCATTATTTCTCGTCATAACTGTAGTGTTGATTTGGTGATCTACTTTCAATCCGACATGAATAACTAGACTTTTGATTCCAGGCCAACTTACTTCAAAACAGACTGAAACACTGAAACTAAAGGATGATAATCAAAATAGTCTTGAGAGGAAATTACAAAAGGTGGAGTGGGCAGGATTCCGTTAAAGAAGCATCTTTTTTTGTGGTGTATATACAAAAAAGCTTTTAATATCAGTCAATAGCTATTAGTTATTGATGACATTTGGTAATATAACGATATCGCTGTGTTTTTATGTCTGTGTAGTCAACATTTTAAAAATTTTGAGCGGCCTGCTCTGACTGTAAATAAAGCCATTCTCCGCCTCCCCCAACCCGATTGGTTGTGAGGCGGATGCTGCTCCTTAGTGCTGATTGGTTGTGAGGCAGATGCTGCTTCCTCGTGTTGTAAGGCACGCTCCACGTCCTCCAATAACGTTCACGAGCCCAAACAAAGTTAGTGTGCTACAATATCGGACAGTAGAAACCAACCAGAAAGTACGGAAAACACAAGCAAGAAAACAAAGGAAATACCAGAGACTCTGGCAGAATAACTGGTGCTTAAAAAGGAGGTAGACTGGACAAGAGCTAAAAAGCCGGGTCAACACGCTTGGAAAGTAAAAACTGTTGATCTCTGGTCCTGGACTATGTCACTTTATCCTAGTTGTAGAAGTCCTGCAAACATTGTGTTTGCTGGTAGTCTGTTTGCATCTACAGTAGCACCAATGCCGTTTACTTTCATGTTGACTGGGCCCCATTTGTAATTATCTGAAGTATTTATCTGCATTATATTATTTAATTTAATTGAAACGATACGAGCGAGCAGGAGCGTCTGTTTGTGGGCGGGGCTTGCTGGAGCAGAGAGGGAGGAGAGAGGAGGAGCTGAGGGGAAAACTGGTCAGGAGGGATGAATGGAAGTTTTGACCATATTCGAGGAGACGCTGTGCTGTTCGCTAGTCTGACTTAGCAGCTGCTTGGAAAAACATGTATTTTAGCTTGTTTGATCAAACCTCATCAGCTTCCTTTCTTTTTTTTTTTTTTTACTGTATCAGAGCGGGGGTGCCACGGCATACAAATGTTGTGATTGCGCCCTACCTGCAGGGATTCCCTCTTCAGCATTTAATGAAACTGAGTGTAAGCCCTATCATGCAGCAGTGTGCCTGGTCTTTAACTTCTGTCATTATTTCTCTGCATAGTGATTACATCTGAAATTATCCTTGCATCACAACAATCCTCAGTAACATCTGTGCGAAATGTTACGCTCCAAGACTCCGTGTAACCCCACCAGCAAGCCGGCGCTTGATTCAGCCCAAAACTTTGAGATTTTCATTAAACCACAAGTCCAAGAGGGAACAGGGAGGTGGGCCTGAATTGAATTTCTTCATGCTCAGGCGGCCATCATAATCCATCCATCAGACAGTGAAGGAAAATATAGAAGTCAAAGGGTAGACAATAGATTAGGAAAAAAAATAGACAGCGGCAGTATTTCTGCAATTTTTTAAGGATATTAAGCTCAGCGCTAAAAAGTGTCTGCAGATAATTTTATTCTATGTTTTGTGCCAGAAGGAATTGAAAAAGATAAGACTAGCTTTGACTTTTGGGCTTTGGCGATAAGGATTATCTCAGACCTCTTATTTTGATGATCAGATGCTCAGACAGGAGCTCAGTGATCACAGCTCTGTGATACTGAAATAGGACTGAATGACGTGGCGATCCTTTCAGCTCAGAGGGGAGTCAGATCCTGGCCTTGAGTTAAAAAATGAAAAAAGACCATTCAATGTAATAGCCAAAACTCTTTCTCTCTCTCTCTCTCTCACACCCATTCCTTTTTATTCATATGCCTGGAAATTTGAGTCAAAGCAAATGCTGATTAAAGCAGGTAATAGATTTTTTTAAATAATTTATAATTCCAGTTAATTACCCAAAGTGCAAGGTTGAAATTACCTCTTTTAATTAGTTTGCAATACAGATCCTTAATATATGAATAGATGCAACATTCAATAAAATACTTATAAGTCGAAAAAAATGATGCTGCTGCCGTCATAACCTGAATCGTAGTTTACCTAAAGTTTAGTGGTGTTTTGTAAGGCAATTATGATACACCAGTATTGACAATAACTGTTGTTTCAAAAAGATTAAATATCAATATGCAAAATAAAAGCCGAAGGTAACTTAGTAAGTTCACAGCACTGGTTCATCATTCTGGTTGTCGACATCTTAAACCGTTTTGGCCGGGAAACCTTAGTGATAGAGTTTAGATTGGAGAGACAGTTGGAAAATTTCCCTTACTTTGAAATCCCAAACTTGACAGGTATGTCATAAACCATGTCACCTCAATGAAGAAGAAGTCGCCGGCTGCCAGTGAGCTAGCTGCAGCAGCTCTAAACAATTATACTGTTTACAACTTAAGATCTACCAGAGGCTGTAAACTTTTGATTAAAGTTTGACTATGCAAGAAATAAAGCAGTCTAAACTAGACAGTAAAAAATATCAAAATAAAAGCAAAAGATTAAAGTGAGGTTCAGTTTCCTCTAAAGAAATTCAGAAATTCACAGGGCTGGAGATTGTTAAGAAATCCTAAATATGAATATAATTGGTAATAGTGGATGCTAGTTAAGTTTGTGGAGTAATTGGTTCCCTCATACTAGTGTTGTTTGAGTGATTGAGTTGTATAATTCAAGTTCTCCATAATAATCGTAGTGATTTTATTTTTGCAATATTTTAAGGTCATGATAATCATCTGATAAAGACATGTCAATTCTGCCAATGCGGTCATTGTGCTTTCAAAGCATTTATGCTTATCAATAATCATGGAACATAAAGTATTTCAACCGTGTTATAGAGTTTTTCTTGTTTATTATCTTTTTTTTTTTTAAACTGAGGATTTATAAACTGTCTTTACCTCATTATCACTCCTAAAAAATAACCAGAAACTGAAACCTATGAGCAGTTTTGTCTGACTGAGTTTTGACGCCTATCAGAGGTTGTCGCCATATTGGAAATGCTGCCCAATCCAATTTTTAGTTGACCTTCAGCCTCCTTGCAAACAGCTACAGTGTGCCAGCTAGTTAGTCTGACAAGTCTATGATCCAGTTTCTAGAAGTCAGAAGAGAAAGTAAATTGAAAGCCTCTGCAAGGGTCTGCAAAAAGCTGGTCATTAATCACGAATTTTTACATGCCGGTGCCCCCTTTTTGCCCCTGCCCCTCAAACAGCCTGATTACGCCACTGCTCAAGATGACAACAAAATCAAAACACAGATTTTCCCCATTGCAGCCTGACTTTTAAGCCAGACAGCAATTAAATCTAACGCACCACTAAATATCAACTTTGAGGGTCTAACAGAGCTGTCATGGCATTTCATAAGAAAAGTTTCTGTAGTCGAGTCTGAAGTGAAAGCAGGCGTGAAGCTGCAAAGTCTGGGTGTTTTCAGAATGTGTCACTTTCACTCAGCTCAGTATCCTCCTAAAATAAAAGCCAAGAAATAAATGGCCTTCATGTTATGTAAAAGTTCCCTGCAGAGTTTTTGAACTCTTGCGGCTCACTGGAACATTTTCTTTTCTCATAAGTTGATTCCTTTTATTGTACAAGTCCGTGGGGATGAGAATGCATTTCTGTACCACATTACAGCATCCTTCTGATGTTGTTTCAAACAATTTCGGTGAAATAACCAGCTAACCTGAGTCTGACGGCGCAGGTGTGTGACAAGTATGCTTGTTAAACAGAAAACCCCACAGAGCGGCTTCAGAAAGACAATCACTGCTTTAAGTGTTAAGTCATCAAACTTCGAGTCTGCGTCGAGTCTTGGTGTACCTGAGTCACCAGAAAACCTGTGAAGTTACGGCACTACATGTCATGTGTAGATGAGCACTGTAGCTCTGTAATGAGGAAACACTCTGATTGATCCCGCTGTGGGGTCACTGCAGGTGTCTAATGAACTCAAAAATAGATGCCGTGATTCATCAGGATACAGCAGCATATCCCTCAGTTAAGCTCTGCAATCTTCATACGCTCATAGGCTGTATCAAGTGTCAATGGTAGAAAACATGAACCCCCTAATAACTTTTAAAAACAGAGCTGCACCGAAAAAAGAGGACCTGAGCACAAACCAGTCTGACAGTAACTACATGTCAACATCACAACCAGGGGGGAGAAAATTTATGTTCTGTGTAATAAATTTCTAAAGTTGGTAGAGGCGGGATTTATGACCTATACTGCAGCCTGTCACCAGAGGGTGCTGTTCTCAGGATGGCCTCACCCAGCTGTCCATTTTATATACAGTCTACGGTCTGGATCAGCTCTCAGTTAGGTTTAGACTGTTGGTGATACTTGCACATTGAGCGTCTTTCTCCCCTTCTTCATCCTCTTTTTTGTCTGTTATTAAATTTGAATCATCACGTCCCATTAGAGTCAATAATTACTGTCTTCTTTTGGAGTTTCCGTGCTCCATCATGTCGTAGCTTCCTCTGGATCGCTGCCGTGGACCTGCCTGCTTCCCAGCTGCTTCAACCCTCTGCCCACCGCTCTCTTTCTGCAACAAAATAAAATAAAATAAACCATAAAACAAACCGTGATGAATAAATAAATATACATAGCTAGCCCCACTATGTTTTCAGACCAGTCACTTATTTAGCCTATCTGCTACAGGCATTTTTGTTTGTTTTTTGTCATGTTTTTAAAGGCACAGTCTGTGGTATTTAGCAGAACAGACTTGGTGGAAATAAAATATATAAAATAAATATAAATAATAAATAATATAATAAATATAATATAATAAATAATATATTAAATCAAGATATAATTTATATAATGTTAAGTGCATAAACACCCTTTCCTTAGATGCCACCATCTTGCACTTCCATATTTCTACAGAAGCCTGACTACAGAATACCTTTTGAGTGGCAGCTGAAAAAGTACCAGAAAACAGTGTTGTTGTTATGCGTTCAGCTTTATATATGAGTGAGTATTTGATGGTACAAACTTGGCAAAAGCAGGATAATATTTCACGTGTATCACAGCAGCTTCTTGTCCTCAAAGGCCACCATAGTTTCATACCAGGAGGGGTAAGCAAGGGAGCCTTTCACTCTCAGGATATTGCGAAATATTCCCATTTCTACACACTCTATCTTTACGAAAAATGGTAAAACTTTACAAAAACAGTCTGTAAAGTACCACTTGTGCTGCTCTCTATCTCCTCTCCACTTATCTGGGTCTCCTCCTTCTTTTTCAGTCTTATATCAACAAAGCCGCCGAATAAATGGACTTATTATGAGCCTTGAATTACTGAAAATAATTTTGGGTAAACATTTTTACAACACACGCCATTAAAAATATAAATGAGTGAAATAAAAATGTCTTGCCTTCCCAGCATTACTTGAGATAAAATATATTATCTCGTACTTGAAGATCTACGGCACAGCTGTTGAGGCGAACGGCTCCAAACATTAAGTTTCACACTCTCAAGTAACAGCTTGCTCATGAGAGAGAAACGTTAACCTCAGCATTAACAATAACTGATGCAGGTAACACTGTGAAAGAGGTGCAAATCTAACAACATTTCAGCGTGGGATCCATAGTTTGAAGATTATTTTTATATTAATCATCAAGAGAAATGTGCTTCTCTCTGTTTTTGTCTTTGAGAGTATTTCTGTATACATCCAATTTAAACTCAAACGGAGGGTCAGTTTTTAAAAGGCAGGTTTACGCCTCTCAAGATGCAACATTTCCCTCCTCAAGAGACAGATGTTCTGTTTTCTTCTGAGAGCCAAAATATTCCCGCAATCAGCATGTACTGCCTCGCTTTTATTGTTCAACATTGTGTTGTTTCTCCTCATCTCGGTCCTCGCTGCAGTTCCCCGCAGAGCAATGTGCACAGCTCTTTGAAAATGTACTTCATAGTTCACCACACAAGCTGCAATCAGACACAATTCCCAAAGTGACCCGGGAAGTCACAGCCTTTTTCTCCTGCAGAAAGAAAACACTCATGCAAACTCATAATGCCTTAATAGTGGCACTAAAACATAATGTTGGAGGATGAAAGTGAAAGAGAGCCGTCTGCACAGACTGTGGTGGGTGAAGGTGACAATATTATCATCGTCTCAATGCCAGATCCTTAGAGAAAACGTTCCCTCAGAAAGTTCGAGGAGGCGGTGAGACATGGTGTCCTCGCCGTGCAGAGGCTGCTTCGACTTCTACAAGAAGTCGCACGCAGAGGTGAGAGAGTAATGCACTTCATATCACAATCGCAAGAAAGTCTTTCACCTGAAGGAGTTTTGAAGGTTATTGACATTCACGCGGCCTACCTGCTGAGTGCTTGAGCTGAATATTTTGTGAACAAATGTTTAGGGGTATAAGTTATTTTTATGCATATTACGCCGCCTTGCCAGAGGGGGTAAGTGAATCTAATTTAGCGGCAATAAAACTAAATTAATGGACTACAAGCATCGGAGCACATAAAGAACTAATTCCATCTGAAAGTTACATTAACACAGAGAATATGTAATTGCAAAAGGGGTCCATAAAAATAGTGATTTGGTCGGCCAAATGCAAATGTGTCCCTCAATCAGCTCTGCCAAGTTCTGCTCAGGCGTGACAAGCAAACTGGATCTGAGGCCAGCTTTTTTTCCCCCTAAATCATCAGATTTTAGTATTGCCCCAAAGTGAATAAAATATTTGGCATAAAAGAGAGGAATGATCTGAATCCCTTGATCTAACTGTGGAAACATTGCAGCCACGCTGTGTTGATCCTGGACTGTTAAAGCAGCACGAAGGTGAAACCAGAGTCACCTAACTCTCATCTGTAAAGAGCTCCTCTGGGACACGGTTTTGGTTTTTCATAAATCAAATCCTCCTTTCACCAACTCTCATTTACATTTTTTTTAGCTGAAAAGCACCTGCTCGAACACACTCAGAGATAAAAGTCGACGTTAAGCAGGAGTCCAAAATGTTAACAATCAATTAAGATAGTCATGCAGGCTAATTGGGTTTAATTTTGGACTTATATCCATCATGTTCATCATGTGATCCTGACAGCCTCACCGCTTTACACTCACTCTTAGCAGAAGCTTTGATCACGCTAATAGAACATAATAAACAGCTCAAAACTGTGTTTACTTCAGAAACTGGAGATCAAAACAGCAACATTTTGAGAGCGACGATCTTTGAAACAAACACAACACCCGATACAAGCTAAAAGGCCTCTTTACCTGTTTAACTCTTTACCTGACCAACTCTAGTGAACTGTCAAGCTCCCAAAATCTTGTCTTTACAAAATGTAATCAATAAATGCATCACAGGAAAGACAAAACCACTTTTATTTTATTCTATCGGTATTTTAAAATGTGTTATTTTCATCAAAAAATGCTGAGAAAATTACGTTTTATTTAAAAGTATATTTACATCATTCAAGGCAGAAAAATTAAAAGGCCTCTTTTGTATTTGTCCCTCTTTTACATGGAAAAACTGAGCACATCTGACCACTGGATGCACAAAAGGTTATCAGCTGATACAAGTTGGCATTTGCTTCAAAACCCAGCTGACCTTCTGACATGTTATCGCTGTCTAAAGTGTCTTCAGATAACGACCGTTAGGTATCAGCGCTATGAACGTAATGACTGATTGGTTTGTTGGTTGGTGGGTTGTTCATTTCTGCGACATTTTTTGTTTGACTTGTTTGAAGTCAACTGATATTATTATTAGTGCCTCAGGGTGTTGAGTCTGTATCCTAGCAACAGTATAATCGGGAACATCACAATGAACTTCAGCCGTTGCCTTGGGTGGGATGCAAATAAGTATTGTTATGATATGACTGAACTCCGTGAGAACATGATAAAGCCGAAGAGCGACTGCCAACAGTTCGATATCTGGACAACACAACTTCTTCTTGATGGTTATTTGTGAAGAGTTACACCATCTCTGGTTGACAAATATAGCCAGACCTCCTCTTTTTCTTCTTGCCACAAGCTTTAGCATCTCTGTCTGATCTTATGAGAGTGAAGCTAAGTAGATCCACGCTGGAGTCAGGGTTGTTTTGATTCAACCAGGACAACCCTGACTCCAGTGAGGATCTACCTGGCCTTATTTATATATCATCTCCTCTGACATGACAGGCGCCACAGTTGTGAAGGCTGTATAAAAAATGAATGTAGTGTCGGTGACTTCAAAATAAAGGTAATACAAAGAAATTCACCTCTCATAGGATCGCTGAGCTACTCAGACTAAAACCTTTTTTCGAATATGTTTATTTTTGCTCTAAAAACAGCTGTTTTCAAAGAGATTTTCTCACGGACACAGCCATACTTGTCTCCCTCGTCTCTGTCCCTGAATGTTTTTAGTTGCATCTGCTTTGATTTCTTTCCTTTTTTCAGCTCCCATATGCTGCACTTGAGAGCCAGGTGCGGGTGTATAAGTGTCATATCACCCACATTTAAGCAATTACATCGAATCTTAAACCAATTTGGTGAAATCCAACCTGGAATCGTGCGCACTTTCAGTCATGAGAATTTGTTATCAACAGAAAGTTCAGGAATAAACTGCAATTACACTCTTTCGCTAAACTATAAGAAGCAACTCCAAACAATTCAGAGGCTCGTGTTTTTGGACTAAAAGGAAGCTGATAACACTCTTGACTACAGAAACATGCATCAAACTTTAAAAGAGGTTTAGAAACTGTGATGTGTAAGTGAGCTATTTCTGCTTTGGGCTTTCAAAGCTCCGTCAGCGGCAGCAGGATGCTCCACGCAGTCCTTACAGTTTTTATAAGGACTCGAAGCCTCATTTTCTCTGATCTCCTTTTCTTCTTTAAAGAACAGGAAAAGGAAATGAGCGGCTTAAAAGGGAAACGACAGCAACAAAAATGCTAACCTCATTTCTTTAGAAAATAATACAAGTGTCTCCTTTTGTTCCTGCTCTCTTATCCGACACTCTTTGAACATCACAGCTTGCCCTCTTGCCCAACCTACTTATGCACGCCAGCAAAAAAGTATTTTGTGTCCATTTCTATTCCAATTGCTTATGATAGCAGGAGCGCCGCAGGTTCCTCTGGGGCCCAGAAATGCTCATTTGAAAAATCGCCCAGACGTGCATGGAGGTTGCCAACCTCAATTTTTGATGCAGTAGCTCATTTTGTGTGTCTTCCTCAGGAGTCACAGCCCAGCCCCAAAGGAGGCCCGGACACTCTAGCCAGCCAATTATCAGGGCCTTTTCCTGCACCTGCCCACTGCTGCCCCTGTGAGTGTGTGAGTGTGTGTGTGTATGTGTGTGTGCAGCTCCATTCAGGCCAGGGAGCAATCGGAGCTGATGCCCCTCCACAGCTCAGCTCTGAGAGGCTAACGGCGCTTTGGTAATACTTAATGAGAAAAGTTGGAGTGTTTTAGGCTTTGGTAAAAAAAAGAATACGTAATTTTTAGAGGTTTTAATCTTCAGATCGTCTCTGTTTTTATCAATTCTGAGGATTCAAAGGCAACTTTTGAAAGTCTGCTCCAACAAAAGGATCTCGGTCCAACCACCGCCTCGGATAAAAGCGTCAGAGACAAGAAGAAAAATCGCCTAAATGCAGCGCTCTTTTGGTAAAAGAATAAAGCTCCAAGTATTTTTTTAAAAACTGTCTGGAGTGCTTAAATATTCATGCAATTTCAGCCTTTTATTGTGATTGAGAGAATCCCTTCCAAATAAAAAACTAAAGAAATTCTCAAGCCAGCCAGCAAATTGCAAGAGTAGCAGCCAACGTTAACACATTGATGTGTCAGACTCGACTTTGAAAACCATATTAATGATCCTCTTGTATTATAATCCACCACTGACTCTTTATCTTTAAGAGAATTTTAAATATGTTTCTTTTTTTCTTTGGGTTTGCCAGTGTCTTCAAGAGTTCACCATCTTTAGGAAAAGAAATAAAACACGCACATACGATCCTTTATTTTCGTATCAATTTTTGTTGTTTCTCTTCATGCTGTAGCTCGATGAAGCAGTTTGCATCCCTGTGAAGAAACTTGCCATCATCCATTTCTTTGTGACACCTTCACAAACACCCCATCTTTGTTTACGAATTTCCCCCCAAACTGTCGAAGAAACTTTTTCAGAGGATAGAGAGCCTCACTCTCATCTATCACGTCCACCAACATGATTAACGCTGTAGTAATAGCCACACACCGCTAAAGGCTAGTTTGCTTTCCGGTTACTGAGTCTATTTTTCTTTTTTTTTTTCAGCTGTTGCTTCTCCTTCCCCCTCACTTCATTTCCTATCTCGCACTCCTGTGACCCAGCTAGTTATGTGGACATGCCATCTGCTCATTTTCAAGCAGAATATCAATATTTCATTGTTTTAAAAAAGATGCTGGTTTCCATTGCTGGAATTTCCTGACTGTAGAGTCTCTTGCACTTGCTATGTTCTGGCTGACCTTTAACCCTGCTCCCACCTTTTTTTACTGAAGCAAAGATTCGGCAATTTTTCCTCCCAGAACAGGTCGAACCAACGATCTGTTTTTTCATTCAGCAGGACAGTATGCAGCTTCCACTCTTTCCTCTGGACCTCCGAGTCGATCCGTGCACATGGTGTGTGGCTACACTGTCCAGACTGCCAAGTGAGGCCCAACAGCAGAAGAAGACCTCACTTTTCTACGTGTAACTCAGGTGCTAAAACTGTCTGGACCAATCTTGAATTAGCTATTTTTTTCCACCAAACCGTTTTGCTGATGATATCTGTGTGTGCTTGTCAAATGCACGTGCAGCCAAAAGTCTATAAAAAGCCTTTATAGGGATATTCTGGCGTAAAATTAAGTAAGGGTCAAACACATGGAAACACATCAAGTTAGACACCCCCTTTGAGAGATGAATGTTGCCCACTGCTTGCTTTTTTAGTGATACCAACTTTAGTAACGACCGCAGGATAGCAATCAATGTAACACAGCAGTCAATGTTTCCACTTGCAAACCTCAACCAAAACGCTACTCTATAGCCACTAATAATGCTCAGACCAGCACCTAATTTCATCAACAGGACATATAGGGTCCCAGCCATAGTACTAGCCACCAAACATCTTTTTAACTTTGCCTAATTTCTTTAGCAAAGAGACTAAACACAACTCACCCACTCTCCTCCAGCAGCCGCTTGTTTGTGGGGGCATCCCTGACAAGTCGATCACAGAGTGCAGCGGAGTTTCACAGCTCAAGGAAGAACATTTATGATTACTACTTCATGGAAATGCAATTTGACTGAGATGATGATAAATATGATTGTTAGGAGAATTTTCTTTAGCCAATCCCATCAGCCTTTAGGGCGGTGGAGCTATGTAACTCAGATACCATGGATACGTTGGTGTTAGATTCCTGGAGCCACGGGCCTTCGACAACCATCCTCAACAAAAAACCTTGTACACATTTTTGACATCACTCAGGTTCAACTAAGGCTCCTTAAATTATATTGTCCTTTGTTCTTACCCTACATGGACTCTTCTTCAGGTCAACTAAATACCAGCAGAATGCTTGGAAAAATGGATGGCTATATGTACTTGTACAGGCTCAAACCAGTCTTTGTTACACTTGTGGCAGGATGAAGCTGTAACCCAGATCTGCAGCCATTAAATCTTGTCAAACTGATCATTCGTGTGGACCTTCCATTCTTTCAAGTGTGAACCTGGGCTAGGCATCCTCACATTGATGATTATTACTTCATGGAAATAATCTACTGCACTCGGTGATCAACTCGTCAGGGCTCCCCCTGGTTGAGGTTTGCGTGTTGAGATGTAGACCGCTGTGTTTCATGCGGTCGTTACTAAAGTTGGTATAACTAGAGAAGCAAGCAGTCGGCAACATTCATCTCTGGAGGGGGTGTCTAACTCGGTGTAACGGTGAGTTTGACCATAACCTAATTCACGCCGGAATATATAACCTAATTTACGCTGGAATATCCCTTTAACGTAAACTCCGTCCAGGCGAAAACACACCACACCACGTCCACCTACTCTCTCTGCCCAAAAACACTGCTAAGATGGATACGACTTGTGTCTTTTTCCAAGAAAAGTCGACTTTATGTCCAATTCATTATGCCAGAGAAAACTGCATATGTGAGGGTTTTGCTCATTTGGAGGCTCTGGCATTCTTGTCTTCTCTCATCTAGCGATTAATTCAAAGTAAGAGTGTGAAAGAAAACAGCATCTATTGGTCTGAAATATTTCAGTAATGCCAGGGTAACAGAAAAGTCTTTTCATTTTTCTTGGATTTTTGCAGCCTGGAAACGAAATCATGGGGAAAAAAGGAGAAAAACTCTCCTCGAATCAATACCACCCTCTTCTTTTCTTCCGTTCTCCTCTGGCCCATCTCTGTAATATATTCTGACTTAATGCTTGTATATTTGTTGATAAAATTCTGAAATGTTGGTGTTTTTTTTCTTATTCTTTCCGTAGCTAATGGAGTGAGTAATGCGCTGGATGCTGCCTGACTTGCAATTGCATTACGGGGCATCTGCTGGTGAAAAAAAGAGAGCAGGCACAGGCAGGGACGACGGGAAAAGATGCTCAGTGGTTCAGGTAAGAAACTCGGGAGCACTCTGTTCATTCAACGACACTTGCAGACTGTTGGAGGAGAAAACTAAGGCTTTAGACTCTCCAAATTGCCTCAAAAATCCTCATGTTGTGGTATATTTTACATCAATTTGAAGCAATTTTGAGGGATGCATTTCTTCTGCAAATCACAGTAATCTAGCACAGTGATCAAAAAAAGCTGACTGATAAGCTGTCCTGGATGTAAATGAGTCTTTTTTCTCTCCAGCCACATGAGACACAGGAGATTGAGTGTTGAGGAGATAAGACGAACAAGTTGTCAGCGTGAGGAGCGGCTGAGAGATAAACTGATTGGAGTCCAGATTGGATATAAAAATGGTCTGCATAAGTAGTTCCTGTCATTCACAATCAGACCGACTGAACAGAAAGCCAAACAGACTGTGTGTGCACACACTCAGGGCTTCTTATCACAGTACGTGTATGTGATGTGACATTTTTTTAACGAAGTCTGCCGGCAAGAGGGCCCTTTAAATGACGACCAGTTCTGACAGACACAACCGGGGACAAGCGGTTTTTATCAGCGGTGCAAACTTGGTATTATAAACTTTATGTTTCTCTTGTCGTTAGTGTAAGTATCATGTTCACAAATACCACTGTTGTTTGTTTTATTAAACTTCTATAAAGCACCAATGGTAAAGTGGTGCGCCCAATAGAGGCCAAAGTTCTCAAGTGGGCAGCCCAGTTAAAGACCCACTCCGATGAAAATCATGTTTTTCTTGTTGTCTACATGTTTATATGACATTTTTCTGATGCTACAGGACATATCATGAGAAAAATAAGTGCAAAATTGCATTTCTGAGTATTTCTGCATTCAAATCAATGTGAATCTCTCACACACCCAAAGGGTAGGCTCAGACACAGTGAGATTTTCTACATCACAACTCCAAGCTCTGCCCCCTGAGCCCCGCTATGCAGGCCAGACTCGGAAAATTAGAGAGGACAATTGCAGTACAAGTGTGTGTGTTAGTGGATTGCAATGCTTGTTAGAAAGCTAACCGTAATATTAAGTTTCATCATGACCCTGAAGACATTAGTGTCTGAGAGCTGAATATCTCCTATGTTACCTGCCACTTCTTCTACACTGACAATGTTAGGCTACAAGCTAGCGTGAAGAGGAGTGTGCAGAACAGCGCTGTCTACTGGAGCTCTGCAGAAGAGAAGACACTGAAAATGACACAGGTAATGTAATTTTGGCTAAAAACCTCATAATCTCAATTTAACGACCGCTGAGAACACTTAAAGTAGTCAAAAAAAAAAAAGAGAAAAAAAATGATCAGAGTGGGATTTTAAATCTGGACCTGCAGCCTTTTTCCTGCATGTCACGCCCCAGTTTCTCTTAATCTCAATTTCCTGCTTGGTCCACGATCCTAAAGCCTGAAAATACAACTGCAAATAAAACTCTGCAAGCATGATAGCGTTCGTTTCATGCAATTGTTTTAAATCCAAAAAGCAGGACAAATACAACATTTAGGTTTAGAGAGATCTTCATGGAGTCAGAGATGTCACCACATCCATGTAGCATTGGTTAAGATCTAAACACTGTGACCACAGGATTATACTCTGTTCCTTCACACTTACATTCTGGCTTTTGTGCAGCATGCAATATCTTTTTGTAGAACTGCAATAGAGGTGAAGCCGTCAGCATTTCCCCAAACTTCTAATTTTGCTGCCATTGAATCTCCATCTTGAAAAACTTGTTGTCCATATTCATGTGTCTTCATAATTTGAGGAAACAGACTGCTTTGTAAACTTTTGGTAGCAAATTTGTGACATTTACTAAAAAATTCTGCTAATGTTCAGAAGCCTTTTTGGTTTATAGATTTTCTTTATTTTGACTTTGGCAGCCAACTCCGAAACTTGTAGTTTTTGAGACATTCATCCAAAATGAAACTTATTTGTCCAAATTTGTCAAAAAAATTGCTGTTTTTAAAAGTTCTGGTTGTACATATTTCAGGATTCATCCACACCCTCATCCCTGAACTGCTGTTACTAAGGATATATTTGACAGTGCTTTCCCGGAGACCAGCTTTTAATATATTTCATGTTTGACTTAGTTTCCTGCTCTGTTCTTATGGAAAGCAAACAGAAATTTAAAGGAGGCGCAAAAGCATATAATGCCTGGCCTTGGGTGAATTTACACAGGAAGTATTTACAAAATGTAAAATCGTTCAACTTAGTGAAAAAGTTCTGTGTGTATATTGAAGTTTTCTGGATTAAGGGAGTCAAAGAAAAGAGCGACAAGAAGAAAGACAGATAAAATCTGAGTGAATTAAAGAGAGAATTTAAACTCAGTTTTCATCCGTTCCATGTTTGGGGTGAGATATTAGAGAGCCCTGTTACCTGTCCGGACACACTGGCACTTTTATTTGAAATGCAAATGAATCATTTCATGGATGTTTTGCAGATGCATAAACTGATAAAATCTGATTTTCTCTTCTGAAAGTACAGTAACAACTTGCTGTGTCACGGTGCCAGCTTTAAAAGTAAAACAAAAAAAAAAGTCCTAAAGTGAGTCACTCCTTCGCCAAAAGGAAAAGCATCAAACTTCACTTTATTGATGCTGGTAAACTCTAATTTATACACAATCCTGCTTAGTCAGACTCCGAATTTAAAGTTCCCTAAAAGGTGGCACAGCCTGTTTTGAAGCTGACACAAAAGGCAGACTCGTGATAAATCTTTGAGTCAGAGATAGATGCAGGTCATTTTCCTCCATATTTATCAAAACACGAGCAGCATGAAATATAGTCTCCACGCAGGAGGAGTGTAATGAGCTGCAATATATTGTGATGCTCTGAAATGGAAAACAATATTCAGTCAATACCTGCTCAGTAATGCTTTGGCAAGGATTCATATTGTTGATGGATGGATTTGTAATAAGAGTCTGTCTGTGCAGCAAGATGACACTTTGAAGTTCTGAAATGATTTTCCATGATGTACAGTTGTTAAATGCTTTCACACAGATCTGCAGCTGCACTGATTTGTGTTTGTGTGAAAATCTGCTAAATAAAGAGCTCAACTTTTATGGAAGAAAAAGTCATTTTAGTAAAAGCTTTATGTTTGTCTCCTGCATGAATTCTTCCCTAAAATGCCTTTTGGCTTTGGCAGAGCTATAGTAAAGACTGTTTTATACTTGAGCTGGTGACATTAATGGATGTACTCATGCATATGGATACAATATGTAAACCTTATCATTTTTGACAGCTTAATCTGTGCAAATGCATGTCAACAAGAAGAGGACTACATGGAAGTATCAGATGATTTTATAAATACTCTTATACCACAACCTTTGATTCGTAGGTCCAAACTCTGTAAATCAGCATTTATCTCATGACATATCCTGTAATAAACTGCCTTTAACTTTACTTACACAATTCATAGCTTCTGTGGATCAAACTGTAAATGCAGCAAAGCCTGTGAGCTAGTTCAGGCAGGCAACTCAAGCTGCTCATGCTGTACAACACACTTTCATTTCACCCTTTCATGCATGGATTATTTAAAGTACTTTCACTAACTTTGTGCATGATGTCCACTGGAGCAGACAGATGTATCTTCTAACAAATATGTGAAAAATCCTGTTAAAATCTGAGTGAAATATTCCAAACACCTGATTTTGTAGGTAAATATGTTTCCTACCTGTTCGACTCTTTGACACTAAAAGGGTTTTAGACTTAATCCTGAGGTATTTGGTGCATCCACAGCTCCATTCCCTAATAAAGTTTCTTAAAATAATCAAAATTATATCCAAATTTAGACAAACGTTTGTCTCTTAAACCACCATGAGGTCTTAGTTTCTGCCCCCTCAGCCCCATCACCTTTCCAATGTCTTTAAAGGGGTTCAAATATTACTTAATCAGTCCTTAGACTTTAAGTATGTTGTTCAATGATTTTAATGTACCTGTATTTAGGAATAAATTAAGTTTTGAAGTGACTAACCAACCTGACCTGGTAGACACAGGGCTTCAGGACTGGTTAGCCCTGAAAATCTATAGTTTTATCCCATATAGAGTGTCATAGTGAATATCAATCATGGCCACGTCATGAAGAAACAGAGCAGCGAAGTGAAAGACCAGTAATGAAGTTGGTGTCATGTTGGAACCGTGCATCAGAAGTAAAGTTTCTGAGTCTGACTGTGTAGCCCAGGATCGACCACGACAGACTGGAAAAACAGTCAGCAAGAATAACAGACGCACTAAAGCAACCTGGTGAGTGATTGGCATTAGCTTTTGCAGTCATCGTCCAGTCGAGTCCAATCTCCTTCCAGTGTCGTCGAGTCAGTCGTGATAATTGGTCAGGTCTGTCAGTCAAGTCACAGTGAGGTTTCAGACTCTGTAACACAGATCAAGGTTTTCTGAGACACATGAACCAGTGAAAAAAATGACCCACTTATAATAACACAGTTTCAAACAAACCTTGAATATGATAAAAAGCCAGACCTTCGAAGGCCAACTTCACAACTGCATCATAATCGCCCTAAAAAATACTTGTGTGTCAGTATTCCCTTCTCATATTAGTGAATGACACATCTTAAGGTTGCTCACACTATTTGGTAAAAACATCCAGTTGGTCTCAAGGATGAACTGCATCAGTCTTAAGGGTTCAAAGGTCAAAGTCAAGAGCAGTTGCTGGTGTACGGGAGGGAATTTTTATAAGCTGGTATTCTTTATTTATTCTATTCAGCTTTGAGAAAGGCGCCATTCCTGTGGGATGAGGTGATAATCCACTCTCATCAGTTCTTTATAAAGCTGTTCTTTCTGCCGCGGGAAGGATTTTCTAAAAAATAACGATTAAAAGAGGGAAAATCAATGAAATACAAAAAGAATAAGTAAAAAAGAGAGTGAGTCATTGTGGGCAGGTTGCAAAAGCAGGTATATTGAGTGATATAACAACACGTGGTTCAAACTGTTTTCAGACATGGAGTTTTAGGGGCTCTGACATGGAAATGAAACCGTGTCCCCCCCTGTTGAATGGGGGGATTTTAGGTGGCTGATCATAATGTCAAACGGGCGCTGCAGTCGTGGAGATGTAATGTTTTACAACCCTCAAAAATAGGCCAATAAGATCATGAGTGATACGTCTCACGTTCTGCACACAGAGTACGAGCTGCTGCTGCTGCCCTCTGGTAGGAGGTTTAGAGCTTCACTTGCAAACTAAACAGATTTAAATACTCATTTATTCCAGCGTCTATTAAACTTTTACAGGGGGGCGAGTAAAAGCCAAACGACTGGACTTGATGTTTTGTGTTTTCTGCACTGCTGAAGGCTGCACGGATCACTGTTGTATATTTATTGTCTAGTTTTGGAGTTGGAAGTCTGATATTTATTCATTTGTGCGTGAACATGTTTATGCATTCTCATGTTATTCTAATGTATCGGGATGAATGTTGTGATTTATCCAGCAGTGTACGCAGATCGCCAACAGGTGTTATGTTGAGTATTGCTACTCTGTCAAAGAACTCCAAACCGATAAAGACCTGACTCCACAAAGAAATCAGAGTTTTGTGAGTGTTATGTTGCATTCTAGTTGTACTCGGAAGTCAAGATTTCTGAGCTCTGAGTTGGAACTTTCAACTGGAACGACCCCCAAGGTCGTATTTCCGCATCGGAAAGTCAGACGATCCTCTCAACCCCTGAGTTGACATTTAAAGATGGTGCCGCCATTTGTAAACAGTACGTAGAAGCTAGTTAGAAAAAAAAATTATGCTACCTTCTGCGCCTTTGTGTTTCCTCTTCATCCACTGTATTTGCAAGTTGCAGAAGGACCGCATATTTGTCCAGAAGTTGTTTATATTTGGCCAAGGCAAGTGCGAGAATACCTTTCCTAGATGCAGCCATCTTGTTTCCGCTTCCGTTTTTGACTGTTGGTTACTTTCCAACTTTGGAACTGTAACGCTGATAACTCGGGTGTAACGTCATTCTCAGCTCCGACTTCTGAGGTGGAATGCGCCATAAGATTTGGAGCGTTTTTGTGTATTCATGTCAGATAGTCATCATTCATCCATGTTAAATGTGGCAAACCGACCACCTCTGTTGTAGATCTGCACTCCAGCAGCATTTTCAATCAAGTAGCAAAACTAGACAGAACACCAGCCACACGAGTAACACCACCATCCCCTGCCCGCTCCCTCTGCTGCTTTAGGGAATCATTTGAAAGATTTGCTGCTGCGTTTACTCATGAGCTCACCCAGACTTTACCCCGAATGGAACTAGAAGGCTAAAGGGAATATTCAAGGTGAAAAAAAAACAGGATGTTTCAGCTAATTTCAGGGAATCTTCAGGAACTTTGTGCGTGTTTGAAAGAAGCTGAACAGTCCTGATTTGCTCATTGTACCCCGCTTCAGCATTCACGCCTGGATGTCATGAACACTCATCTTAACACATGCTCTGTATGAAAGCAGACTCTCTTGTTAGACTACATGAGTTGTATATTCTTATGATTGTTTCTCTGGCAGTAAACGAGGAGGCTGTCACCGTCTCCAAACAATATGAATGCATGCTGTTTATCAGCTGAGCCGGGGCCGTTTCTCAGGGGTCTTTTCTACTTCATGACAGTAGTGATTCTTCCTCTCTCTCTCTCTCGCTCTCTTTCTCTCTCTCTCTCTTTCCTGCTCTTTCTGTTTCTTTAATATATGTCCTGACTTGCGGGCACTTCCTCATTATTCCTATCTTGATATCTGCCACTGTTAATGAGTGGAGGGACTCCAGTTGCAGAGTTTGAGCGTTTGGATTAATGTGGGCGCTGCAGCAGGGAAGTTTGGGAATAGTGCATGCTCTCTCGGTTCATTACTGTGGATATATGACATTTTAAGGCTGTGAGACGCAGGGCTAATGATGCTCTCCAGTAAACACTGGAGACTGCCAGCCACTGCACCTGAGAATGTTCCTCTAATAGTGGGGATGTCAGCATGGTGACAGGTCCACCCTCTGTGCACTCACTACACTGTTGAATTTTTTATTTTTCCTTGTACAGCAAGACTTACTCAGAATTTTAATTGATAACGTGCATGTTTCCAGGAGTTTGTAAGGTTAGCACGCAAACGGGAACACCTGAATATCACAGCAGCATGTTTACAAGCTTTAATGTTGCAGAGGTTGTCATAAAAGCACGCCAGTCCAAACTAATTCGGGGAAAAAGTGGTTTTATGACAGTCTCCGTGGCGGTGACAGTCTCTGCCAACTAACTCTCCTCCTGAATCAGCAGTTTTCCAGATGTCATCATTAGGTCACTTGACTGACAGTATGTGAGAAATGACCATAACACCAAACTATAAAAAGACCAGGACGGTATGCTCCAGGATGACACCACATTTATTCCAATGACAGTTGCTGACTGAGCCTGGAGGCAGAAAAAGCCGTTCAAGCATCAATGTTTTGACTCATAGTGCACAAAAACTAGGCCGACTCCCTGCATACACGTTAAAAAAGACAAACCATCAACTGTTGTGTTTTGAGGCTCCTCTTTTATGAGTCTGT